AGGAGACCGAGTTCCAGCGTTTGCCGACGCCGCTCCGGCGTTTCGGCATTTGATACATAGAGAGCGGAAGCTAATGATGTGGCTGTGCCTGACCGTGCCTGGAATTACTCGGCGTTGCAGTATTAGGGAAAAGTCTGTAGCGGAATATAGTAACGCCCATTACTCACCTCGACATCAACATCGGACCACCCTTCACACCTTGACTACTCCCAAGCTCCTAGCGAGACCTAGAGGTCACAATGGCCTCGCTTCTCGACCAGCTTGACCATGACTACGACGGAGCCGAGACTCGGGAGGTGTCGCTGTCTTCCCCACTCGTGGACCAGCCGTGTTCTGCGGTAATGGACAGTGGGCCGTCGCCAGCTGAGACTTCGACAGGTGGCGCGGGTGACGACTCCGGAATCGACCTCGACACCGACGGCGACTCCCCCATGACCAGTGACACCCCGACTCCCGGCCCAAGCACCGACGACAACTGCAGCAAGCTTTCCGCTGACGATGCACCCACTCCACCTACCGACTCACCCAGCAACGACAGCGAGGAAGGCTCCGAGTCCGACGCCGAGTCTTCCCTGAGTTCTCCCACCGTTCGCTTCCTTTCCGTCTCAAGCTGACCAGCAGCCATTCACCAATGCCTTGCGAGTAACCGGCAGGCTCAAGGTTGTGTTAGACCAGCTCTCAGACACACTGAGGGAGTGTGCCCGTCGCGACGCCGAGCTCGAAGGCGCACGCCGCGAAATTGATCAGCGGCAGGTAGAGCTTCGCGGCAAGGAGGGTCAGATTGCCCGCCGTGATGGCGAGATTGAGAAGCTGACAAGGGAGCTGCAGCTGAAGAGCGAGGCACTCGCGCAGAAGGAGGCTGAGCTCGTGCAGAAGAATGAGGAGGTCGAGACGCTGCGCAAGGAGCTTGAGGCAGAGAAGCTGCTCGCGAAAGAGTCGCATCAGTCTTCCTCCTCGAGCACCAAAGCGAGTACAGACCAGTCATGCACCAGCCAAGATAACCGGAAGGACATAGGAAGGGAGCTCAAGACTCTGCGCAAGGCGCACCGTAAGCTCACAGCACAGATCGCAGTCCAATATAAAATGATCGCCTCACTCCGTGCACTTGTCGAGGAAGCTGATAAGCGGTATGGCAATCTGTATCCGATGGAGAAGGCTATTGTGATCCTCAGCGCAATTTACGGTGAGAAGTTGCGAGGTCAACCTACCGTGAGTCCCGATCTCCGCCGTTCTCCAGCTCTGGATCGACCTCCTGGAGCTGATACCAGATTATGAACCGCTTCCGCCGCTTCATGGCCGGCAGTTATCCAAGCAACATCGACAAGCGCCTCAACGTCAGCATAGCGGACCTCAAAGCCGCACTGGAGCCACTGGAGCAGTATCTCGGAAAAGCGGTCGGCCAGCGCAACACAGTTGCGCACCCCAGCAACGACATGAAGCACTTTCTGCAGTGGGACCTCGACCAGATCGCGGCCCGCGGAACACTCGGAGACATCGCTCTACACCGCACTCTCGTCGAGTGCGCCAAGTCTCATCCTTACGGTCACCGTGCTGGACAGCATTCCGCTCGTGTCGAGGAGGTTGAGAGGGAGAAGCGTGCCCCTCCCGTGTTCTACGTCGAGGACTCGGATGAGGAGGACATCAGAGAGATTGTGGAGAGCGCGCCGATGACGAGAAGTGCGCCGGTGAGCGAAGCGTCGTCGTTGGAGGAGGGAGAGATTGATGAGAGGAAGAGGAAGGGTACAGGAAAGAGGGGGAAGAAGAGGAAAGCACCGACAGTCTCGAGCAAGGAAGACGAAGGGGCAAGTGAGAGCGACCGCGAGCGGAGGGTGGGACCGACCTGGGCTACCGCCGGGGCAGGAGGCGAGAGCGTCGAGAATCGTTCCTTGCCCCAGGCCGAACAACAGTCTGAGAGGGTAGAGAGGGAGACAGAGGATGGCTTACACATGAGCGATAGGCCGCAGAAGCGGCTGCGTCGATGACCGATCAAGCTCTGAGCTGCTGACAGACTCTCGCCGTCCCGAGTTCGCCACGCATCATAATCCCCTCCGCCACTAGCCCTCATCTTCAGCGCAACACGAGCAAATCCGCCATTGCATGACCCTTCTACGCCCGCAAGTCTTCAACTCCACCAGCTGGTTTGTCACTAGCCTTCACCTCAAGCTCCTCTTATGTCGTAATAGATCATCAAGCGCCACTGTCAACATTACCCAAGCTGCCTCGTGTCCCACGGCCGCTTCGGCCGGAACAGGGCGCAAGCAGCTGTATTCCGGCATCAATCTGTTGTGCCCCCAGTTCGCAACCACTCGTCAACATGCACCCCGTGTCACCCATTCCAGTTTCAACATTGATGTGTCAGATTCCGCAAGCTTCGCACGTTGTCTCAGTTTGCGTCTTAGACATTGACCCGGGTCGGCTTCGGACCGGTTCTCCTTCACGGCCTTCACCCAAATTCCGCTGCAAACGAGTCCAAACAAGGCGTGAGCTCTCGCCATCTCACCCCGACCTCACCGGCCGCGGGGCCACGGTGCTCTACAAGCGAGCTCGGACCTCGGCGTAGTGAGTCAGCCGCTTATCTCGGCGTATCACATCACGTGCAGAGTAGCTCACGGTCGGCCCGTTATTGTGCTCGACGTCCAAGCCGAGCTACGTCGCCGAACGCCACAGATCTTCTCATGAGCACACATCTCGAGTGTTGAGGTCGGTGCGACAAACTGAGGAACCTGGGCGCAACCGATCGGATATCTGACCAAGCACATCTGATCTGCTGACCAACACCATCTGGCGCATTCGCACAAACATGAGGTGACCGTAGAGGTTCACACCGGCTCTCCATGCGTATAAATGCAGCGTTGGATGGACGTTCCCACAGCATCACCAACTCACGCTTCTTCCTCCTCTCACCCGCTCTGTGCACCTACTCCCAACAGAAACAAGCAACAATGCCTCGCAAGATCTTCGTCTTCGGCGTTACTGGTAGTTATAACCACCCCGAATTAGCTAACAGCAGGCAACCAGGGCTCCTCGGTTGCTCGTGCTCTGACTGAGCAGCCCGACAAGTGGGAGGTGTACGGCCTCACCCGCAACCCCGACAGCGATGCTGCCAAGGCCATCGCTGCCCTCGGCGTCAAGCTCGTCAAGGGTGACCTGGACGACCCCAAGTCGTACGCCGAGGGTCTGAAGGGTTCCTACGGCGCCTTCATCGTTGCGAACTGTGAGTCCTCCCAAGCTGCCAGGCACTCGGGCGAAAGCTAACCACAGTCTGGCTCTCGTACACGCCCAACGGAGACGGCAACGCTGCCGCCGAGATCGAGTACGTGCACACCATCGGCGCGGTTGACGCCTGCGTCGCGGCCGGCGTCAAGCACGTTATCTACTCTACGCTCGAGAGCTTCAAGCCCCGCGTCGCCATCCCTCACTACGACGGCAAGGCCCGCGTCACGGCGTACATGAGGGAGCACGGGGTGCCGTCGACGCAGCTCTTCACGTCCTACTTCTTCGAGAACCTCCTCTCGACCCCCTGGAAGGAGGAGGGCGGCAGGAAGATCCTCCAGATCCCCATGACCGATGACACGCCCTTCCCCGGTTTCAGCGCGGCTGAGACGGGTCTGTGGGTGCGCGCCGCGTTTGAGGATGAGAGCTGGATCGGTGAGTGCACAGCTTTCTCGCCGATGAATTTAAGCTGACATTCCAGGCAAGGACATGGACACGAGTACCGAGGACTTAACGCCTGGCAAGATTGCCCAGGCGCTGGCCGAGGTCTCGGGGCAGAAGTGGGAGACGCAGCACCTCAGCGACGAGACCTTCCTCGCGCTCGAGCAGCAGATCGACTATGAGTGGTGGATCAACTTCTACGCGCTCTTCAAGGGGTGAGCTGCCTGAAGAGTCCCCGATAGCTGACAGAACAGCGAGATGAAGCGCGATACGCCCGCCAGCCGCAAGATCGCCCCCTCCGCCATGGACCTGAAGCAGTGGCTGCAGACGCCTGAGGCGAAGGCGTACTTCAAGTACTAAGAACTGCCTAGCCCAATATGTCACCGCCGAAGACGGCAAGACTGAGAACTCTGTAGAATCGCTATCAGTTTAGAAATGGTGATGATAAGAGTGGCATGTTCCGAACCACGTTCCTGTTCAGCCGGGCTCCGAACTCGATGTGTCAGCACTCCCGCCGCTTACTTTTCGCTGACACCCGAATGACGCTGCGCTTATCTCGGCTTATTCATCACGTGACGCTGGTGGTCCGCCTTCTCTTCGAGCCCCACCTTCCTCCAAGACGCTGACCACGTCGGCGCCGAGCGCCAAGACCGGCGGGCTCGGCTGTCGCATGTACTCCGCTGTCGCCTGATATGCCAGAATGCAAGGGATGGGAAGGACGCGGGGTCTTGAACCGTACCTGCACGTTCCTGCGGTGAAGAAACGGGCCGAGAGCGGGCGAGGGTGGGTGACACACCACTGGGCAGTGGGAATTCTGGCCAATCTGGGCCCAGGGGGGTGACTTGCCGATCGGGGATCTGGCCCACATGATATGACGGAATGTCTTCCTTGGCACGCACCCCAGCTACCCATGCGTTCATCGCGCATCCCTCGTCTTCGAGAAGCCTTAGCTAATCTTGTACATCCCTCCAGACGACGGGAGCACATATAAGATAGCTTTGGGCTTCCCACGTCTCCATCTGCATCACAACATCGCTCACCCTACGAACACTCAGAGCTTCTCACTCCCTCGTATCTCTACTCTCGCGTTATCTCCTTAGCAAAACACTCCACAATGGCTGCTCCCAAGAAGGTCGTCGTCTTCGGTGTCACTGGCAACCAGGGCGCATCGGTCGCGCGCGCCCTGCTCGAGCACAAGGACAAGTGGGAGGTGTGGGGAGTCACCCGCAACCCCGACTCGGGCTCTAGCAAGCGTAAGCTGTCAAAGGTTTAATCGCGAGCTGACAGCAGGCATGGCTGACCTCGGCGTGAAGCTGATCAAGGGCGACCTCGACAACCCCCAGTCGTACGCCAAGGGTCTTGAGGGCGCGTACGCCTCGTTTGTGAACGCCAACTGTGAGTGCAGATCTCTTCAAGGGACAGCTACTGATTGCTTATCCCAAGCTGACAACAGTCTGGATTGCATACAAGGGCAATAACTCGGATGAAGCCGCCGAGATCGAGTTCACGCAGTCCTCCTCAGCGGTCGAGGCGAGCGCGAAGGCAGGAGTCAAGCACGTCGTCTACTCGACGCTGGAATCGTACAAGCCGCGCCAGGACCTGCCGCACTTTGACGCCAAGGCGCGCGTGACCGAGTACATGAAGAAGAACAACATCCCGGGCACACAGCTGTACACGTCGTTCTTTTTCCAGAACCTCGGCATGGCCAAGTGGGACGAGGGCAAGGACGGGAAGCGCATCCTGCACCTCGAGCTGCCCGATGATGCGCAGATGCCCGGGTTCTCCGTCGACGACGTCGGATACTGGGTCCGCGCCGCGCTCGAGGATCCCCAGAAGTGGATTGGCAAGGACATGGAGGCGTGTACCGAGGTCGTCAGCCCTAAGCGTATCTGCGAGGTGCTGACGCAGCTCTCGGGCAAGCAGTGGGACACGCAGCACTGGTCCCGCGACGCCTTCATGGAGCACAAGAACAAGATGGACGGAGAGCTATGGCTCAATTACCTCGCTTTCGCTAATGGGTGAGTCGTCCTAGCTAAAGGAGTCGAAGATTGAATAGCTAACGCCCCAGTGAGATGAAGCGCGATGTCGAGGCGAGCCGCAAGATCGCCCCTCAGGCCAAGGACTTCACCCAGTGGCTCAAGGACTCGCCCAAGGTCCAGGAGCACTTTGGCTTCTAAGCTGTTCCATCGTAAAGCAGGCGGTAGGGCGCATCTAACGCTGGAAACGTACGAGATAGTGTAGCCATAGCCGTAAACATAGTAGAACGAAGTATGCAGAGCTTAGTCGGCGGTCAAGTGAACAACGAGAGACAAATCCACTGACGAGTGCAGGCTGACGGACAATGATGCTAGTGGTGATAGACGAGCGTCGGTCGTTGAACAGATACACCCGTTCCTTGAAGTTTGATTCAAAGTGCAGTTCGGGATGCAGAGAATGCGACACGCATTGCAATAGCATGGGCCGTGATGGGTTGTCGTAGAGATGAGTGCAGCAAGCATATCGTGCAGAGCACCAAGAGCGGTCTTAGAGTGATATTCAGGCACGGCGATGACAGGATGTTTTTCCCACGTGGCCCAACGCCAAGGGAGGAAACGCCGAAAACGCCGCTCACCCCGGAGGCCAAATTGTGCAGTTTCGACTGTCGCTGGACATTTTGCTCCCGTCCGCGCAAGCCTGCACCCGCCCGTGGTTACCAGTTGGTTGTCTGCGTTTCTGAGAATCTAACCTTCAACAGCTCGACAACTAAAAAGAGTGAGTAGCAACGGCCACCAGCATGCGCACCGACGACGACGGAAACGACTCCCGGACCGCGACCGACAGGATGGAACGATGATGGACGAGACGGAACGCTGGACCCAAGTGGTGGAAGAGGAAGGACTGGATGGAAAGGAAGGGGTGGACGAAAGTTTGATGTCGGCTGGGAAAGAGAGGATGAAGACGTCGTTGGATCGGACCGGGGACGCTGTCGTTGGAATCGGTGTCGCTGCTGGAAATCTGGATCGTTTGGCGTGTGCTGACGCTCGTTCTTCGTTGTTATCGACTTGCTTGTGCTTGAATCTCGAACTCGCTTGACTTCTCGAATCCGAACCCGCTCTCGACTTTCTCCCACCCGTGCATCTGCCGATACGAATGATTCCTGCCAACAGTGGTCAAGATCTACAAGCCCGGAAGTGTGTATCAACCGCTGGAGGACAGGACGCAATTGCAGGTTACCCGACACATCGGCTTCATCTGGACGGATCATCCCCTGCAATAAACCTGCCCCAGCTTTTTGATGAAGCAGTTTGAAAGCTAACAAACGCAGAGGTCGCCGTCGTTCTCTCTGGACGACAGGCCGGCAAGAAGGTCGTTGTCCTTCAGCAGCGTGACGAGGGCACCAAGGAGCGCCCCTACCCCCACGCCATCGTCGCTGGCATTGAGCGGTGAGTAGAATCCCGTGCAGTCGTGTGCACGACAGCTGTCGCGGGGTGATTGAAGCTGATCCTCCAGTTACCCCCTCAAGGTCACCAAGTCGATGGGCAAGAAGAAGGTTGCCAAGCGCTCCAAGGTCAAGCCTTTCATCAAGGTCGTCAACTATTCGCACCTCCTCCCCACCCGTTACGTTCTCGAGCTTGAGGGCCTCAAGGGCTCGGTCACCCCCGACACCTTCAAGGAGCCTACCCAGCGTGAGGACGCCAAGAAGGCCGTCAAGAAGGCCTTCGAGGAGCGCTACTCCAAGGGCTCCAACCGCTGGTTCTTCACCAAGCTCCGCTTCTAAGCTATTCGTTCTCATGGCGAAAGTGTAGAGTGGAGTGTTTAGGCTTGTGGGCGACCTCCGGGTTTTGATGTACCAGATCGTAGACTATGCGATCATCCCTGCATGACTAGAGGGCACAGTTGTCTACACTAGAAGCTGCGCGGAAGCAAGATGTGAACGGGAGGCTTATCACTAACGATCTGACTATGACCAGCGAGACTGCACTCTTGTGCACGTCCTGCATGTACTCACTGCTGAAGCAGTGCATGTTCTGTGCATGTCCTGGTCCCGCACACGAGCAGCCCTTTGAGAGCAGCAGCGCCGCAGATCATCACACCGTCCAGCGTAAGACGTGCCTGGCCAGCAGAATTTTGGTGTTCAGTGGAAACCACGTGGCTGCCCAAATTCACTCGCGCCTAATGCTGATGGACAGGGACGCATGCCTACGAGAGGCTTCGACAGTCACGCCGACCTATGACGCAGGTGGACAGTGATGGACAATCGGGATGCTACGCAGGTGCAGGGAGGCAAATGCGGCCCCTCACGCCTCTCGGCGACTACTTAAGACGCACAACGTTCGATAAGCCCCCCTCCACCCTCACCCTCGGTCAACGCTCTGTCCACTTAGAACAGATCTCCCACCTGCGTATTCTTGCGTGACACAGACCCAGCACCAAGCACCACCGACCATCGACACCTTGCCGCTCGGACTGTGACCCATCAGTGACTACCCGTCACTTGCCGCCGGACCTCGAGCCTCACCCAAGCTTAATCCAAGCTTCAACCAATCGACGACTTTCGAAGGACAATAGCACGAGAATCAGGATGCAGCACGCGACGCCGATACGTGTGCCGCGGCGCGGCTCGCGCGGCGGCGCGCACACGCAGCACCAGCACGACGACGTGTCCCACCTCCGGCTGGCGCGCAACGAGCGCACGCTCACGACCGTCTTCGGCACGTCGCCGACAGCCACGATGAATGGGGCACCACCGGATCCGGCCCGCGACGCGCTGCTCAGTATGCGCGAGGCGCTGCTTGCGCGCGAGCAGGAGCTCATGGCCGACGGCATCGGGAGCATGAGCATGGAGGAGCGCGGCCCGATTGCCACGAGTCCGACGACGAGGAGCGGCAAGGCGAGAGCCATGGAGTGTATTCGCCAGGGAGAGGCGGCGCACCCCGCCAACAAGATGAGTCTGTGAGTATACATCAAGCCCACATCAATCCCTTGGCCCTTCCCTGCGCAATTGCGCACATCCGCAATCAGCTAACGTATCGCGAGAGCTCAAGCTGACCCCAGACCCATGGGCGAGTCGCTTGCCCTCGGCACGCGCGACTTTGACAACCAGACCGCGGCGCGCTTCGCGACGCTCGGCCTGCAGCAGCAACGACCCGAGACGCCGGAGGACCCCGAGGACCCCGACCAGCGGGCATGGCAGGAGCTGCGGCATCAGGCGCAGGCGTCGCACTACGCGCGCTCGCACGTCGACGATCCGTCCAACTCATTCGCAGACCGGGACGCCTACTCTGCCGCAGCGGTGTATGCGTCCCAGGAAGACGACCCGGGGACGGGCCTGCCGATGGATGTGGCGAGGAGCAGGCGCGATGAGGGGTATGACTCGGACATGCGGATGGATCGCGAGGAGGAGGAAGACGCCGAGAATGAGTTTTCGGAGGGCAACGATGAGTATGAGGGAGACGGGACGAATACGATGGACGCGGCGCCGGGCTTCTCATAGTCTACGTACGGGGCCGGCGTCAGCTGGCTCAGAGATTGGAGTTAGTAGAGCAGAGGAAAGGGCAGTCTTATGCAACAGTGTACATTAGCCATGTCTACGTCTACTTTACAATGCACGCTCACTGCGTCGGCGAGATCTGTCCGTCAGCTCCATCGTCTCGCCTCGGAGCTTACCAGAATCACTCCGTCGCCACGGACAAAGAGCATCTCCATACTCCTGCGCTCGACCTGGGGTTAGCTTCGCGTCAGAAAGCACGGAGCAATGCGGGGACGTACCCGCGGGGCAGAGGGCGTGCCGTCCTCTGAGATGTCGACGTGGTGGATCGACTCCTCGACATTGGAGAGGACAACGTTCATGTGCGCATCGTAGGCCTGTTGTCAGCTCCTTCATCTTGTTTTAGCTGCATCATCCGCTGCTACGTTTGCTGCGAATGACAAATGAGGAAGGCGGAGGAAGGAGGTAGGGAGCACATCAGCGCCTTCCCTCGAACATCGCTGCCGGTAAGTGACCCAGCGCGACGCCAGTCTGCCAGGTTTCAATGTAAACACGACCTCGTCCACCTCTATAGCGAATCCCTTCCTCGTCGTCCAGCAATGAGCAGTGCAGTGAGTAGACTCACGTGCAGCGTTCCGGTTATTGTCCTGTCTCCGCGCATCTTGATGAACACACGCCTGCAGTCAGCTTCAGCCGCTCGAGAGCAAACTCACTCGCCAAGAGCGAGCTTGACAATGTCGAGGGGCTCGGAGATGGTGGCGTTCACGGCGTCCTCCATCTTGTCGTCGTTGGTGGTGTGTGGGTGCTCGATGCTCGAGGTCGAGGTCTAGGTCGACGGACATGACTGTATCAACAACGGGGTCGCTTTTGGTCCCGCGTGGTCTGCGTCACGTGATTAATATCTGCGGTGGCAAACGTCCCTCACTTACAGATTGTGTGCATCACACAGTAGGAGGGAGCATGATCGGAGTAACAAATGCGACAGCATGCATACCCACTTAGACATGGCGCCTGTTCGATGAAGGGCTACAACAGGAGAAGTGCGGTGACTCGTTGTATGACAGAGGGTGGTCCGAAACCTCATGCCGAAGCCTCAGGCACGGTCCGCCGGCCCCCGCCGGCTGGCAGGGAACGGTAACGATCGTTCGACGCGTCCTTCTCCAAAATATCCAGCTGTCTGGCAGCGGGTCGTCAACTTCACTCTTTCTTTCCACAATGGTCTCGACACGCTCCAAGAGCACGATTGCCGTGCCCGCCGACCCGAACCGTATCGTCGCTGTCGTTACTGGCGCGAACAGGTGAGTCTTCCTTCCACGCCTTCGCGGCCTTCCTTTCTGCGACGGCCGTCCACGAGAGTGACTCCGAACATAGGGGGGAACGACAACATAGCTGCGTCGATCTTGCGGTGAAGAGCTAACAGACAGCGGCTTCGGTCTTGGTATCTGCAATGCGCTCCTGTCAAACCTCTCCGTGCCCTCCGGCTCCTCGATCCCCGTCGCGACTGCTCAGGTCTCGGCACTGTCGCCTTCCCTGGCGTCCAGCTTCGATGCCGGTGCGGCCTCGACTGCCTCGGCGATGCCGCGCCCGCACCCTTTTCTCACCCTCGTTCTCGCCTGTCGCTCGGAGAGGAATGCAAAGGAGGCTCGCGACAAGATTCTGGCCCAGCACAGGAAGGACCTCGAGGCGCGGCGGCGATCATGCGTGCCCGTGCCAGAGGGATGGGAGGAGAGCCTGCGTGTCGAGTACGAGCTGGTCGACCTCGACGCGATGGGCGGCGACAAAGGCGTCATGGCGTTCACGCGCAGGATGAAGGAGCGATATCCGCACATCACGTCTCTGTTCCTCAACGCTGGCTATGCCGCTATCAACGAGGTCAACATCCCCCGCTTCATGTGGCAGGTCATCACCGATGGACCGCTGCAGGCACTCCACCACCCGCGGTACAATATTGAGGATGTCGGACTGCTGTCTGCTGACGGAGAGAGGGGGCGTGTGTGGGGAGTCAACGTGCTCGCTCCCTATGTCCTGGTGAGTCACAGCTAGGGTAGGATAAGGTAAGCTGACAGGCAGACGAAGGAGCTGCAGTCTCTCCTCGCTGCCTCGCCGAAGGAGCTTCCGTTCAACCCGCGCGTCGTGTACACCTCGAGTATTGAGGCCGAGGCCGACGGTCTGAAAGCCAAGCCGCTCGACGACCCGGAGCTGTTGACGTACGAGTCCTCCTACCGCGCATCAAAGTACATGGGCGACCTGGTCATGACCCAGCTGGACCGCGACCTGTCCCCCTCTGGCGTGCGCTGTCTCGTCGCCGAGCCAGGCTGCGTGTCCACGAACATTGCCGTCTCGGGTCTCGGCGCCTGGCAGTGGCTCGTCAAGATTAAGTGGGCGTGCTACTGGCTCAGTTTCTGGCTCGCCAACCTCTTTGGCTCTCCGCACCACCCCGTCTGGGCCGAGTACGGTGCCGCGCCGATGCTCTACGCTGCGCTCGTCGCGAGCGTGTACCTCTTGCCCGCGACCAAGGTGCCCGGACCCAAGGTGCACGTGGTTGCGAAGCGGTGGGCGCAGCCGGGTGTCGGGTACGGAGAGGTTGATGAGTGGGAGAAGAACGAGGACGTCGCCAAGGGCGAGGCGGTGTACTGTGAGCAGGTCCGGCAGCAGTGGAGGCGGAAGGAGGGCATGTAGACTACCATAGACACTCTTTCTTGCATATTATAGACACTTAGACAACGTTGTCCTGCATCAGCCCGGACGTAACTGAGATCGCAAGTTGCAATCTCTTCACGGGCCGCAAGCATCAGGTCGTAGCGCGCCTGTGATCGGGCCACAGACTATATTGCTCTCGGTCTGTGATCGCTGTTCGGAAGCTCTGCCACTCTCACTGACATGATATCGTAACAGCACTGCACCGCCATTGTTACAGCAGCTGATCAGAACGGTTCACCCAGGTACGACGGCTGCAAGCGACGTCGGAGGGGTGACGTACAGAGGTGTGCGAATCTGGCCCAGGAACGTCGAATTAAAGTTGCTGGTACTCTTTCTGTGTCTGGTACAAGCCAGGAGATTGCAGGGGATACAGGAGAAGCTTGAACTATGCACTCGGTAGGCCCCCAGTCAGTTACGACGAGGTCAGGTGCGATGTTGTCGAGATGGATGTGCAGATCAAGCTCTGATACTCTTCAGAGGAGCAAAGTAAGTTTCGCTCGGCTGGCAGGGAAGGGGGGGTAGTCATCATCCATCCATGCGTTCGTTGCCCTACTTGCCCATCTTGGTGGTTTTGTTGGATGCAAGGAGGGGTTGCAGTGGGCTGTGGTGCAGCGGGTGCTCCGTGTAACAGTAGTGGGGTGTTGTGGGCTGGGTGTCCAAGTAAGGTCATGATGGAAGGCTTGTCGAGGGCCAGATTGGGAAAAGAGGGGCGAGCTGGAGTAAAGGGGCGATCGCCTTGAGTCAGGACACTGGCCGACTTTTGGACCCTGTGATTCTTCTTATGACACCGCCTCGGCCGGATCCCTTTGGCTGGCTGCTCTGGCTGAGAGGGGCCTCGCCTTTTCGCCCACCCCCTCTGTCTCCTCTGTCTCTGCTGCAGAGCGTCATCGTCCATCAACATCCGCCGAGTCTGCCCAATCTCGCACCTCTGTATCTCTGTAGTCCACCCCCCCCGTACACTCCCAACTGCACCTCCATCTCTATCAATCCATCCACACACACACACATCCATCTCACGCTCATCTCACTCTCTTCCTCATTCATCTCCCCGCCCATCCTTTTACTTCACGCTTGACGCACGCCAACGGCTCGATTCCGTAACAGTCGATCGACCGCGTCGTCCTGCGCTTTCACCCGCCCCGCTTTTTGGGATCATCCATTATCCTTTTCTATCATTGCCTCTCCTTGTCCTCCCTGGCCCACCCACTTGAAAATACCATATCCGGTCTGACACAAGAGTACACAAAGTACTCCGCCCCCCGCAGCCTCCGCCAAAGAGACTCCGCGCACGCACGCACCTACCCTGTCGGCCCGACGTCACAGCACCTGAGCAACCAGCCTAAGGGGCGCGCGAAATAGACACACGCTCATTTAGCCCCAAGCCCCCCGCGCATCTCCTTTTCGTCCCCTCTCCGATCTTTCGACCATGTTCAAACGAAAGTCGGCTCAACAGAACAATCCACAGCCCGTCGCCCCTTCGGCCGGGCGCCCATCCATCTCCTCCGTCGCATCCTCGGCCCAGCCCCACATGGGCATCGGCGACCGCGTCATGAGCTTCAACTCGATTGAGACCTCGGGGTCCCAGAACACCGTCAAGAACAGGCGCATGTCCAACTTCTTGGGTCTTGGCGGCAAGAAGAAGGACAAGGGCAAGGAGCGCGAAGATGAGGTGAGTAGACCCCTGCATGCTGCTGGATGCGCGATGGAGCTCTCAGAGGGCGGGGAAGCGAGTGGATCGACGGACAGATGTTCGTCTGCGCCTTGCGGCTCGACACCGAAAAATGGCTCGCGGTTTCGTCCTCGCGTCCTGCACGCCGATGGGCCCGAGCTCCTCAATGTCGAAGCCGTGCAGACGTGCATCTGCGATGGATCCTGCGGATCGTGTGTCACTGGCATCTTGCGGCTCCTTTGGTCGCCTCTGGCCCACCGGCTGGCCGGAACGTCCGGAGGAAGCTGGTTGAATGTCTGAGAATCGACACAGCCCCGATGCGCCCAAACCCCTCGCGCAATCTGCACGCATCTGAAGTCCTTGGGGCTCTTGGAAGGCAGCTGCAGCTCGATGGCCCGGCCCTCCTTGAGAGAATCAATAACTGACAACAGGCCGAGTCTAACAGACAGTCCTCCTTCGGCGTCAACGGCCGCAACGTCCCCGCCAACGGCAACGGCCCCCGCCCCCCGCATCAGCAGTACACGACCATGGCGCAGCGGCAGAGCATGTCTGGCGCCGTCGCGCCGCAGCAAGGCGTAGCGGGCGACTTTGGTCCTGGCCGCCCGCAGCAGCACCAGCGCGCGCAGAGCCTTGGGCCGCAGTCCGCTCTCGGCGTCGGCCGCGACGAGCGCGGCAACCAGCCCCTCTCGCCCCAGCCCATGTCGCCTGTCGCCTCGGCCGGAGCGCTGGCGACGTACCCGACGACTCCCACGCCTGAATGGCGTCAGCAGTTTGAGCCCATCTTCGAGCTCTTTACGTACCAGCCCCTCAAGACCTATGTTGCCAGTCCGCCTGAGCTCGAGATGATCTTCGCCAAGACGAGCGCGAACCAGGTTCCTAAGCAGGGCATTCCTGGCAGTCCCGGGAACGACTGGGACGCCGTCTGGCTGCAGCTCAGCGGCACCTCGTTGTGTGAGTTGAGAGGGCTGAGAGCTGGGCTCTCGCTTTCCCGGTTAACCGATTCTCACCGTTTGCTGACCATCCCCAGCCATGTGGTCTATGAAGGAGACCCGCGCCGCGGCGGCTAAGGGCACAAAGGTGCCCCCGATGTACTTCAACATCACCGAGTCCAGCGTCGAGCTCTTTAACCCGCTCCCACCCCCGCCGCACCGCCCGAACTCGCACCCGCACAAGTTCATCTTCTCTCTGAACACGGCTGGTGCGAACCAGCTGCTCTTCTCTTGCCCGAGCCACCACGAGCTGCTGCGATGGTCGAACGGCCTCCGTCTCGCCGCCTGGGAGCGCTCGCGCTTAGAGGAGATCTACACGGGCCACCTGATTCGCGCCGCTCGTCGCGAGCCCCCCTCGCCCCTGGTGCGCGGCCGCTACGAGGGCTGGGTCCGCGTCCGCCCTATGGGCAGCACGGACTGGAACCGCCTGTGGCTCGTCGTCAACGAGCCCTCCGCCGCGGCCGTCGACGACAGCTCGACGAACAGCAAGCGCCACTCGCTCTTCGGCATGGGCAAGCAGGAGCAGAGCGTGCAGGAACCCAACACGGGTGTGCCGATGGCGTCGTTCTACGCCGAACCGCGCACGACCAAGAACCGCACGACATCCCTGCCCCAGCTCACCATCACGAACGCGACGCAGGCGTACGCCACCTTCCCTGAACGACTCGAGGTGATGACTCAGAACAACATCATGAAGGTTGTTGGCCGCATTAGCGGTGAGGCCGTGGTCATCGAAGGTGGCCTGCGCGAGTCGGGTTGGGTCCTCATCATGCCCGAGCAGCCTGAGGAGGACATGCAGCTGTCGCCGCTCGTGCCCATGCTCCGCTGGATCACCGCGTTCCACGACGCGTTCAAGCTCTACGGAAGGCCACAAGGATATAGCTGGAACCCCAGCGATCCGCGCTCGCTGTTCTTTGCCTACCCGCAGGGCGAATTACGAGGCGTGAGTAGCTAACGAGACAAGAAGTAGCTGACAGACAGGACCTCTTCCTTACTATGGACGAAGCGCTCAACGCCAACTACAAGCTGAACACGCCCGGTATCCGCGCCAACTTCATCGCCCTGACGCAGCACGCGTACCACCAGCGCAACCGTCCTGACGACTCGCGCATCACTGAGGAGGAGGAGGACAGCGGGCCCTCGGGTGCTGGCGCCGCTGCGGCCGGAGCTGTCGGTGGCGCTGCCGTCGGAGCTGCGGCAGTCGGTGCCGCCTCCAAGCGCGACAATGACTTCCGCTTACCGCCTCTCCAGCTCGGTCGCGACGACAACGATCTCTCACTCAGTACTATGGACACCGACCGCAGCGACCTTGCGGCCGCCGCGCCCTCGGCCGGCACTGGACCTCTTCCTCCGCCCAGGAACGTCACGGGTCGCAGCAGCACATCGCCTCCTTTGGCTGGTGGCTCGGGCTCGCAGACCCCCTCCGCCGGCGACCCGTACGCTTCCGGCTCTCAGACGCCCAACCAGCCCGGCGTCGGTCCTTCTGCGGCGTTCGTTCAGCCCAACCAGGCTCAGCGCCCTGTCGATCAGCAGCGGCCCGGCTCCTCTGGCGGTCTCTACGGTCAGCCTCAGCAGCAGCAGCAGCAGCAGCAGCAGCAGCAGCAGCAGCAGGCACGCCCCGGCTCGTCTGGCGCGATGTACAATGACCGCCAGCAGCCCCAGCAGCAGCAGGGTCAGCGACCTCCGTCCGCGAACGCGCTCTACAACGACCAGAACCGCCAGGGCTCGCGCGTGAGCAGCCCGCTCGCCCAGTCGCACGGCCCCGCGGGTCCTTCTGTCGGCGCTGTCGCTCAGCAAGCTCAGCAGGGCGGCCGCGACAGCCCGTACGGCCAGCCGACTGGTTCTAGCTTTGCTGGTTCGCGCCAGAACTCGCTCGGCCAGATGCAGCCGGAGAGCACCTCGCGCCAGAACTCTGTCGGACCTGACTCCACCATGCGCCAGAACTCGTTTGGCGTCTCGGAGCCCCGCCAGCCTGGCTATGGCGGATCCGCCGGACCTGGTGACCAGTCTCGCCAGGACTCGCTCGGCGACGCGGGCCGCGTCAGCCCCTTCCCTGCCCCTCAGCAGCAGCAGAACCAGCCGCAGGCTCCTCAGCAGCCGCGTGCCACCATCGCCGGCGTGACCAGCTCTCTTCCCGGCCAAGGTGCTAAGAGCACCAACCCGTTCCAGCAGCCTGCTCCTCAGACGCAGCAGTTCGCCGGCCCCCCTCAGCAGCAGCCTCCCAACTTTACCCATGGTGCGCTCGGCCAACAGGGTAGGAACCCGTTCCAGCAGCAGCCATACTCGCAGTCGCAGGAACCGGTCCAGCACCATCGCCAGGTCAGCGCCGGCAGCGTCGCCGACTCGTATAGCACACCGTCGCAGACGCTGCAGGCTCTTGGCGTCACGCCTGAGCGCGGTGACTCGCCGTCGCAGGTGCACGATGCTGATCTTGGTCGCCAGGACCAGCAGCAGCCTCGCTCACCGCCAGTTGAGAGCAGGAGCCTTCCGCCCCGCCGAGCGTCGACTGAAGCTCTGCAGGGTGTCTCCGGACCTACCGGCCCAGGCGGGCCTGGCGTGAGCACAGGTGCTGGTGCGTCTGGTAGTAGCGCGCCCAACACACATGGCGGTCAGGGCGGTTTTGGTGCCGCTGCCGCCGCTGCGACTGCTGCCGCCCTCCACCACCGCAACCAGCAGGCAAGCCAGGCGTACGCCGCTCAGTCTCAGGTCCAGGACTTTAACCAGCGCAACAACAATGCTGCTCCTTCCAACTTTGCCAACAACTCGCCTGCTAATTTCAGCACTGCCCAAAACACCTCGCCCCCCAGGTCCCCGCAAAAGCCCTACCAGCCCCAGCAACCCAGCAGCAGCAGCAGCAGCCCTTCCAGTCGTCCCCGCCAGCAGGCTCCTCTGCACAGCCCGCCGTGTCCCCTGTGGCATCGCCCGCCGGCCAGTCCAAGGCGTCGTCGTCTTCCCCCCGCCAATCCGACACTATCCACCAGCCCAGGCCCCAGCGCTCGAGCGGCATGTCCAACGAAGCTGCTTCGCCCGCCCTCTCGCCTAACCTGCGCGATGAGCCCGCCGCCCTGTATCTCATGAACATGGTCGAGGAGCCTGAGCAGGCGCAGGCACAGCGCGACGCAACTTCCTCGCAACAGAGACAGCCCGGCCGTGCCCCTGGCAGCACCGACGCCCACCCCAGCTCGCCCCCCGCCTATCAGTCCCAGGGGCACAGCTACCCCACGTCGCCCACGTACAATGCGCCTGCCCGTCGACCTTCAGGTGCTCGCGCCATCCCCCCGAGCAACCACTCGCACATGTCCAACGAGCCCATCTCGCCTGTCTCCCCCAACCGCGTCGAGAACGGTCGCTACCACAACGACGGCCCCATGCAGCAGCAGCAACAGCAGTCGTACCAGCAGAACGGCGCTGGCCGCGGTGTCGGTGTCGGTGCCGCTGCCGCTGCGACCACGGCCCTCGCCGCAGCCGCCGGCGTCGGTGCTGCTAACGGTAGGAACAAGCAGCCCGTCCGCGAGGAAGACGACGATGCCGATGCTGCCGCGTACCTCGCCTACGCTGAGCAGCCTCTTCCCCAGCCGCCGCAGCCTCCGAAGTCGTCTTCCCCCATCAAGGAGTCGGAGGGCCGCTCGTCCTTCGCCCCTTCGAAGGCCGCTGCCGAGCGTCGCGCCAATGCCGAGGCTGCTGCTCAGAACAAGGCTCAGACCATGAACGTCCCTGGAGGCGGTCGCCGCAAGGACAACAGGCAGCAGCACCGCGGAAACTACAACCCCGACGACGAGAGCGACGAGGACGAAGACGAGGATGAGGACGACCAGGACCCTCCCTCTTCTCCCCCTGGCCCGTCGCAGCAGCGCCATGGCCCTGGCGGCTACAACGCTCCTCCTCCCAACCAGTACGACCAGCGCAACCACTACCAGCAGCAGCAGCAGTACCCTCAGCAGCAGTACCAACAACAACAGTACCAGCAGCAACAGTACGGTCAGCAGCAGCGTGGACCCCTTCCTCCTGTGCCTCGTGGCGGTGGTGGTGGCCGCGGCGAGAGCATGTACGGCGACGAGCTCGCGCCTCCTTCCACGCTGCGCGGCATGTCGATCCACGACGACCCTGGACGGTCCCGCTCCAGCTCGCCTCCTGCGCCCCACCGACACCTTCCCCACCCCAACATGCCTCCTCAACTTGCTGCCGGCGTCGCCCCCGCGCCAAAGCACAACGTGTGGAACGCCAACTTTTCGCAGGAGCACGGCCACGCGAAGAAGGACGGCAAGTTTGTCGAGCTCGAAGAGCCTGCTGTGCAGCTCACGAAGGCGTTCACACCAGGCGGTCTGCTCCAGGCCGGTATGCAGGACAAGGCGGACCGCTCGGCTCGCCGACAGGAGGAGGTTGCGCGCGAGACTGGCTCGTCGTTGCTCAACATCCCCGAGAAGCCGCCTCCCCCGTCAACCGGCCTCGTCGGTGCCGTCGCTGCCCACGAGCGCGACCGCAAGAACGCTGGTGGTATCGGTGCGACGCTGACGGACCGCGACCGCGAGCGTCGCCTGGCCGAGGACCGCCAGCGCAAGATTGAAGAGTTACAGCGCCAGCAGATGGACTCGATGTCGCAGTACGGCGGCTTCCCGCAGTATGGCTACGGCATGCCTCCTCAGATGATGGGCATGGGCGGCTTCCCCGTGAGTTCGTCGATCCTCCTCTTAACTGACATCCAGCAGTACGGCGGCGGCATGATGAACGCGCAGGCGCAGCAGCAGGCCATGATGGCGGCGCAGATGGCGTACCAGCAGACGATCATGGCCATGTCGCAGGCCGGCTCGCAGATGGGCGACAACGACGGCGCCTCGGTCACCGGCGGCCGCTCCCCCTCCCCCGCAGCCAGCATGCGCATGCCCGGCATGCCCGGCGGTCCAGGCTTCTTCCCCGGCGCCGGAGGATACGGGTACGGCATGCCGACGCCGAGCATGTACGGCTTCCCGATGGGCATGCCCCCGATGGGAATGGGCATGCCCGGCATGGGCATGTTCCCCGGCCAGCCTCAGGGCCAAGGTGGCCAGCCCTCGCCGGGCTACAGGCCGAACAGCATGATGGACGGCAACTCGCCCATGCACACGGGCGCTGGGTCGTACAACGGTGACCGCGAGAGGGACGCTTCATAGGCGAGACGGAGGCGTCGACAGACGCCGACAGACGCCGACGACGTTGAGCGCTGCGAGCGTAACGAGCACTTGCCCTACGGCTCAGTGAGCCCAACCTACCAGACATTCCTTAACCTCTTCCTTTTTTCTTCTTTCCTAGCTCAGCTTTCGATTATTGTAGACAACAGAACCTCTCATGGACGATGCGTATGCGCGTATTTTGCGACGAGGGAAATGTGAATTGATTGTTACCTTTCTGCATAGGCTTGTTCGTTGGACACGTGTGCGAGTGAGGTGACTGAGTGTCTCTGCTGTCGTGCGTGAGTTGCGTGAGCACTTTGGTCCAGACAGCGTGGAGGCACGAGAGGAGCGGAACGGAGATGATAAGAGAAAGAATGACATATCAACCCACGCATAGGGTCATGACACATGCCCAATGGCTCAGGCGTGCTGAGTAGTGCTCACAATAAGAGACCAGTGACGGATTTCGGCAGGATCGGCATCGACATCGGCATCGGCATGGGCAGATCACCCCCTCTACTCATAGTGCTAAAGCCTTAGATTCGGCGGGAACATTGTCAGAAGCGCGCTAGAGCTGAGCTGAGCAATGCGCTGCGGCTAGCGCTGGAGAGGGCGGACAAACTTGCGGAAACCCCTCCAAACGTGTCTGCACTGTGTGAGAGAGAAGGTTTGATCCGAACAGAGAGACTTTGAGGTACCCGTCAGCTGCGCAGCTCATCGCCTCGCAGCACACGGCTGGCCCAATCAGCCACGGATCTGATCTTGCTCCGTTACGAGACGACGCTAAGTATCTCATGAGGCAATGTAGATTGGAGGGAGCTGAGGGATCGGAGTGTTCGGTCCGCGAACCAGTGCTCCAACATACGTTCTTCCTGATGTGTCTCGTGTTCATTACGAGTAAGACGTTTCTGAGAGTCAAGCGCGGAGGGCAACGGAGGCCAATGGCAGGCAAGACATTGTTCGGCCTGAAGAGGTCACCAACTGCGCAATCCGGAATCCTGGCTCTCCGCGAAAGAGACACAAATGTGTCCCGTGGCCTGGCTTGCGAGCATACGTTAAGCAGATTCAAACGGTCCGAAGACCGAGCCATCTGCTCTCCCATTCCCAAACGCGAGACATTGTCCAGAGGCAACGCCAATCAGAAACTCGGACGATATCAAACAAGAACGAAGAGGCCAGTCAGTTGTCAATATATGCCAACTGAACCGTTTAACGAACACGCTTGCGAGGCACCCGTTCACGGCACCAGGTGGCTCTAGGTCCAGCGGCATGCCGTACTGGAGACGTCTCCGATCGGGCCTCGGACGAATCCAGTCAGCCGTGGAGAGCAGAGGGTCGATCTCTCGTCACCTTGTAAAGTGATCGTAAGCGATCGTCGTCTAAGGACGTCAGGACGAGACCGCATCGTCCGCGGGAGTCTGATTCGCTCAGAGTCAGTATGAATTTCTCTCCCGTGCACACGAAGCACGCTCAGCACGCACGGCGGCCACACGAGCCCAGCTTGTCAACTCGCCAAGGTCCTCGTGCGAGCTGAAGTGCAAATCAGACCGTGTAGAAATGAAGAACGCTAAAGTTGCTTCACAAAAGTGGACCCGGGTGAAACGGCATCTCGGGCCAATAGGCGCGAGACATACCGCGATGAGCAGCGATAGTGTGCTCATATTCAACGTACTTCCTTTGCCTTCAAGGTCCGGACCGCAGCCACCTGAAGTCCATGCCCGAACGCCTTTACCATCTGGCCGAACCCGAGCCGGGTTCCTTGCATTCTTTGCACATGTGCGCTGTCTCCATAGTTCATGACACGAGAGATTGCACGAGAATAGTCGACCTGCAAGCTCCGTGATGAGCAAGCGGGGCGCGAGGGGGCTAACTTTGGATCACTCCAGCGCCAAGAAGGTACGCCTCATACCTGCGCTACCTGCAGGGCTCTTCGTTCGGCGCAGCGGTTCTCCTCGGCAAGAATGAGGTGCAGAGCAAGAGGAGCCAGGCGGGGCCATCTCGCCCCGAACAGCCCGATGGCGAAGGGCTGCACCCGACGGGCATGCTTGGCGTTAGCAGAGCCGACGTCGACCGCGGTACACCGTGTTAGTGGATCTCGGCCCAAGGTCCGAGGAGGACGGGCCAGACTCGAGCCAGACTCGACGCTCGATTGAGACTTTGCGTGCCTTCGCTAACACGCTACCGCAGCCGCAAAAGTCGGTCCGCGGCGCAGCACACGTTCTCCAGTAGCCTTGCGAGCCTGCGAGCCGCTCAGTGCTGCCGCAAGGAGGTAAATGGAGCGCCCCTGGGTCCTTAGCTGTCGTATGTACCTGATCAGACGCATTCTGTGTTCTGTTTGGTCAGCGGATATCAGCCCCGGTCATGCTGCGTCTCAGGCGCGTCAGAGAAGTGCCGTGTCGGTGGTCTGTTTCGTCGGTGTTGAGTGAGTGGGTAGTGGGTCGGTCCGGGTTTGAAGGACCTGTTGAAAAAACCAAATCGCGAGAAAACCAAGTTGCGTCAGACCTTGACAGTTCGGTGCCTCGGGCACTCGGGCTTGTTATCGCTTAGGGTTTTCGTCGACAAATGTCCTAATGCTTGCTAAAGCAGCCGCGAGAGCCTCTTTAGCGGAAGCATAACCCAATTAGAGATACGACAATCCGCCGATTAGAAGATAAGAGCGCCAGTGTCAGGGACTTGTCCCACATGGTCGATGGGAGATCGGTGGCGGAATCGCAGAGCACTGCAGAGCACGCAATCACGTCATCTGGGCTCATCTCGCTACTTGCAATCGTCCAGCCTAGCACTCCCACCGCAGCCTGCAACCATCCAGCACGGCCAGGGCAACATGCAGCGAGCATGCCCTCTCATCCAGCCCGCAAAACTTAGGGACTTGCACACACACACACCTGCGGGGCCATCTTGTCCCAGCCCAGCCCGCCAGGCCAGAAACGAGCACATCACCGCGCGTCAGCGCTCCTCGGCCAACCGCGCAGCCCGTAGCGTTACTCGGACGCCTCCACTCTCACATTGCGGTACCGGGCCGGCTCGAGTGCTACACACGCAAATCGCACACTACTGTCACTGCACCTTCTACGCAGCTACGCCGGGCGGCGCGCACACCGCTCTAGCTCGAGGTAAGTACAGACTTAGCGCAGAACACGCCACAGGCTCTGGGCTCTGGGCGACAGACGCACAACAGACACACACACACATATGGGAGGGGGCGCATCTGGAATTCTGCTTCTTAACTAAGCACTCGAGAAGCGTGCAGTTCGGAATTCCCCCCCTTCCTCTTTCGACCTCGTCGTCGACGCAGACAAGCCTGCAGACCTGCCCAGAACTCTACGGCAGCAGGGCGACGCCAGGGCTCACGTCAAGAACCACCCGGCGCACGTTACCGCCTTATCATTCCGAAACGATAACAGCGGCGATCGACATCGCGATCGGCATCACCGCCGCACCCGCCGCGTCTACGGCCTGATCTCCGACCAGCCCTCCTCTTCGGGGTCCCAGCGCCGCTCGAATCCGCTCGGTGTTAGAGCATAGACAACTAGACAGTCCGACAGAGGACGTGTGTGTGACAGCTAGTATTACACACTAGCCAGCCACCGCAGCTCGCAGTTCAGCCCTCGCGCCAGAAGACACCCCTTCCCCAGAACACTGAGTCATCAGCCCCGCCGCCGTCTACGAGTGGCACAGCCTAGAGCACCATGGCGATGAACGACGTCGACTGGGCGAATATCTTCGCCGCCTTGGGTGGATCCGCGCCTGCTGGCCAACAGTCCCATCCCCAAGCCCAACATCCTCTCACCTCCCCCTCTTCAGAAGAGTGGCCCCCCGCCGCCGGCGTGCGACATACCCACAGCACCTCGTCAAGCTTCAGCATAGCCCACGACCCTCCCCGCGGCATCGGGACGGCCGCGGACATTGACCTCGGGTTCTACTGGCCCCAGTCGACCCATCACGGCCAAGCTCACCCTCCTCCTCATCCCCATCCCCATGCGCAGCAACATGGCGAGTGGCCGTCGGCCCCCGGCTCGACCACCTCTTCCACCAACGCCGCTCCCCCGACCACAGCAGCGAGCAACCCTGCACCACCCCCGCCTCCCCCGACCACGCCGGCTACGACCCGCGCCGCGGCAAGAACCAGGACTAGAAGCGCCGCATCCACGCACACGGCAAGCACGGGAAGCGGGAGCAACACCCCGCCCGCGATCACGCCTGCTCTCACGCCCATCGCTCCTGCGCCACCGGGCAACTCCCGGCGCGGGTCGACTGTGAACACTCCCGCAGCCGAAGAGGAGGATGTTGAGGACAAGCGTGTCCGGAATACTCTTGCCTGTGAGTGTCATTTAATGCTTGGTCTCCCATCGGGCGCTCAACCGTCACTCTGTCTCCGAGACTGGTGCTTGCTTGATCGAAGCATTCTTCTTTGCCTCTTGCATGGAGACCCAGGGCTTATTTCCTCCCTAACCAGACCATAGCTGACGTCCAGCCGCCCGCTTCCGTGCTAAGAAGAAACTCCAGCTCGAAGCGACCGAGCGCGCGATCAAGTCGCTCGAGGGCCAAGCCGCCGCGCTGGAGGTAGAGGTCGGCGACCTCAGGAAGGAGAACGGCCTCCTCCGCGACATGGTCGGCATGAAGTACCGCCTGCAACAGTAGGCCGAGGTTGTAATGATTTTTTGACGTTTTGATGCGAACATAGAATATTCACTCTCGACACACCTTTTCCAGCACTGTGATCTCTTCATTGTGCGTCCCCTTTTCCTCGTCATCTGGTGATCTTGGGTTGCTCTTGGCCGGCATATAGACTTTCACTGACATCGACTGGCCGCCGCTGAGCGAACTGATCCGCAGACTTGCCACTCGCCCACCTCTCGCTGTGTGGAGCAAAGGCATGCAAACTGTCCCTCATGACGACTGACGACGCTAATCCCCAGTGTGAAGAGGGCTGGAACAATGCGTGACATTGAGTTTGCGTCAAGCCTGGCATGAGGCGTCAGCAGGCGTTGGACTGCACCTTATTCCGGTGTGGAGCGCAGCAGAAGTGTGGCACTGAACTCTTTCGAGGCGTTACGCTTCGGTGCTCGTATTTTCTTGGGGTCTTTTGCAATACGTTGGATGAGAGGTTTGGAGGTGTGAGTGGAAAGCTGAGTTCGACATGGGTCGAGCAAGAGACGGATGACTGTCGGTAGCGATAGGGTGTGGTGCACAACCCGCTTTACCTACGTGGTAACACTGGAGTACAGTATATTTGCAACGCTACCAAGGCGTCTCGACGGATTGGAGTCAGTAGTGTTCAGCGGTATTGCTATTGCAGGCAGGCAGAACTGATAAAAGTTGCTGATGAAACGCGCTGACCTCTGTTGGATCATCAGTGGTCACTTGAGAAAATTACATGGGACGAAGACTATTTCGACGTATGTGACAGGTAATGGCGGTGGAAGAGGGTGAACAAACCCAGGGTTTAGACAATGGTGGGGCTTGGTGGGGCTCTTGAGAGGTGATCTGCAAGGGTGATAACGGCGGCAGAAGACTTGCAGATTGATCCGAGGCCTAGGAGAGGACAACTCTGGGAAATGTAATGCTGGGTCTTGGCAACGCTCTCTCCCAACCTCGAACCGTTCAGGCTGGTCACCGGAGGCGTAGAGAGAGCTCCACTGCTGGTTTCGCCCACACTTAATAACCGGCACGAATAGCTGCCTTCACAGCTAAGGCGCGGGCGAAGACCAGCCGCTCGGACGCGCGCGAACTTGGGTAGAGTGGAGGCGATATCTTGACATGGAAAAGAGAGTGACCGAAATGTGGCCTGACAGAAGGTCGTTGGCGGTCAGCACGAGTGTGTGGTCGTATGGTCTGAGAGTTGACTCCAGATGTTGATTGTGTGGTCGGGAAGATAGGCAGCCTCTCGCTGTGTCAGTAAGTGGACGCTGACCGTCGGTGGAGGAGGGTTTCACTGTTTGAAGCAAAGCCAGCGACCATGTGGCCCCCCGACGATCAGTGCGCCCTGGCCTCCAGTTACCTCACGCATGCGGCACCTTTCGATATTCCATGCACTGACTCTTATACCCTCATACATTACATTGATTTGATAGCTTTAGCAATATTAACGAACACAACTTTGAGCTAGCTAACGGAACATGATAATGGGTGGCACTGAGGCCGAGTTTAAGTGAAGTGGCCGGGGTCCGCTCCGAAGTAGCCCTTGGCAGGGATAGGCTTGAGGCGGCACGAGTCGGTCCAGGCGCCGATGCACCCGGGCTGCCCGTCGGCGGGGTTGCCCCACCAGGACGGGAAGTTGACGCCGGGGAACACGAGCGCGAAGAAGACAATGAGGGCGTTGACGGAGATCGCGGCCGACAGCGCAGCGAGCGTGACGTAGTTGTACCTGTTCCAGAACTCGAGGTACTTGCGCTTGAGGTAGTTCCAAGAGAAGTAGTTGATGAACAGGCCGGGAACGTAGTTGCCCCAGCTTGCGGCGCTGACCCATCCGAATGACAGCACGAAGAGCAGCGGGTGTGTCGACTGCAGGAACGAGGAGCGCGGCCAGCGCTTCTTCAGCAGGAAGAAGATGACGGGGATCGCAATGCCGAGCGGGAACCCGACGAGGAGCGCAGTGTAGCGCTTGCCACTGCCGAAGAGACGGGGAGCTCCGATCGTGCCCCAGAAGATGAAGTTGGAGTAGTCGCTCTGTCCGGCGGGGCAGATCAGGCGGAACGGCGCCTTCTCGGTGCACACGTCAGGAATGTCCATGAGCCAGTTCCACTGAGAGACTGTCATAATCGTGGCGAGGAAGCTTTGAGACGTCAGAGAGTGTACGATGATTGGCAAGACTCACCCAGCCCACATCTGGACGTAGAACATGTGACGGGGAGGAATCTTGACGTAGTGGCTCAGCTTAAGGTCGTTCGCTGCGAAGAGTTAGCTGCATGAAAGCCTGAAAGAACGAACCATAGTTGATCGCGTGGTAAGCAGGCTCAGAACCGCACCTGGGAAGTCAGTATTTGTCGCGAATGTTATCGAGGAGTGGGAGATAAGGGTTGGGTGGTGAATCGAGGTAATTCTTCTAACCGCCACGCTACCTGGGCACACAGGATAAGGTGCTGCAGGCCGTGCCACTCACATTCTGAAGTACTGCACGAGCAGAGTGTCGCCTCCAGCAATACCCGATCCGATAAGCATACTGATCGTGTTGAGCGAGGGCTCGAGGCCAGAGACGGCGGTGACGATACCGATGGGGATGGTGAAGATGACGGTCATCGGGATGGCGAAGAGGACGACGGCGGGGGTGACCTCAGTGTAAACACCCAGGCACACCATGAGGAAGACCATGGAGATGATCAGGACCGCCATGTACCATGACTCGGGCACCTCGGGGTACGCCTGCATAAGCTTGTAGTGAATGTCGTCTCCGAAGGCCATCTTCTCCTGCTGGAGCGCCTCCTGGTCGACGGGGCGGCGCAGGATGAAGTTCTTGATGTTCCTGCATGAGCGCTTGAAGTCCTGCCAGGCGCTGCGGAAGCCGATGTTCATCTCGTGCCTGTTGTAGAGCAGGGTGTGCGCCACTGTGGCGGACGTGTACATGAACATGCCGATGAAAGAGACGCAGCGTGTGGCACTCATCCACGGCTCGGAGTATTGCTGATACTTGTCCTGGATGAGCACACCCCACTTGTCGACAATGTTCGTAACAGTGAACGACTTGCCCTTGTTGTCAAAGGTCTTGGGCGAGTTAATGGGCAGGTACGAGGTGTTGTAGGCGTTGGTGTAGTAGAAGATGATTCCGACGAGCATCGCGATCGACAAGCCGGCAAGGAAGTTGATGGGCACGAACATGGGCGTCATACCTCCCGAGTTGCTGAGCGTACCCCAGTCGAAAGTCATGAAGGGGTTAAGACCCAAGCCGGCTCCGAAGTTGACCGAGGTAAGTGCCACAAGGTTGCCGTTGGTGGGCTTGATCCACGCAATCCAGTCGAAAAGTTGTAAATTCGGGAAAATGTAACTGGGGAAGAAATACCACACAAAATAGATGCCAAAGACGACCCAGAAGCACTTAAACATAGATGCGCGCCACGTGGTGCGTCCCGGACCGAGAACCGGGGTGCTGCGGCCGCCAAAATCGTGAAGAGCGTTGTTTAACGCGATCGTCGCCAAACTTGTCGGCCAAACACAGTACGAGGGGTACACCAGGAAGCGTCTTGTCAATCCCGCGAAGCCGTAGCCCATCATATTCGTTCCCAAAGCCCCTAAAAATTGATAACCCGGGCTGCGTGCGAAGCTTTGGTTGAACCAGTGAGGCATGGCTTGAACGAAGATGAGATGTTGGGTCGGAGGCCAAGCCATTCCGAGCGCGGAGAGCATTGTGATGAGCAAATGCTCCTTGCGGGTGAAGCGGCCGGGGTTCAGGGGGTAGCCGAAGATGTGCCAGTGCGGCATGATCTTGCCCCAAGCAACGCAAATGGGGTAGGCGACAAGCTGGATGACGTTCGAGCCGATCGAGATGGTGGGGTACCTGAGAGCGAAGACGGCGTTGATTACGCAGCCGATGGCGGACAGAATAGTGCCGACGACCCACACGCGGATCGTGAGCGAGGCCTCCTCGGTGTTGTCTACTGAGGTTGCAACAGCACGGACTTCGGGGTACGGGGAGGAGATCGTACAGAGCAGCGCGAAGATGCGCATTTCGTAGATCAATTGGTCGTACTCTCCGGGGTTGTTCATGATCTTGTCGTACTCGGTCGTGAACTGCTGGATCCGGTGCAGAGTCTCGGCACTGTAGCGCGGGTCGTGGGCGTGAATGCGGTAGATTTCTGCCAGGACTTCGAGGGCTTTGTCGGGTGGCATTTCGGGCAGATGCGACTCGAGGTCCAGCAGCTCGTCGCGCGTCAGTTGAATGTGACCGTTCGACAGCAGGTCGTCCGTGTACACGCCAAGCTTCTCCTTCTCCATGTCGATGTCATCGGCGTCGTGGGAGCCGACAGGCATCTGCGGTCAGCTGCGCCATCGAGTCTATCAACTCACAACTTCGACCTCGGCGGGGACCACATCCTTCTCTCCTACTCCGGCGCCCTTCTCGCCATTGTAGCCGAGCTTCTCCACCATGACAGCAGAGCAGAACAGTGGATTGCTGTGGAGATAACGTTCAAGTGGGGAACAGGGGGCACGCGCGATAGGGATCCCACATTATAACAGAGGGGAGACACTAGCCCCACCCGCAGATAGCCGGAGCGCGAGCTGAACTCGCCCGTCCGGTTCCCGTCGCGCGACCAAACGCATCTCAGATGCGCTAGCGAGCTGGGGATCGTTTCTGGATGCGGGGTGCCGCGGGGCCGTGGATCCTGGATTCTGTTTATGCCAACGCGGCGAACGTCCCGCAGCGAGGTAAATCTCCACCATCGGCTAGTGCCGCATGCGGCGTGCAGGCCATCAAAGGTCGCGTATCGCTCGGGAGCACGTAGCGGCAGACCAGGGGGCGAGCGTAAACACCAAGGTGGCCGTTCTCGGCACTTGCCCCTTAATTGTAGGCACTGGAGATAGGAGCACCGCGAGTCCGCGCCGGACCGCGTGCACTGTTCGGGGACTTCGGCGCATTCGACCCTGCACTTTCTGTGAGTATAAAGGAACATGAATGCACGCACGCATGTGACCCCACCCCATCACCTGTATCAGCTTGCTTGCCCACCGTACTGCCCACTGCCTATGCAGCGTATGCTTGACTAGCGGGATGTACCTGAAAGGATGTGGGGGTTTACGGTCCGTCGGCCCCTTGTTCCGTGAACTTGCGTTCCTTGTGGAGTCGCGCGGCACGCGGCGTTCGGACCGAACTACCCCGGCTGAGTTATCTACGACCGCAGGTTCATCGACCAATTGGTCACCTGATCCCGCGGCTGCACAGCTTGCGCTCCAATGAGTGGGGTCGAATGGAGGAACGTGGGGCCCGTTTCGCCCACCTCTTGTTCCATGCCGAATTGCGCTCGATTTAGCTCCTTCGTTATCAGAACCGACAGCGCTTAGACGAGTCGTGCTCTTCTTCGGATACGCCGCATCTGAGCGCAGCTCTTGGCACGGCTAGTTACTTCTGCTAGAAGTAAGCGCGCAGCTGGCGATGTATTCGAGATTCTGATGAAGGAGTACCGCATGAAAGAGATTCGCTTTATCGCTGACCGACGTGTCCCCGCTCGAGCGCGCTGGTCTGTGAGGACATTTCTTTGAAGGCGCAAGGTGGGCTGGAGCGGGAGAACGCAAGGGCAGCAGGTCTTGCAGGTCGCAGATCTCCACCGCAACACTGCGAAGCTGCTGCAGATAATGGCTAAGAGGTTGCCTCTCCGCCACGGTTGAGCCAACAGTCAACACTGGAGCCGTCCAGCGCACTTCTGTGCCGAGGAACTCGCCAACGATGACCCTTGCTCGACCTTGGGCCTCCCTACAAAACCAGTGAACTCGCTATGTGGCAGCCGTGGGAAACCAGCGATCTGCAAGGTTGACTCGTCAATCACGTGCCTACAGGGCTTCCTTCCCTCGTAGATGGAAGACCGTGAGAAAGTGTTCTTGGTGCAACAATGGGGAAACGCTTCTCATCGCGGAAGGTGCAACGATGAGCCTACATACAGTGCCCCTTTCATGTTGTCTGAGATGCCATAATGTACATGCGATGCGATGCTGCTAGTATACAGTGACTACCTTCCCGTGTATTTGATCTCCAACCACCTGAAGAACGGATACGTGACGGCGGTGAAGCCGCTCGCGAGCTCGAACCCGATATCTCCGCCGTGGGGGTTTGCGCTTCCGCCGACAAGCTTTCCAATGGGAGAAACATAAAAGCTCTGCGCCATGCCCATGGCAGCTCCGACGACGCCGAAGCAGAACGCGCCGAGGGCACCAAATCCGATCGGGAGCAGTTTGCGGTTGTTCCAGGTGAGGGCGGGGTCGTAGCGGCCCCAGTCGGCCTGGCGGAAGATGAAGTGCTCCTCGAGGAGGACAGTGACGAAGATGGCGAGCCAGTAGCCGAGTACGGAGAGGAAGGAGTGCAGCGTCTCGCCGAAGTGGTCGGCTCCGACGATCGCGACGGGAATGTAGATGGCAGTGATGACGCAGGGCCACACGATACGCGGGATGAGGGCAAGATAGTGTGTGATGACACTGATCGACATGCCCATGCTGTAGACGTTGACGATGTTGTTGGCAACGACCGAGAGGACGAGGAGGACCATGAAGAACTTGCCGCCGCCGCCCATGGGGGGCACCATGACGGCGTGCAGCATGCCTCCGACCTCGTGCTGCTGGTACATGCTCCACCAGTTGGCGATGGCCGAGCCCACGGGGGCGAACTCACCGGCGGCCGTCGCGGCAGCAATGGCGGCACCGAGCCACATGACAAGCACACAGGGAACGGCGACACCGATGTAGGTCCACATGAAGACCTTCCAGGCGGGCGCGCGCGAGGGCATGTAGACGTTATAGTCGGACGCGAGGGAGACCCAGCCGATGCAGAAGCCAAAGACGACGCCGCCGAACGAGAGCACGCTGGCCGCCTCGGCCTGTCCGACCGGCATGGGGGTGTTGACGAGGTGCTTGGCGGCGACGCCGATGACGACGAAGAACGTAGCAGCCGTAGGGATCCACGCGACCTGCTCAAAGTGGTGGATCACCTTGTAACCGCACAGGCCGAGGGCGAGCGTGCCCATTCCGATGATGACGGTGCCGACGGCGGCCGAGAAGGTCCACTCTCCGACGGCGCACAGCGTCTGCGCGCCGACAATGGTGTTGGCAATACTCCAGCCGACACAGGCGATGCAGTTCAGGACGGCGACAAACTTGGCGCCCCAGTAGCCCCACGCGTAGCGCGCGGACGTCATCTGGCGCAGACCCAGCTTGGGGCCGAATGTTGAGCAGAGCGCCGGGAGCGTCGAGGCAAAAATAACAAAGAAGAAGATCGTGAGCCTGAGGCGTTAGTTGGCTCTCGCTGGTGGGCGATGGAAGGCCAAGCTATCGCTACTCAGACAACACTGGATTGCTTACATTGAGTCTCCGAGGCCCATGCCGAAGGTCAGAGGTCCGAGGATACCGGTTCCAAAGGTGGGGAGGACGCAGTTCGCACTGAGCCAGATGGTCAGGTTGCCCCACAGGCGGGTGTCGTGGCGCTCGTCGTCGGGGACACGCTCGATACCACGAGCCTCAATGCCGATCATGGACTCGAGCTTGTGGTTGTAGTACTGGAACTTCTCGAGCGGGGACATCTTGACGGGGATGTCGTCGTCCTTGAGCCCGATCGAGGTCGGGCGAGAATCGATCTCGACCTCCGTGTCGGGGGTCAGACCCTTCTCGAGATCTATCGGTGTTGTCGCGGTCATCGCGGTACGATTATGGGAGGGCGAAAAGAGAATGGGAAGGGTTGGAGGGAGTCTGAGGATTCGTCGAGGTGATCAGCGAACGTGGGTGAGCTGTCGCTTTTTTGAACGAGTGAAATGACGTCGGGGGTAGTTCCAACGATAGGTGAGAGTTGGTCGAAGCTGCGATGCCGGACCGCGAGCCGAGGTGGAGCGATAGCTCAGAGGGGGGTGAGTAACGATGAGAAAGAAGGAGATAGCGCACTCGAGCGGTGCAAGACCTATTGCAGCCACACGCACACGCGAGATAGGAATTTCGGGTCGCTCATGGAGCACACACGGTGTGCCTACGGTTTCTCGAGTGGCACGGTGCGCCTACGGTGAGTCGCCGGGGGTGCAAGCAAAAATGACAGAAGGGTCACCAGGGTACTAGCTCCGAGGCCCCGAAGAACCGGACATATGCGACCACTCAGCAGCCGTTATCTCCCTCGGCCGCCTTGCTACGCTGTGGCATGCGCGGGCACGTGAGCGGCGTCTTCCGTCGTACCCGCCCTGTTTATCCGTTATCAGATTTTCACTATCATGCTCGTCCGTAGTGTCGTCCGCACTGCAATCGCCTCCTTCAGTCATCTGACACCTACGTGCAAGATATGCATGTATGTGCGTTACAACTGTAACGGTGTGCAGCACCATGTGGTCGTGCCTGAACAATAAGGCCCCATGCAGAGCCGCAAAATTTGGAGCACCCCAATGCCTGACCTGACCTCGTGCCCAGGGTGGTGACCGGCGAGTGGAGGCGATAGACCCTAACCTACGTCGTTCGCCAACGGCAGACGCTGCGTCCAGTCCTGCTGAGATCCACGAATGAGAAGCACGTGGGCACGTGCACGGTTGATCCTCTGCATCACACGAGCCGACATGAGTCATGCGATCTGCGTGAGCGTTCCAGTGCACGGTGAGAGTGGAGCTCCGGTCGGTACGCTCGGCTCACTCGTCGCAGGAGAGCCTCACCTGGCCATCGGCCGATTCAGCCTATCAGCTGCTGCGCGAGAGTTAGTCACCAGTTCGAACGGGCTGAGACACGCCAGATATGCTTCACGCGCAGGTTAGCACATTGGGACACTCGCGAGCGCATCGCCCATGAGTGGAGCACATTTGATGAGTGCGTTGAGCGTCGTGGAGCGGATAGATGCTCTTTCAGAGATCCGTGATGCGTGGGTCAACAGGCAGCGATAAAGAGATACGGTCGCGAGTGCGTGCCATGTCGCCATCATGAGGTAGGTGCGTGCATACAACTAATCTTGCGGAGTCGTGAGTACAGACTTGCGGACGGTTCAATGCGATAATGAGTGATGAAGCGACAGCGGGTATCAAGTGCTGAGATTGTGGGAATGAACAGGATGTATGGTCGAAATTTGCTTCCTCGCTGAGCAAGGCTTACTTCTTCCTCCAGGGAAGATTGAACCCTTTGTGCTCCTTCTCCTTGTGCTCCTTGTGGACCTCCTTCTCGAGGTGCACCTCCTTATCTTTGTCCTTGTTGCGGCCAAGCCATCGGTCGCGGGATGGCAGCTTCAGCATCGGTACGTCAAACTTGGACGCCGGAAGGATCTTGGGTGTCTGTTGCGTCTCTGTCGACGAGCTGTCTTCAATTGAGCTGGGCTTCGATCCGGGCTTCGTCGGGACGTTGACATGAGCGTATCCGTTTCCGGTCGAGTGCCCAGTGCCATTGCCATTCGCGATATGACCATTGGCCGTCGCGTGCGGTGTCGGCGTAGAAGTAGGCAGCGGGTGTGGGTCCTGCTGTGTCGGCGTAACTTTGCGCTCGAGCTCGAGGTCGCACCCGCCGTTGCAGTTGCCGTTCGGCGTCAGCTGGTCCGGACTCGGTGGCTTGCGGATGAATTGCGGGACAACCGGTAACGGAGGGTGCGGCTCGAGCGTCTGCCTTGAGGCTGGGACCTCGAACGTGGCGAGCCAGTGACACCCGGGTCGAACTCGTCATCCGGTATCGTGGTAGTGCCTCGCAACGGCGACTCGTACGAGGTATCCATGCTGCTGCGAACGGTGCGAACGCCCCGCGTCCGGATACTTCCCTTAGAGTTGCGGTGCCAGAGCTTGGACGAGGCGGTCGTGTATGAAGCCGTACTGAGCGCGCTGCTCGACATGGACTGGAACAGGAGTCCGGAGCCGGGATTCTCGATCGCAGGCGTCGGTGGGAGCGAGTCGCTCGTGAGCTCGGCCCACTGGTGCAAACTGATGCGGGGCGAGTTGGGCGGAAGTGCGTTCGGCGGCAGCTCATCGCGCGTTGCTATCGGCGACGTGCTGAAGAAGCTCGGGCTGTTGAAGCGCGCGACTGGTGAGGGGGGGACAGACCCAAAGTCCCATGACGGCGCGCCAGACGCCATACTGGACACCGTGTCGATGCGCCTCAGCTCTTGCCGCTGCGTGATGTTGACGACGTCGGCTAACAGCGCGTCCGCCAGGAACTTGCCGCCCTTGGCGTTGCTCAACCAGCGGTGGTGCAGCAGTTCGGTTGTCGATGGTCGCTTCGTCGGATCTTTCTGCAGGCAGAGGGAGACAAAGTCGCGCATCTGCTTCGAGAACGAGGCAGGAAGCTGCGGCGCAGGTGTGCTCTCCCGTGCAGTTGCGGCGAGATCGGCTGGTCGGCCGCGACCTGGTGGCGCGCCAGTCGCGAGCTCGATGATCGTGATGCCGAGGCTCCAGATGTCGGCCGACGCGTCGTACGGCTGCCCGCGGATAACCTCAGGGGCCATCCATGACGGCTGCGGTTAGCTGTTGCTCCACACCGACACATGTTTCAGAGTGCTCACTGTGCCAACGAACGACTTGCGCTTGCCGATCTCCTTGACGAAGGAAGGCGCGTCAGTAGCCGCTGGGAGGCCGGCGACGACCTTGACGCGGGGCATATCGAAGCGCACGGCCTCCACTTCGGGCAGCTCAGTCACCGGCGTGTCGGGAACGTTCACGTCGCCGGCGACGCCAAAGTCGGCGAGGAGGATTGTGCCATCCGGGGCGAGAAGGAGGTTGCCGGCCTTAAGGTCGCGCTGTTGTCAGCTGATGGTGCTTCTCATGTGCATGACAATGCGCATGCGCATGCATGGGACAGCCACGGCTGACGCCCATGCATTCATACAGGTCACATGCACGCCGAAGGTGCATTCGCATGCTCGGACTCAGTCCCGGGACCGGCGTGCCGGCACCTCGGCTGCCGGCCGCACAGTCGCACAGCGCGCACAGCCACCCGAAGTGGTCCGAGCGTTCCGACCGTACACAACACGCCCGTACCGTACCGGGCCTTGATAGGGCGATAGGCGATCGCACAAAGAACCTGCTCAGCAGGTGGAGAGGAAGACACTTACATGCAGGAATCCATTCGCGTGCAGATAAGCCATGCCTTCCAGGACCTGCTTCACGACTGCCTTGACTTCTTCCTCGTCGAGAGCTATTCGGCCGCGCTTCGGGGTGCGTGCACGCCACTCGAGGATGCTCAGCAGCGAGCCGCCCTCGATAAGCGGGGTCACAATGGCGACGCGAGCGTGGTCCGGCGGCAGTGTGAACGTCGCGAGCACGCTGTGGAGTCAGCAATCCGTCACGCCGCCGGCAGTCCGGGGACCCACCGCAGCACGTTGGGGTGCCTGCACAGTCCGAGCAGATGCGCTTCGCGGATCAGCTGCGACAGGTCCGTACTAGAGACCTTGACTGCGCATGGTCGCCATTCGTCTATCGTAGAGTCTGGATCGTTGAATACGGCGGAGTAGACGGTCGAGCTTGCGCCGAAGCCTTTGGGTTCTGGTCAGCCGATCGTCGCAGACGTAAACAATGCGGGGAAGGCACCAACGTACCGACAGGGGCGCCGAGATCGTAGTCGTTCGCGTTGGTGGTGAACGTGTCCCACCAAGCGTCGTCGAGCATGCCATGGCCCTGGAAGGACATGGAGCGTGTATGCTCTCGCTAGCGAGAGTGTGGTGTGAAGTGTTACGACGAGTGTGACACGTCGAGGATATCAGTTGACCATGGTAGGACTGGGACGACGCAACCTCCACCGAGTCGCCGTCCTGGATCCTTGCCTGCAATAGATCTCCGGATCCATCCTTGCTCTTGGTTCAGGACACTACGGCTGCGTCGGCTTGGCATTCAGTCGCATTCATCTACTGGCACTAAACCAGGAGCGTGCGTTTCACGTGGCGGTCTCGTGACTGCCCCCCCTGCCAGCATGACGTCATTCCGGGCCCATCTACCACCAGTGTGCTGTAGTGCTGTGCAGGCGGCCGCACCTGTGCTCCTACCTGTGCGCATGACAGTGCCCGTGACTGTGCTAGTTGCATTGACAGACCCCGTGTCCCCTGTATCGCGTATCACATCGCATGCACACAGCTTCCGAACACAGTCTGCGCAGATCACAAGATGTATGTCGTGTCGACTTCTGCTTCGACTTTGCTTTCTTCTTCATCTCAACGCACGTTTCCATGTCGTGCTCAGAAACGAAGCTTCCACCTCATCATACACCCGACAACGTGGTAACACTCACCCGTTACTGACTTACAGCTCGGGGACAGTCACCATCTGCTCACGTGACGGTCGGTCGGCTTCGCAGTGGCCGGAAGCGATCTTTCACCCACCAGCAGCTAAGCAGCATCGAGGGTGCATGCACCCCAGTGCGCCCGGCGGGCCAACGGCTTACTGATGGGCAGCTGCAGGGCGTGTGCTAGAGACGAAGAGGTGATAAGAGGTAAACGGCCCCTGCCGCGGCTGATGAGCAGATGAACTGAGGCCGAGTGGCGATCGTGTGTCCCGCGTGGCACCCAGCGACCTTAAGTCCACTTAACCCCCAGCACATCCTCCTGTACCCCTGGACAAAAAACGACCGGACGTCCGGAGGACCGGATGGAGAATATCCTTTATGTCGTTGGCTGATCACTGTATCGTGTTGGGGAGGGTGTGCCGAGGTCGGCGGCATGCAAACTATCGTCTGTAACGTACAGGACAGGGCCACGAAGTGAGGGGGACGAGCGTCTTTCCAGTCATGGTCAATCCTCGGTCGATTAGGTAGGTGGCTGCTCTCCTCTTGGTCTGCGCTAATTGCCCAAGACTGAAATGACCCTCACCAACCGTCAAAAGAACCCTACTAACGTCGCATTAGGCGATGGGTTAATTTGCCCCAAGAATTGACTGCCTTTTGTGAACTGAGGCTGAGGCAGAGTGGCAGTCGTGGGCTATCAAACACCCTGTTCCTCATCTAACGTTGTCCACCAAAACACCCTGCAGGATGTAGAGTATCCTCACGAGCACAGTGTGAGCCGTCTCGAGGTCACAAGGCTCCCTTCGTCTGCCTCACCGCCAGGCCCACGCTCGGTGTCGGTGTCTGAACGCTGAGACATACCGCGGCCTTTACGAACGCGGGCGACGGTCTGTTGAGAGGGCTAAGGGAAGTCAGTTACCTGCGATCCTCCGTGAGCGTAGCTTCGATCACGAGAGGATACGAGCCGTGCGTGCACGAAGGGGGTAATCGGCACTGTACCGCTGCGGCGTGCGCGGGGTCGTAAGCCGGTAGACCACTCCGGGTGCCTTTAGCCACTGACCCCCACCCAGCGTGCCCACATTGGCAGTCCATCCCCCACTCACCCCCGCCTGCCCTCCTATTCTGGGCAGCATGGCCCCCAGCTTGTACATTCATTTGCATCGCGACGAGAGTCGGCAAACTGTAGCACAGGCGAGTGCGTGCAAAAATGGCACGAAGCAGCGCGAGCGAAAATTGCACGGTTTACCTAACGAGGAGGAAGCGCTGAGGAAGAGCCAATTTCCGTGGCGCCACCACTGTGCTCAGCCTGGCCACGTCGTGCTCCCGCCAGTGCTGCAGTGCCGACGTCCGAGTAAGACGGACCAGTTCCCGATCTGCCTCCGGGTTATGCAGTGCCTTTCCAGCGTGCATATGACGTCTCACGTGGACCTCGGCGCGCCTCCGGGTCTCCTCCGAGTGTCCGAGTTTTCCAGGGCACAACGATTCCGCACTCGTTTCCCCCGCTGCTTCATCAGGTCCTGCCCGCAGGTACTCCGTCCGGGCCGGCCGCTAGCCCGCTCTCATCCACTCATCCACACGTCAGACGTCAGACGTCAGACGTCAGTCGGCACCTCATCGGCTCGGCGGGCGTAGGGACATGTGCCTGCCAAAATTAATGATCTGCCTCGAGCCTAATGAGCAGCTTGTAGCGATACGCGGTTTGCTGTGCTCCACTCGAGAAAAAATGCATGGAATGGACAGGATCTCTGGGTGGATCTGATGCATACGACTTGCGTAGAGAAATTCGGGAAATGTGAAGGACAGAGTACGGAGAATAGAACGCAAGGGGGAAGAGGGGGAGAGAGCAAAGATAGCTTGCAGAGCCCAGGAGGGGACGGAAATGTCCTCCGACCCGACCTCGGACGCACCGATGTCCGTTCTGCTGCGCGGCGAGACAGCACGAGACACACCTCGAGACAATCGCGGAATGAGGCTGCCAGGCGGCTGGGCACGGGCGCCAAGTGTCAGAAGCATGTGTCCAGCATTCCGCACCTGTCCTGATCGATAATGTTCCCCTCGATCCCCTCATAGCTAGCGACGCTTGCGCGTTGCTCATGCTCTCCTCCCCGTTCCCACAACTCAAGTTATCCGTCGTGATCGCCGGGGACGGCATGGGAGCTGGGATGATGGCCGTTGAACAGCCTAACGGCGATGGGTGAGGGCAATTTTCCCAGTTTTTCCGAAAGCTTTCCGAAACGCTCAAGCATCTGAACCCAAGGCCAACCCAAGGCAATTCTGCGTGCCTCCGTGCGCGCAAAGGAACAGGGTTAGAGTTGCCCAGAGGACTGCAAAATCCTGGGGACGTGCCTGCGGGCTGGCGTACGTACGTAACGTGAGTACCGGTGGGTGCGGGCAGAGAAAGTGGTTGCAAAGTGTCCGAAAACACTCGCCCGCGTTCGCCGATCGGTCAAGGTTTACAGCGTGTGGGCAGGCTGGCGGGTGTACGGAGATAGGACGGGCGGGATGATGTCAGGGTTATGCTGTTGGGTGGATCATGGTCGCGTGTCGTCATTCCGCACCTCACCTCACGGCCAGGTCGGAGGGTGCCGAACTCTGATGCAGTGCGTGTTGCACCTGTACACCATACGCCGTGCGCAGCGCGCAACATGTGGGTTGACTCAACCATCCTTTGCTTGCCATGAGCGTCCCACGGGCACAGCGTGCACAGCGCCGAGTAAGCGATATGCATGCATGCCTTACCGCATACCCCGGTGTCTGGGAGTTGTAGCTGACATGCAAACGGGGTATGCATGGCGGATGTCCCGCCGCACAGCCTGGACACATCACCGAGCAGCGCTATGCATGGCACGACTTGGAGGTGGACGGTTACAGCAGTCTAGTGACGGGTGGCGGCACTTTTTGCAGCCGACATGACAAGCAGATCCCCCACTGGGCATGCTGGGCATGCTGGGCACATGTCCCGTAGGCCCCGGATGCACCTGCCGTACTGCCGTGCCGGCCGGGAGGAAAGCCACCGCCCGTCTGCAGGCCCAGGCTGGGCCGGGTACGGCTGGGCCCAGCAAAGTTCAGTGGGTGCCGCCCAGTGGTGAGTCCAGCCAGCCAGTCTAGTTGGCCCAGAGCAGGCCCAGACGCGGAATGGCTGTGTCGATCTGCATGACATTTGGGCTCGTTTGTATGGCTCCATGTCGTCTTCTGGCTGGAAAGACGAGCTAGACGTGTAGACGAGATATGTGGAACCCATCCCGCTCTGGCACGCTCACCGATGTGCCGCTTGTCAGCGTCATGCGTGGATCGGTGGAGACGACTGAGGAACGGAGGCACGCCCATACCGTCCTTCCGAATGCGAACGGCCGCGACGACGGACGGTTCAAACGATAAACCTCTGACGTTGCGTCAGCCTCACGTTGCCCGCGTGTCAGCGGCGGCGGGACAGCACGGCAGGACGGCATCTCCCAAACGCTGCGCTCCTGCGGACGCCAGTGCGCCAGATCTGGAGCCACCGTGCCGTACGTGCCGGGCGCGCTCGCGTCCGCCGCGCCAACAAGCCCAACCCGCGCCGCAACCGCGCCGCCAACGCCAGTGATGTAATCATTTGCGGCGCGTACGCCTCTTCGCTCCACTGGAATGCGTCCTGTTCTCTGGTATGTGTGTTGCAGTTATACTTCATAATTTTTACTACTGATGCTACTGCTGCTGATGAAGCTTTCCGTGCGTCAAAAAAGACAGACGCAAGCCGCTACTAACTATGGATGGTGATATGCTATGGTACACATGATGTGGATGCTAATGTCGATACGATACAGTTGTTGCCGAGGAAACAGGGAAAGCGAAGAGATAGACGAGCGGGTGGACCAGCGTGGGCACCAAAGCTCGAAAGGGTGGGGATCAGGGTCGCTCAGGGTCATCTCCTGAAGCAAGCATGAACCGAACAACCTAACACGCCCTCGCACGCGCAAAGAGGCGTACAGTGTTGCTGCTGGGCGTGCAGGCGTGGCTTGGGCGATTGGCGAGGTTCGCGGACCGATGTTCTGCGTCTGCTGCAGGTGCTGGAAGGTCTGCAAAAGACAGAGCGGAAGCCCACTCATGGCCCGGGCGCGAAGCCTGAAGAGACCAAAAGTGAACTTTCGGACACGCACATATCCGTTCGGAGACTGGACCGGGCCCGATTCTGGACCGTCGTGCCGTCCGTCCGTAGCGGGGAGCGATTGGCGGGCCCCGGAGCTCTTGGGGGCGACTGGGGCGGGCGGAGTGCGCTACATCCACCAGATCGACCAACCGTCGCTTGCAGTGAGCCTGGCAGTGGCACCACCACACGTCGAAGCGAGGCGATTGGTCGGCTCAATGTCCGCGAGGTGTTGCAGCTGTAGCTGCCAAGCCACAATTTGGAGTGTTGTATGAGGGTTATGAGAGCTTATGCACACATGCACAAGCGAGGTATTCACTGGGTGAATTACGCCGGCGTCGTCTCGATGCCGCCATCAGTCTCGAGGGCATCGCCCTTGGTGGCAGGGAGGGATGCAGACGTGGGCACATCCTTGCGGACGTGCTTGTCGCGCTTCTCGAGCTGCTCGCGCTCACCGACGAGAAGGTTGGCGATCTGCGGACGAGAAGGCGAGAAACCGCCAAACTCGGGCTCCAGAGCGCCGACCTTGCGCGAGCGCGCGAGGGGGCGACCGTCGCTGGGCGTAGAACTTGAGCGGCGCGAAGAGCTAGGGCTTGTCGAAGCAGCGGCGGCGGAAGAAGTCTTGTCGAGCTTGCGGAAGTAGTGGTACAGAGAATCAACATTAACGGGCTTGCCGCTCGCGACCATGTAGCGGGCCGCCTCAGCGTAGAATGGAGGAAGGCTCTGGACGAAGGCGCCCATGGCAGCAAGCTTCTCGTCACGGCTCTGCGCGCCCTCAAGACGGTCGCGCAGGCGCTCAAACTGCAGTGCCCAAGGCTCGTTGCGCCCGTTCAGCGCGATCGAGTTCATGCTCTGCCGCGACGTCGGGCGCGATGACCCGGAAGCTCCCGAGACACTGCTACGGCCCGAAGAGCCGGAGGCGTTGCTCTCACCTCCGACTGAACGCTGGGAACCGCCAGAAGGGCTGGGGTGATCAACGGGGCCGTTGGTGGACTTGACGTAGCCGTGGAGATCATGGGAGGAACCAGTGTGGCTCATGTGATTGTAGTTGACCGGCTCCTGGGTAAGGCTGTTGCGCCGTGCCGGTCGCTCCTCATCGCGGTCAGACTCGTAGGTGGACACCATGCTGCGGCGGAATCCGAAACGCCTGACGGGGGAACGCGAGCGTGAGCGCGCCCGAAGGTTCGAGATGAGAATGCGCCCGGCGCGGTGTTCAGGCGAGGTGATGGGGTGAAGGGCCTCGGAAAGCACAGAGGAAGAGCTCTCCACGGGGCTGGAAATGACGGTTGTGGTGGCTATGGTGGCGTCTGAAAATGGAGTAGTAGGCACGAGCCTAAGGTCGAAATGGCGCTAATGAACAGAGGGAAGATCTGAAAAGTCGAAAGTCGACAGATCAATAACGCTATGCGATAAAGCGAAGAGAAGGCGAACTGCTTGCGGTGCAGCGGGTAGATCGCTCGTAAAAAGCTGCAGAGAGACCGAGATCTAGTGCGGGACGGTGGGGCGAGTGAGCAGATGTGCTGGTATCGAGAAAGTGATGGGCAGCGAAGTTGTCGTGGTAGGAGGTGTAGTCGGTAGGTATAGAGCACTGCTGGGTGTTGTTGTGAGCGAGCGGTCGGATGGGTGGGTGACTTGTTTGTGTGGTGTGATGAGTGGACGGGAGGGGATAACAGGTGACTACCTCATGGTGACCGGTTGTTTTATACAAGAAGCACAGCGGGCATGCTCTCGGACGAACTTGCAAAAGAAATGGAGGAACGTCGGAGGGAGGAATGCCGGCGGTGCGCGGTGTAGTGAGTGGTGTGGTGCGCGTGCGGGCGGGGGGCGCAAGAGAGGTGTCGGGCGGAGTGAAGATGGTGGTATGGAGGGTGTTGTGCGATGCATGCGACAAGGTGCTGCTCGGGCAGGGAGTGCGGGCGTACGGGCGTACGGGCGTGCACGCTGGGCGGACTACGGGGACTACGGCACTACGGCCTCAGCAGTGAACCAAAGTTGCTGCCCGGAGATAGTGAGGCGGATTGTTGAGCAACCCTGCGATCCCCCTACGATCCCCTACGATCCCCCTGCGACCCTGACTCCCCTACCTCCCTTACGGCCTTATGGGCTACGACTGGCTCACTCGCCTGACGCACCTCCCTGGGGGGGGGGGCTGCTCTCAAAGCAGGCACGGCACCTTGAATGGCTCCAGAAATCCTGCCCTTTTTCCGTATCCGGAGCCAACCATGCGACACGCAAGCTCTCCAACCTCCACCCGTCATCCATCCTCCCCTCCTTACATCTCTGACCGCCGCCCACCGTACAGTGTGGCGACACAGTGGCGGGCAGTCGGAAGAATACCGCGCCGAGAAACCGATCCGATTGGCGTCCCAGGCACCCTCATCATCATCATTGCTCTTCGATCCTCAAACTCTCTGCCCACACCACATCCCCCCGGCCCTAAGGCGGCGGCACGTGGGTCACTCTCGGCGCCGTCGCCTTCATATGCCTCTTGTTGACAACCAACGGGCAACCTGTCCGGGGCACGTCACGGCGAACGCTTCTGCCTCAGATTCCGAGCCACCGTTAATACATACCCCTTTCGTCCTTGGCCGCACTCATCTGTCTTAGGGGCGCCGGAGGAACGAGACTCACCCGGCCCCGCGTCCTAGTTGCATCACAGCTTGGAACGCTGGAAAGCAGAGCGATCCTAACAAACTCTCGATATGAGCGGATCGGGACAGTTACTGATCACTGATCGGGGGGTCGCAGACGTCTCCGACTTCCGACATCGTAACTATTTCGGGCAAAGGCCGGCTATACGATGCAGCAGTGGTCAGCTGACCGAGAGGTTGATCTGATGGTAACGTGGACCTTTGAATGCTATCAATCGAGTGCGCAACCTGAAAGCAATTGCGACCACAACGGGGTCACCAGCACAGCAGGGGATGTGAAGGGCACGATACGAAGCAGGGTCGCTCACGCTGCACTCGTCGAGCCCCCTTCCATCAGACAAACGACCAACCAGGCTGAAGCATTGCGTCTATATGTGTCTTGCAATGTCTAGAACGGTGACTTGAACAGGTCTCGCAGCAATAGGTCTGCGCGAGTCTCAACCCCTTACAGCTCGTCCCTCAGGGGGCCGCTTGGCGTTTGACGAGATGGACGAGATGGACGAGCTGGCAGCCAGGTGGCTGAAGCAGAGTCAGCCCCCGATCAGATCTTGGTGACCGGCAGTTGCGTTTGGGGTCAGATTCGGATGCTTGGGCAGCAGGTCGGGCAGAGCACACAGGAATTTCGGCGAGTGCGGGCAGAGCCCGAAAAGCATCGGGCCAACGTGACTGGCCCACAGGCATAGGAAGAGAGACGACATGTCCGACGTTTCGCGCAAGTTTACAGGGACGATGTGGAGCTGGATGCAAACCCAGTGGTTGAAAATCTGAATGGAGTCGCTGGTGGTGACTAGTCATGACATTGGTGGCGAGGACCGGGGCGGAATCTCAGGGTGGTGTAACAGACCGTATTATCTCCCCTCGGCGCTGGTGCGTCTCGCAGATCAGGTACGGCATCTCAGGATGCCTTCCCTCGTCATGCCCTTGGCGGCCAACACCTCTGACGTAACTGGATCCGCCGTGCTCGCCCTGCTGACCGGGTGGCCCCTCAGTTTGCCCCTATGGCTTGCCCAGCTGCCCGCACTCCTGATCGACTCCTGATCTCCTGCCCGCACCGCATGCTTGCGTGGCCGCAGTCGCTTAAAGACACACAAGTCTGCCCGCTCGCTCGGCCGGCCGGTCGGTGTATCCGGCTGCAGGTCAAGGCGAAACGTCGGATAAAACGTGACCCACGGTTTCACCACTGACTGACATGCTACGGCCGTGCGGATCACACTGCCTGACACTCCACGGAATGTCTGCCGATCTCCGCGAATCCGCACCTCGCCTACCACGTGGTGAAACAAGAGCCAAACATGCACGTGACCTTGTCGCACGGTGCTCAAAGTCAGACGCGTCAACAACTGACTCAACCGCTCAGTGGACTCAGCCAGACAATGCCGGACCTCCACATTACTTTCGCGTCTTCCCTCCGTCCCACCCGCGACTGACCACCCTACCCGCTGACCTCATCTCACCACCTTCCCTCTCACCCATGTCTCTCCGCAGAGAACAAGCAGAGCTCCAACGAGCTTTAGAGCTATCCTCACAACAAGCAGCTGCCTTTGCCCACATCTCGCCCTACACCCTGTCCAGTGCGACCACCGCCGACAGCCGCGATCTCGAGCTCCGTCCGGCCGCCCCGCTCGCCGCCCCCGCCCAGTGTGAGTCTCATACCACCCTACCATCAGACGGTGTTGCGCAGCCCCTACTGAAATGTCTCGCGAAGGGCGCCCATGGTATGCTGTGCGGAGTGATCTTCCTCATCGACACGTGCTACAGAAACGCGGAGCATTGCCACCGACCGAGGGAAGGATGTCTTCAAAGGGCACATGTGCTTGACGACGTCTTACCTCTCGGTCCGGCGAAGACCTTGAGACAACGTGCGACTCCTTATCTGTGTTCTCGGCGGGAACCTGAACCATGGCTCCGGCTCGTCATCACGCCTATCTTGCCCACAAGCGATCACCCTCGGGATGCGGTCCGCTCACTCGTGAGACTTTCAGCTGACTGTATCGCAGCGTCCAACTCAATGTCGTCCACCTCGATGTCTTTTTCGGGGCCCGCAACTCCGATCCGTCCGCAGGAATCGTCCCTTCTCAGTCCCGATTCTCCCCGCCGGAGACTACCTCGCCAATCTTTAGTCGAGGTCGTGGTACCCCGCTCTAGGAGAGAGACTTCCCGCGATCCCATTGACTTCTTAGACACGCAGGACTGTGTTATCGTCGGCGGGAGTACTGCACCGATCCTGCCTCCGCCTCCACCTCTGCCGCCCTCATCCATCGAGCTTTTCCCTGCATCAGGGAGCAGCGCTACGTCCGCCAACGGACGTCGTTCGGCCCGGGTGCTGAAAAAGCAAGAGGACGAGGCGGCAGCAGCTGCCGAGAGGAAGCGGAAACGTGCTGAGAGGAAGGCCCGGGAGGCCGCGGAGAAGGCAGAGCTGCAGCGACGGATCGACGCCGGAGAGATCGAACCTCCCGAGGATCCCAAGAAGAAACGGCGACGCACTACCGAATCCCGGGCAAAAAAAACTCCAAGACGAGTCAGTCTAGTGATAGCCAGGCCAGTCACCGGCTATCGTCCCAGTCGGAACTTGCTGAGCGACCGGTTCCTGTTACTTCCAGCTCTTCAAGCGCGCATCCCACCGCCACCGATGCGAGCGCTGGGTCGACTTCACCCATCAGACCTACTCCGAATCCTGCCGAGACGATTGCTGAGCCGCGACCGTCAACGGAGTCGCGAAGAGCGCCCTCGCCGACCAAGAGAGTGGAAACCCCGCAGGCCGCTCCGTCATCGCCAGCCCAGCCCACTACTCCTGGACCGGCCACTTCCAGCTCTAGCTCATCGGCTGCTCCCGCTCCCACGACGCCAGCTGCGCGACCTCTGCAACCGTCCAGGAGTACACCTGCGTCGTCTGACCGGCCCAGCACTCCGGGTCCAAACGGTTACAAATGGAAGACCGGTATGTCCAAAGCTACACTGCCTTTGTTCCAGCTAACCTTCAGCCCGAAACGACCTGGCAAGCGTGCTGAACAAGTTCCCGAAAGCTCGGCCGACAGGCATGTCGAAGCGCTTGAAGATTCAGTCGTTGCATACGAGCATCGGGCCGGGAAAGGCCGCACCGCCGCCTCCCCCACCCAAGCGAAAGCCAAAGGAGGAGAGTGACGACGACGATGATGATCCGAACAAGATCAAGGTTGGGAGCCGTGAATGGCTCATGATGGAGGACTAACGTGTATGATTAGGTCATTGAGCATTGTTGATTGTATGCATTCAGGGTTAGTGTTATCTATGCGCTCATGAGCTCTATGATGTGCGTCGCTACGCTTAAGCAGTGACCTCGCCGATATCCTCGTTCCAGACCTTCTGACCGACGGGGCCAGCGATCCAGTCGGACATCATCTTGGTGATCTCCGGGTTCTGGAGGTTGACAACCTCAACGCCCTTGGAGCGGAGGAGGTCCTCGCCACCAACAAAGTTCTCGTTCTCAGCAAGGACGACGAGAGGGAACTTGTACAGGACGCAGGTGCCGGAGCACTGGGCGTCAGCTTGATCCTCGACAGCAACTCACCATGATGCAAGGGCTGAGGGTGGTGAACATGGCGCACTCGCGGAAGACACCCTCGTTGACGCGGCCGAGGTTCTCAAGGGCGTCCATCTCGCCGTGGCGGATGTTGGAGTTGAGCTGGACACGCTGGTTGTGGCCCTTGGCAAGAACCTTGCCGGTGGGCAGGTGGACGATAGCGGCTCTGCGGGTTAGTGCCCCAGTCCATCCTATCTCTGGTGCCTCCACTCACCCGATGGGGATGCCGCCCTCGCTCTGGCTCTTGAGCGCCTGCTCGTGAGCGCTGCTGTCAGCTAGGTAAGGATCGCGGTAGCTCACATCTTCATGAACTCGGGGTACTGCTCCTTGGTGACGGCCATGTTGGTGGTGTGTGCCATCTCAACATGGTCAATGTCCGCTTCTTCGGCGTCACAACAATTTCTACAGGCACGCACGGCACGTGTCGATAATAGATGGACGGGGGTGCAGACCCTATCGTCAGCCAGTCAGTCCAGGGTGGGTGGCGACCAGCATTCCGAGAATGCTCCCGTCCGCAGGGGGGCTGTCGAGTGATGCCATTACATAACACGTCTGGCTTACCCCGCAGTGCGGTGCCGTCAGTCGCCGCGTCAGGCTGAAGTCCGTGCCACCAGCTGCGCTAGCCACGAGCCTCGTCGGCCGTCGACCTCGTCACAACAACACTCTCCAGACCGACTACCCCGCCAAACACGGAGCCGCACCAGCGGCCATGGTGAGTACCAGACTTCTGCTTGTGTGCATTTGTGCTGACATTGTGCCTTCCCCGCGTCCGCGTCACATCCCATTTGCCGCTGCACCGACATGTACACGTTGGTTGACTGGACCTCCACCACGAATACACAACCGGCTTTCATACCTAGGACCACAACCTCCTCGTATCGGAACTGCAGCAGCTCATCGTCGAGAGCAAGCGGAGGAACCATGAGGTCAAGGATGTGAGTGGCTCGAGCAGTGACGATACCGGCTGTTGCATGCTGGGTCTGGACGGGCAGCTGTAGACACTGATCACGAAGCTGACCACCAGGCCGGCGAGGTCGCTCTCGAGATCTTGCGACCCGGTCCGCAATCGCGCGAGGTCCTCTCCGCGAACGCGGACAAGCTTCTCGCTCCGATGACGCTGGGATGCAAGACGAAGAACGCCAAGATCGTCGGCATCAGCATAGCGGCGTTGCAGCGGCTAGTCGCGCTCGGCGGCGTGCCGCTCGAGCACCTGCCGGGCGTGCTCCAGACACTGGGCGCAGTGTCAGGACAGGCGGTCGACATCCAGCTCAAGATCCTGCAGACGCTGCTCAGCATGCTGACGTACTGCACCGACATGCACGGCGAGACGCTTGGTACCGCGCTCCTGCTCTGCTTCAAGCTACAGGACAGCCGCGTCAGCGTCGTTTCCTCGACTGCGGCGGCGACATTGCGACAAGCGATCATGGTTGTCTTTGATCGTGTCAGCGTCGAGGACGACCCGACCGAGACGCTCACCTTGCCCTCCGACCCGCCAGAGGAGGTCCAGGTCACCCCCGCCGTCAAGGACGCATACTACATCCTGAGCGATCTGTGCGTGCTGACGGCGGCGGCGCCGTCGGCTTCGGGTCTGAGCTTGTGGACGTCAAGTGAGAAGGAGAAGCCCGTCATGCTCAAGCTGCAGTCGCTGCAGCGCACGTTTGGGCTCGAGCTTATCGAGTCCATTCTTAGCGGATACGAGGGCGTCGTCAAGAAGCACCCCGAGCTCGTGCACCTCCTGCGCCACTCGCTGCACCCGCTCATTATCCGGCTGCAGGGAGAAAAGCCGTCCTTCCCCGTCGCGCTCCGCATATGCCGTCTCCTCTACGTTCTCGTTCGCAGCTACGCCGACCAGCTCTCAGCCGAAGTCGAGACGTATCTCCTCACTCTCATCCGGTTAGGTGCCGGAGATCCAGACGAGGAAAAGCCGCCCGCGAAGAAGGACACGGTCGCGCCATGGATGCACGTCCTCGCGCTCGAGATCCTGAGAGGAATCTGCGGAGATCCCGCCCTTCTCCGGAATATCTGGACACAGTACGACAAGGCCGGTGGCACCAAGCTCTTCGCCAAGCTTGTGTCTGCGCTCGGACATCTGGTCAACGAGAAACCGGCCCTGCTCGGCGTCGGCACGCAGATGCACGGCCTCGGCGTTCCCGCCTCGTCGAGCGAGCACGTTAACTCGGGCTACCTCGACATGGGTATCGGCATAGTTGCGTCCGCGGCGACACTGGGCGCCTCGGCCGTCTCGAGCGCCATGTCTGGACCGACAGCCGTGGGGCTCGGCGCGCACTCGGGAGTGAAGCAGCGCCTCATCGAGCAGCACGACAAGGCGGAGCCGCCAGCCTTCCCGGAGACGTACGTCTACCTTCTGGCTGTGCAGTCGCTATGCGCGATTGCCGAGAGCATCTTCATGGGAATAGGATCCGAGGAGACGCGCGAGACGTCCAAGGGGCTGGCGGAGAGTGCGTGGCCGGCGCTACTCGCTGCGCTGTCGTATTCTATCGCCACCGATCTGTCGGATCAACTCTTCGTCGAGGTACTTGCGGCGCTGCAGGACTTCACGGTCGCCTGCGGCACGCTTGACCTCAGCACGCCACGCGATGCCTTCCTCCAGACCCTCGCGCGATGTGCTGTCCCGCCCACAGTCGTGTCCGCCATGCAAACATATATGGACTCCCCGCCAAAGGCGTCGTTAACGGTCGAGTCGCTCGTCAGTGGCCCAACAGGCCCGCCGTCGCTATCGGAGCGCAACCTCGCCTGCCTCCGGAGTCTGATCGGAGTCACGCAGTTGCTTGCTGGCAGCATGGGTCCGGGGTGGCACGACGTGCTCGAGACGCTGCAGAACGCCAATTACCTCCTGAACGCGAGCCGCGCGCCGCGCCGGCCTAACGTGCAGTCCCCCGTGAGCCCGAGCAAGTCGCCTTCCCTCGAGCCGACAGCGCCGAAACCCGATATGCTGCAGGATTTGGATGCCGAGTCAATCCAGGGCGCCGTCAACGAGCTGTTCGAGAACACACGTGACCTCGACGACGCCGCGTTCACCGTCTTCGTCACCGCCCTTTGCCAGCTCAGCGCCGAGGTCATCGGCATGGGGAACCCGTCAGCGCAGACGCTCCCGAGACCTTCCGCCGAACCGCGAAGAAGAACCAGTGGCATCAGTATCGGGAGCAGCAGCAAGTCGTCGGAGCGCTCGTTCGGGCTCGCCAAGTTGCGTAGCGTTGCGACGCTGAACGTGAACCGTCTCGTCCAGTCCCCGCCCGAGGTGGGGTGGGGCGTCGTCACGCAGCACCTCGTCGCCGTGGCACGGCACACGACCGCACCCTCGCCTATCCGAGTGCAGGCGTCGGACACGCTGGCCGAGTTCTTGCAGCTCTCGCTACGCACGGCATGCGAGGCACGTGTGCAACACCAGATCTTCGATGTGCTCGCCAAGGTCGTCGACGTCGCTCCTGTTTCGAATACTGTCGCGACCGACTACGACGTCCGCAGCACGGGATACGAGACGCTGAACCACATCCTTCAGTCGTCTGGACACAGCCTCGAGGTTGGGTGGCCGACCATCTTCGACATGCTCAACTATGTGTGCAAGCGGCCAGAGGACGCGCAGCCGCACAAGGGCGACGCGGCGCTCGTGCGCATCGCGTTCCCGTCCCTGACGCTTATCTGCACCGACTTCTTGTCGTCGCTCGACGCAGACGCTATGCGACAGTGCATCGTGTGCCTGGGCTACTTTGGACGGCAGACCGACGACGTCAACATCTCGCTGAATGCCATCGGGCTGCTGTGGAACGTCTCGGACGCGGTCCAGGGCGACTCGAAGGAGCTCTGGCTCTACCTTCTGACTGAGCTGTTGGCGCTCGCGCGCGACCAGCGACTCGAGGTACGCTCGAGCGCCATGCAGACGCTCTTCCGCTGCGTTGAACTGTATGGTTCGAGCCTCAGCTCAGAGCTCTGGGACAAGGTGTTCGCGCAGGTCGTGTTCCCGCTCATGGAGGCGATGCGAGGCGACGAGTCGCAGGTACTCGCGTTGACCAGTGTGGGTAACATCTTTGGCCAGTTCCTGCCCCAGATCATGGCGCTCCCCGACGCCAAGGGCGTGTACCAGCATCTCCTCGACCTGCTTGTGAAGAGCTGGACGAGCGAGCCGCGGAAATGCGGCACAGCCGCTGTTCGCGTACTCGAGCGTGTCCTCTCCGTCGCGGAGAAGGGCAGCCCGCTCCTCCCCCCGTCGTGGGACACGTTTGTCGCCCTCGGTCGCGCGCTGAAGGACCCCCACGAGGACCCGTACACGCAGGACAATCTCGTCGTGCTCGTCAAGGTTGCGTCATTACTCCATGCCAAGTTGCAGTGGGACGACGACAAGCTGAAGGAGTTCTCCAACATCCTCCGTTCGCTGGTCACCTACTCCAAGTCGCCGGACTACCGGCCAGACGTTGACGTCATGTCGCCTTTGCAGAAGGACGTAGCCGAGCTCGTCGCATCGAGCCAGCTCGGCGCACACCTCGTGCTTTGCGACCTGGCCGAGTTTGCCTCCCTCGCGTACGTGGGCAGCGGCAACCCGAAACTCAGCTACGTCGCTTTGTCCAAGTTTGCGATGCCGAAGATTTTCGACGTGTTCGCGCCCGTCTCCTCGGACAAGTCGCTCTACGAGGACGAGACGGTCGAGGCGATCTTGAAGGCGTTCTCCCTCCCCATCAAGCTCAAGTACGACTGCCCCCCAGCAAGCAAGTATGGCTCCGACGAGCCGCTCTGGCGCACAGCAATGCGCACCTTTGTTGGCGTGCTGAGCCACGTCGTCAAGGGTCTGGACGGGGAGCTGAGTGAGGAGCGCTACGACGCCATCTGGGGCACGATCATGGACGTGTTCTCCGGCGTGCTGCTCGCCGATAGTGGCGAGGAGCCCCTGCCCGACGACGAGGAGTTCATCCTTCCGCTTCTGAACGACATGCGTACAGCGCTCTTCGCGCGCCTGCGGGATCCGCGGCTGAAGCCCGCCGTCGTGGAGCGGTTCGCGGAGACGCTGCGCCGCGCGTCGCTGCTGTACCACTACGACGTCGAGGCGAGCGGGGGCACGACCGCCCCGGCTGTCAACGACGACGGCGAGGGCGTGCGGTACTGGGCCTTTGACCAGCTCGTGGCGGGGGCGAGGCGCGAGCACGGCGAGCACGGCGAGGGAAGCGAGCCGCGCAACGACAGCAATGACAGCAAGGCGACGGCGACGGAGGGGGAGGAGGCGAGCCGCCGCGTCGCGGCGCTCTTCGCCCCGGCCGTCCTGAAACGCTTCGACCTGACGCTGCGCCAGTTCCTGGACGACGCAAAGCTGCGCGGCCAGATGCCCTTTTCTCGGTGAGTAGCTCAAGCTTCGAAAAATAGCTGACAGACCAGGGTCCGTGAGGACGAGCTGCTGTATGTGCTCACGCATCTTGTCACTATGAGCATGTGGGGTAGCACGAGCGACGCAAGCGGTTCCGACGCGAGCGACGACACCAAGGCCGCCGAGAAGGCGGATGGGGCGGCGACACCATTACAAGCCGCCGCGGCCCGATCGCCCCGCGCCCACCTGTTCGCATACTACCCGCTGCTGCTGCAGCTCGCGTTCGTCCCCTCCGCGCCCAGCATGTGGGTCACGCCGCCCGAGTACTACAGACTGTTTGGGAAGGATGTGGCCGACGACGCGGGCTTGAGTGGGCTTGGTGCTGATGAAGACGCGCCGAGACAGAGCATGGACGTCAATGGCGACATTGGGCCGGAGAGGGGGGGACGAGGACATGGTCGAGGTGTCTGCGCGCGAGCTGGCGCGGCGCGCACTCGAGCTCGTAGGCGAGGAACTGTGCTTGGGCCAGTAGACATATATATTCATACTATAGACATGCAATACTTGTAAAGCTCTGCAGGAAGAGGTGGACCCATGGTGTGTTGCTTGAGCTCTTTCGCCTGGACGACCTCACCAAGACTCCGTAAGAGGAATGCAGAGCCAACAATCACTCCCTTGCCCGACGGGAGCTCCGTGGGATCACCGCAGGACCGACCGTCTATCCGCACTCTACATGTTTTTGGAAGAATCGGAATCCGTTCTGCACAACCGACAACATGGTTACTGCGCCGCTTACTGGCGTGGGTGTGTCGCAGGGCTTTGTACAGCATCAGATGTTTCATCTGGTGAAGCGCCGCACTCAAGCCTTCCGCGACACCGTCGACCTGGTGCACCAGGTCTTTGCCGACCCGGTGACCGGAGTACCTTCCCCCGTCGCCTTCCACCACCCGACCAGTGCGCGCCAGCCGCACTGGTACAACCAAGCGAAGGGCGGCGGTTATGGGCGTGTCCTCGAGCTCGTCGTGTCCTCGGCGTACCTTCTCCAGCAAGGCGACGACAACGACCTTGTCGTCAAGCTCCTGGATGCTGCGTACCCCGTTCACAGAGCCTACCACCTGAGGGACGCGCTGAGCGAGGAGGCACGATCATCGGCCTCGTCAGCTTCAGCTAGCACAGCCACCCACAGCTCGACGCCTCCTCTCCAATCTAAGAGACAGCTGCGAGCTGATGTCGGCTCTCACACCGCCACCCTCTCCCCATCCTCCGTGTCCGCGAAGCGGGCCCGGGTTCCATCCAAGACGCCCTCTGTCGCCTCAGCAGACCGCACATCTTCGGTCTCAACCGCTCACCCGATCAGTCACAATGTCTCGCCACCAACAAAAGCAAAGCCTTCTTCGTCGACGAGTTCCACCTCCACTTGGCCAGTTCCCGGAGCGCGCAGTGCCATGTAGCCACATATGGCGTGACTCATTGTGTGATGCGTGTAGCATCGATCTCGTTGCAGGGCGACAACAGCGTGAAGACCGGTGGAAGGGGCATATGCACTCCAAAGGCATGCACATGGCAAAGAGTTTAAGATCGCGCCAGCCTTCCCCCGGAATTCTGCCGGGTTTCCTACCGGTTTCTGGGGTGACACGGCCACAGAGGACGACGTTTGGAGGCTCTGTGTCCGCGCCCTCTACCGCGCCGAGTCACAATGTGACAAGCGGTTCGGGCCCCAACCTCAGAACTCTCCGTGTGGCGTCCTTTTCCTAATCCTGCGGCACTGGGCTCGTTATGGGCCCGTCGACATCTTCACACGGCTGCCCTTCGATGTCGGCGGCAATCCCCATTCACCCCGTGCGTTTACCATGGTGGCGCATCGGCGCCATCACTCGCCATTTCACCTCGGGTTTGATCGCAGATACCCCAGCGATCTGGCCCAGTTTGACGAGGAGCGCGTAAATGCCCGCCTCGAAAACTGGATCATTAACCGTGCAATTTCGTCGTGGCCAGACAGCGTCGTGATCCAGATGCTTGAGTTCCCCGCAGTCGTAGTGCGACAGGGCGTTCGGTCACCAGCCCGAGAGCTCGCCAATGGGCGTACTCTTCTTGATGCTGGTCCACTGGTCTCGCCACGGGGTTGTAGACATGTTCACCGGTGTCCCCTTCGACATCGGTGGCAGCCCTCACTCGCCCAGAGGGTTCACCATGATGGCACATCAAGTGCACAATGCCCCGTTCAACCTGGGCTTCGACAGGCCGTACCCCACCGACCTGTCGCAGTACGATGGTGCCCGAGTTAATGCGCGCCTGGAGCTGTGGGTCTGGAACCGTCTCATCAGTTCCTTCCCCGCCCCCGTAGTTATCGAGATCATACGATCGGCTCGCACGTTCGTCGGCCCACTCCTGCAGAACCTGGGGCTGGCTGTGTCGACCACCGAGTTCACGTTCGGCGATTCGCTGTGGTCCGAGCTCGAGCACAACGGCCTGGCCGACTTTGAGATCGAGCGCTTCTACGACGTCCCCGCCGAGAGGGGGCTCGCAATCCGAGACCCGAACTCCCAGTAACTGGTGAACGCCACGCATTCGGACCTCCCCGAAGGTCCAGCCAGGGACTTGGTTATGACTAACTCCGAGCACGAGCTGCAAGATCTGCTGCGCGCCATCGGCCCTGTGTCCGGAGGAAGGAAGACGGACCTCGCCATCAGGATCCAGCAGCTGTCGGTGTTGGATGACGAGCTCCGCGACCCAGGTGAGGTCTCATTGTCTTGGGCGGTACCGACAACTTCAGTTCGAGATCCCCGCTACCTCAACCTCCGCAGGAGGGGTTGGGAAGAGCTCAAGGATGAGTGCCGATCAAGAGGGCTCTTCGTCGAGGGCTGTAAGCATGACGTGGCCATTCGGTTGATGGAGGCCGAGGACGAGAGCAACCTCGGCCGCTATCGCCGATCGACGTTTGGTCGCCCATACTTTTCCTTCCGACGGGGCAGGATCTTGAGCGTCCAGGACTTCGACGCCGGCGACGACGTCAAGAACAGCGTCATTCGGGACCTCCTCTCTCACCGGCTGGACGTCCTCCGCCCGTTCGCCCGCCTTCAAGGCATGAACGGGCACGGTGATAAGCTCGAGGTCGTGAAGAAGCTCGTTGCCGAAGGCTTTACGTCCGCTGACATCCCAAAGGAAGATGCCCCACGTCCTCTGAGCGAGGTGGCAACCTGGCTGGCGAGCAATTTCAACTACCGGGAACTGCGCAGCAGAGCCGCGGGTTATGGGGTTGGAACCACTGGCGGCATCCAGGACCTGGCCGGTCGCATCGCCGAGCACGAGGCGTGGCTCGAGGAGAACGACGCCCATGTTCCCGTTCGAGCAAAGCGAGTCGCGCTCGCGAGTCGACTGCGGAAGATAGAACGTCAAGAGCTACGACATCCGCCCGTCGACAACTGTTGCCGACAGCATCCATCGGCGGAGGAAAGATATCGATAGTTGGGACAAGCGCCGCATCATCGAACTGCTGGCGAACGAGCGGTGAGAGGGGCTTTCGGGATATCGACAGGGGCTTTCGCGATATCGAGAAGGGCTTTCGAGATGTCGAAAGAAGAGCAATGGGCAGAACTCTACGTCGACACGCTGTGATGGGCATCGCTTTGCAGATATGTTGATCCACATCGAGCAACCTCTTGTATATGGCGCACAAGGGTATATGCTCCGACTAACCAAGCCAAGGTTGCGCGAGAGCGCAGCATGCGCTACGGCGATAAGAAAAGGAGCTGGCGTGTCACCTGGGCGGACTCGATGTCATTGACCCTTTCCCGAATTGTGAAAGGTTGCCTAAAGAAGAGCTTGAAAACGGTCGGGTATGATGTGATTGATCCTTCCCCGACCTTGGAAAGCTCGGTGATGATAGCAGAACGAAAGCAGGACAAATGGAGGAGTAGCGAGCTTCGATGACGCCAGAGCGAACAGACCAGGATAGAGGAAGGCGACTGGCGTAGGTGCTCCAGACTTCGAGTGAGGGGAAAATCAGGCACACAAGGTTCTGACGACGCGGGACGGGTGCACGCGGCGCCCAGCAGGCGAAGCAGTTCTTGCCGGTACGAAGCTTTGCGAGACTCCTTCAGCGGCTGGAAACATGGTGGTTGACGAAGAAAAAGGGTGAAATGTGCCGTTCAGCTGGAACAAGATGTGAAGCTGAGGTCCTGGCAAGAGTTGTGAGCTTTCATTGTCTTGACCATGAGGGTGTTTGAAGGAAGGGCCCTGGGCTGAAGGTCAGCTCTTGGTGGGTGCTACGGAGCTTAGTGCAGCACACTGCCATTCGAGACTATACTAGCCCTAGTGGTTTATAGTGCAGCACACTGCCATCCGAGACGATACTTACTTCACAGAGCCAAACATCATTGCGACTCAGCCCAGACCACCACGCTTGCGTAGCACAGTTCTTGTCAAGACACCGCCCCTTGTGAGAAGATCGGCGGCAGGATCATCGACCGAGCTCATGGGTCGGCGACACAACCAAGGCGGTGACCTTTGCCATGGGAGCGACAGTCCACTTCTTGCAGACTCATGTGTGATGAATTGGCGACAACAATGACGGAGTGACAGGAATGTGAAGGTAAGGCGTTGTCGATCATTTGCCACCAGGAGGGAAGACACATGATTGTCGCATATTCAAAGCGAGGCGCAGAGAGCTGAAGCCGTTCATGATGCTGAGGGCAACGGAGGTATCAGTGGATGTGTGGATGGTGATCAGTTGAATGTAGACAAGGAGTGCGACTGGTGAGAAGGAAGGAAGACGGCGTATGCGCGGTGGTGAGCGATGGTGAGATGATCAGATCGAAGTTCCAGGCTTGGACCGTGAAGTGGTTGACTGTAGTGGAGGCCTCCACTCGAGTTCGAGGAGTGTCACGTGCAGCTCGCCTTCCAACACTCAGCCAGCCTGAGACATGGTGACGCTGTTGAGACACGCTGGCGGCAAGGCATTGCACCTGCGCTTCGGTGGATCGTGGGATGCTCCAGTCTTGTCCACTGGTCAATGCTCGGGCGCGGCGTGACAGGCGCCCGTGTCTGCCCAAGTGATTTTGCTCTGAAGTGACCGCACACCCCACTGGCCATGCATTGAGCACTTGGTGAAGACAGCACAGTGGCGTACTCTGCGGGCACCTCAGGTGAGTGGAGGCCGCACGTCATAGATCGCGGAGGGCGCTGGGGTCTGAGACACCTCCACCAGTGATAAGTGATCACCGAGGCCGCCTTCACAGCAGGCGCGAAGTTATCGGGTCATACATGCACCATGACTGTCACGCGGCTGCTCAGGAGAGCAGCAGCATGACCGGATCCTGCCGAGCAGCCTGTGCTGTGTTGCGGAATGAATTAGTATGATAGGGCAGACTCAAGAGGCACCATAGCACCAGTTCACCTTCACGAACCCGTTGCATCGACTACTAGCTATGCCGCTTTCTTGTGCGGCTCTTAACAAACCGCCGAGCGAGTCGGCGGCACCTTGGATTCCTCGAGTCCTGCCTCTGCGCCTGCGCAAATCTAGAGATGCGCTTAGAAGCACTTGCGGTGGACGATGCTGCAATGTGGTTAGCCTCCTTCTGAACGTCGCCGAACGGCTCCGAATCGTCGCGAAATCGTTCTAAGTCCGATTCTGCGTCGATTCTGCGTAAAAACTCACGAAGGTCCTGCTTCATCGTACTCTTGTTTCGAGATCCACATCTAGAAAAGGTTAGAAGAGCTTGCAGAAGAAGACTCACCTGCTGGAAGGTCGAAAGCGAGGCGAGAATGGAACCACCCTGTGGATGTCAGCAAGTGCCACACTCGTTTTCGCGGTGGAGGTGGAGGTCGCGTTTTGGTCCCGCTGCCCTGAGCTGGACCCTGAACCTCCACCACGCACCGCGCGCGCATGCCTTTGTCGTCGTTCGACGACATTCCGAGGCGGTCTTGCGCGGGAAGTCGAAGGGATACTCACAATCCAGACGGAGTACTTGCGCTCAGGGGGAGCAACGATCTTGACCTTCATCGACGAGGGGGCGAGGGCGGTGATCTCCTTCTGCATACGAGCGTCAATGCCGTTGTACATGGTGGTACCACCAGACATGACAATGTTGCCGTAGAGGTCCTTCCTGATGTCGAGGTCACACTTCATGATCGAGTTGTAAGTGGTCTCGTGGATACCAGCAGCCTCAAGACCAAGGAACGAAGGCTGGAAGAGAGCCTCAGGGCAGCGGAAGCGCTCGTTGCCGATGGTGATGACCTGTCCGTCGGGAAGCTCGTACGACTTCTCGAGCTTGGAGGACTGGGCAGCGGTCTGGAGCTCCTGCTCGAAGTCGAGGGCGACGTAACAGAGCTTCTCCTTGATGTCACGGACGATTTCACGCTCGGCGGTGGTGGTGAAGGGGTAGCCACGCTCCATGAGGATCTTGATGAGGTAGTCGGTGAGGTCACGACCGGCGAGGTCAAGACGGAGAATGGCGTGGGGGAGCGAGAAACCCTCGTAGATGGGGACAGTGTGGGTGACACCGTCACCCGAGTCGAGGACGATACCGGTGGTACGACCGGAGGCGTAGAGGGAGAGGACGGCCTGGATGGAGACGTAGAAGGCGGGGGCGTTGAAAGTCTCGAACATGATCTGGGTCATCTTCTCACGGTTCTGCTTGGGGTTGAGGGGAGCCTCAGTAAGCAGGACGGGGTGCTCCTCGGGGGCAACACGGAGCTCGTTGTAGAAGGTGTGGTGCCAAATCTTCTCCATGTCGTCCCAGTTGGTAACGATACCGTGCTCAATGGGGTACTTGAGGGTAAGGATACCACGCTTGGACTGGGCCTCGTCACCGACGTAGGAGTCCTTCTGGCCCATGCCGACCATGACACCCTGGTGACGGGGGCGACCGACAATCGAGGGGAAAACAGCGCGGGGGGCATCGTCACCGGCGAAACCGGCCTTGCACATGCCGGAGCCGTTGTCGATAACGAGAGCAGCAACTGTGGAAAAAAGTCAGCATCGTGTCAAGACTGGTTGGCGGCGTTTCGAGAGCGGGCTCGTTAAGGCACCGGCCCGTGCCGCGTACGCCCAAGCATCGCGGCCGATGCTTTTAGGCGCATGCTCGGAGCGATTTCGCTTTGCAGAGCGGGTCGTCGTCCGCTCGGCCGCGCTCAATGTGAAACTGGTGGTGTGGACACATACCCTCGTCCTCCCTGCGGAAAGCGTCAGCATGGTACGACGAAATGTGCCGGAAAACGATGGCGTAAGTGCGAGGCCGCATCCGCAGCACTGTGCACCGCTATCGCCAAGAAAACTCACATGGTGGTAGATCTGGTACGATGAACGCAGGAAAGCGAAAGCGCAGTCGAACAAAGGAAAGCACGATGTCAGCAAAGTGTAACGGCGCTGGGACGCTGGATGGGAACAGGGGGATGCCACCACGGACTGAGCGCCACGCCCACGGCGCCAGCGATTGAATGATCGGGGCAGTGGGAGACAGGCCGTTATCTCCACGTCAACGGACGTCCGCATCGAGCGCGGACCGCAACCGCCAGTATCGTCGGCGAGACGCCGATCGCTGATAGGCTGTGCGGATCCTCGCTCAGTTGTGTGGATGCAGAGACCGAGACATCCGAGGTTTGGACCGCTGCCAAAAGTCGACATGGTAATGATGTCGTCGGCCGGTTTGGCGGAGCAGCCAGCCGCGCGACAGCTCGAATTCCCGTCGAATCGCATCGAAAGAGGACTTACTGATGTAGTGGTGAGAGTGAAGGGGGGAAGGAAAGTGTAGTTTTTGCGAGGCGGGGTTGCTCGCTTTAAAGTCAGTGGATGGATGAGAGAGAGAGAGAGGTAATGAGATGGTGCGTGTTCGTCGTGGTCGTGCCAGGGCCAGGGGGGGGGGTGCCAGGCTGGCAGTGCGGTGCGGTGGGATTGTGTGGGTGGTGCAGCGGGTGGCAGAGGTGCTGTGCGGTGGGGGGGCTGCCAGGTGTCAGGCGTAAGGCCGCGGCCACGGTGACGCTCGGATTCGCTCACTCTCAGGCCTCTCAGGGCAGCAGGCTCATAGGCTGGGATTCCTTTGGTACTCCAGCCAAGGGATTCAGCGAGCCCACCTACCACTCTACCCTCTCCCACGGCCCTCGCGTCCCCCCCCTCTCTAGCCTCTCTCTGTAGGCCACCACCACCACCACGTTTACACGGTGGAGGCCACTCTCCATCTCTGGCACTTCGGGGTTATGCGCTGTGGCACACTGCCCCCAGCGTCATCATTACGCGTCGTCACAAGCCAAGATCAACCTCAACCAGCGCTCACCAGCTACCACCACCACAACAACATCTGCCCATCATGCCGCTCGAGTCGTGCATGCTTGTGTAAGTTAAGTACAAACTACAGTATTAACTAACTGTGCAGGCTCGACAACTCGGAGTACATGAGGTGCGACGGCAGCTAACTCCGCCAGCAAGTCGAGCTGACAGACAGGAATGGTGACTACACACCGACCCGATTCCAGGCGCAGGCGCAGGCCGTGTCTGCCGTGTTCAGCGCCAAGACGGATGCGAACCCCGAGTCTGCCGTCGGCCTCATGACCATGGCCGGCAAATCGTGAGTGCCGTTGTTTGCGCACAGCTCCATCTTATCCAGCGGTGACATCGGACCCGAAGCTCTCCTGGTTCGGTGACGAAGCGTCCAGAGCTTTGCCGCTGCTTTGAGTCGTAGCTAACCGCACAGCCCGTCTCTGCTCGTCACGCCGACAAACGACATTGGCAAGCTTCTTTCGGCTCTGAACAAGGCGGCGATCGGCGGCGTTAGCGACCTGATCACGTCGATCCAGATCGCCCAGCTTGCGCTGAAGCACCGCGAGAACAAGAACCAGCGGCAGCGTGTTGTCGTCTTTGTCGGCTCGCCGCTGGACGACACGCAGGAGGAGCTCGTGAAGCTGGGCAAGAAGCTGCGGAAGAACAACGTGCTGATCGACATTGTCACGTTCGGGGACGAGGGTATGGCGAACGACGAGAGGCGGCAGGCGGCGGCGAGAGCCACCTCGTCTCTGTCCCCGCTGGCCCGCATCTCCTTAGCGACGTGATCCAGCAGAGCCCAATTCTGTACGACGGCGAGCGAGAGGTCGGAGGCGGCGGTGGCGGCGATGACGACTTTGACGCGAGCATGGACCCGGAGCTGGCGATGGCGCTGCGCATGTCGCTGCAAGAGGCGCAGGAGCGGGAAGCGCGCGAGCGCGGCGGCGCGACGACGAGCAACGACGCGGTCGAGGCGGCCGTCGTTCCGCAGGACGTGCGCGGCGCGCCGAACCCGGAGCAGGGCCACACGGCAGGCTTCACGGCAGGCACGACGGGAGGGCTCACGAACGCCAACGACCCGAGCGCCAAGGCGCCTGGCGACTCGCCCGCAGGCGACGAGGACATGCTCGACGACGAGGACGAGGACGACGAGGAGGCCATGCTTGCACGTGCGATGGCGCTCTCCCGTGGCGAGAACCCGGACGACGTTGACATGGACGACGACGAGGATGAGGAGGCCGCCATCGCCCGCGCCATCGCGATGAGTCTCGAGGACCAGGGAAACAAGGACGAGAAGAAGTAGACCAACCCACTCAGGTGTTTGTACGTTTGCAGCAGCAGCATTAGACATGACATGTGTTATTACACTAGCGAGCGAGGCGAGCGGAGGGAGCAGTGGAGGGATTGACTAACATCTAACGTCTAACGACAGGCCGCACATCCCAGGTCTGTGAAGCAAGTGCATAAACCTATCGCACAGAGCATTACTATTACATAATTATTGTCCTATACAACCATTATTGTCCGTTACCTCTGCCCGCTCTTGATAATATCCGCCGCCGTCTCAGCCACGCCATAAAGCACGCCCATGAGGTGCGCGCTCACCTGGAAGGAGAGCACAGAGGCATCGACGACTCTCAGATTGCTCGTCCCATACACGGTCAAGCTGGCATCGACGACCCCGCCGAGGTGCTTGGGGAGCATGGCGCATGTGCCCACGGGATGCGCGACGGCGACATAGTTATCCCGGACCCATCGCTCGAGATCGGGATCAGACGACAACTGGGCGCCGGGACTGCGTTCGGCGTCGACCAGCCCCAAAAGAGGGTCGGCCGAGAAGATGGAGCGGGTCAACTTGAGCGCGGCGACCTGGACCTCGGCGTCGAAGCCTGACGCGAAGTCTGTGGTCAGTTTCTCTCCACAGCAGAAGTAACTCACAGCCAGCCGTTACTCGCGGGTTCGAGCTTGGGTCGTTGGACGTGATGCGCACGCTGCCCCGCGACAATGGGCGGAGGGCCCACACATTCGCCCCGACTGTGCCGTCCCCGTCGTTCAGCGTCAGACTCAGCTCGGCCAGACCAGCCTGGTACATGATCTCAGCCTGGTGTTGGAGGATCTCCCGCCCAGCCTCAGCACTGATGAAGCCTCCATGCTGGGCTCCGACATCGGCGGCGCCCGAGATGGCATCTGACAATTTGGCGCGGAAGGCGCCGTCGTCTCCGAACAACTGTCCATTAGCACACCCGTTGCGAAAGTCGGGATGGACTTACAGCCGTAGCGTTTGGGTATGCGATGGCGAAGCCAGTCGGGCCCGTGGAGCCCTTCTGACCCCATGTCATGAAGTTCATGGTCTGTTCCTGGAGACCGGCGCCGACACCAGGGAGCTCGAGGTTGACCTCGACTCCGGCGCCGGTCAGTACCGACGCCGGTCCGATGCCGCTGCGCTGCAAGAGGGCGGGGGACGCGATCGCCCCAGCGGCGAGAATCACCTCGCGCCCCGCCGACACAAACTTGTCTCCTATCTCGACGCCTGTCGCCTTGAGGCTCGAGCCCTGGCACTCGGTCCGGATCCTCGTCGCCCTCGTACTAGCCAGCAGGCTCAGATTCTCCCTGTCTGCGTAATACGCAGTGGACGCCGATCGCCGTCCCTCCCCGTCCACCGTGAGGGGGTGGAAGGCGGCCGTGTCCGCCTCCCCGCCGTCGGCATCGAAAACCTTCTCAACCCAGTGACTGGCGGCTGAGAGAAACGCACCACCAGCGTTCCCGCCAAGCGACGTGTATCCGACACTGACTGGGCCGGTGTAGCCGTGATAGTCTGCGTTTGCGCCCGCGCCGGCCGCCTGCTGCTCCTCGCTCGGCCAGCGGAAGGACTCGGCCTTCTTCATTGCCTCGAACATGCGCGGCCAGGTCCAGCGGCTGCCGTGCAGCTCCGAGGCGACTGAGTCGTCTAGCAGGGGAGAGAACTCGGACGAAGAGGGGCGTGTATACGCCATGCCGTTTATGGAGGTCGAACCGCCGAGCACGCGCCCACTGGGGTGTCAGCTAGCATCCGGGGTACTGTTAGCGGAGAGCGAGCAGACAGAGCACACCAGACGGTTAGGGCCGTGAAGCCTCACGAGGGAAGTCGGCTCCGTAACCTGGGCAGGAATCCGCAACGTATCGGCGACGTCACCACCGCCGAGCCATGGCGCCGCAGCACGCCGGAGCCAGCGTCCAGGTCATGCTCCAGTCCAAAGAGTGGAATTTATGGAGGGAGGATCCAGATCGCCCAATTCATGACGCCATAGAGATATGGCGGTGAGCCCCCCTCACCCGACCGTCCCACTCCGCTGGGTTCCTCCTCCCGTTGGAAGCATTCAGAGAAGGTTGGGGCAAGTATTCAGACAAGGTTGGAGCATGCCGCTTGTTGCCGGCTTCCCTCACTTCTGGGGTTCGCTGCTGGACTTCCCGCTGCTTCTGCCTGGCGCTCACCGCTCACCGCTCGCCGCCTACCACCGGTGCTCGCTCCAGTCGCAGGCGGCTCTCTACGTTCGCCGCGACCAACTCACCCATAGATTGTCTTCCCCTCCGTCGTGTCCCACTTCCACGCCAGGTCCTTGCTATCGTCCCACACTGCGCCGTACTGGTTGGGGTCGCTGACGGCGGGGTCGTCCCTCCTATCAGCGCCGGCTTCGATGACCCTGCTTGTCAGCTTACGACGTTGACTGCTTAGCTTACAGGACGGAGACGCCCGGATCCTCTGAAAGGCGGCCGGCGACGACGAGGCCGCCCAGGCCGCCGCCGATCACGACGTAGTCGAAGGTCTTTTGCGTCGCTTCGTCGAGCGAGATGGCTCCTGAGAGCACATGCGGCACGGAGGCGAGCAGCGTCAAGAGGACGAGTCTCATTTTGATGATCCGAGGAGGGCGTTGGGGTGGTCGAATGTGTCGGAGTGTCGAAGTGTCGAGCCGGTGTCGCGGTGTATGAGCTGTCGGTCGAGGGTGTCGGTGGTGGAGTCGGCGTCGGGTGCTGGTCAGCGTCACTGTCAGTCGAACGTCAGTCGAGCGCCCAGGTGCGCTTTGCCCAGCTGTGGGGAGGGGGGTTGGAGCAAGCTCACATCGGTCAAGAAAGTCTATATATGATGTCAGTCGAACTCTGAACCGATTGGAGTCAGGCGCGACAGGGGAGGGAGAAGGTCACCTGTGACATCTCGGCGGACAGTGCAGGGACAGCGTGCCCGCGTGCCCGACAAACATGTTACATGCTGGCTGCGCTGCATGCGGTGCGACTCGCCCTCGCGATCGTGCGAAGGGAAGACGATCACCCGCGGGACAGGCATCGGCACAGTCACCCTCGCATCGTGTGGCAGCCTGGCCGGACGGCATGTGCACTGAAGGCGCCGGAAGGAAGTCTGACCCCGAAACAGTGGACCCCGAAGCTTGGACCCTCATCCGGCGCCCCCGAAGGATCCGGAGAACCTGGAGGACCTCGAGCAATCAACGGGAGAGCCGATTCATGCGCTTCCAAACAATCGCGCAATCGTAATCTCTGGGAAGCAGTCACTTTAGCTCCTGAGAAGTAACTCTCTCTTTCTTGTCTGCCTTCTCAAGCCTTCCGGCTCGCGAGCTTGGTTAGCGTGGAGGGGCGGGCCGGGCTGCGTTCCAGCAGAGAAAGCCCTGGGTGGTGATGGTACCTGCGGATGGTGATTCCGGGGTGCTCACGCATGCAGATCACGTTACATTCGGCAATCACGTTACACTTCTGCACACAGTCGTCCTCATCAGTAATGCAGTGGTCGAGGCCAGGTAGAGTTTCAGCTCTGGGAAATTTCCAGGCCCAGCAGTCCAGCGTGGACGACTGTGGTGGAGGCCGAGAACCAGGGACGACGGCTTCCGGTGAAGAGCTCGGGTCACGTAGTCCCACATTCCGGCCTCGCGCACCAAGGAACGCTGGAATGCGATTTGCTTCCGCTCCACCCTCATGCCTGGATGAGCACCCGCGGGCGCTGGAGTGACCATCGTGACACACCAAGCTTGACTGCTTCCACAACGAAAACATGGCCCAGACTCATTGATGTGCGTCCCAGGAAAGAGGTACGCAATGTATGCAAGGCACCGAGAGGAGTGAATTGCTCATATTTACGACCCGACATGTGGTTTAAGCACGCGGGAAGACGAATGGAAGGCAAATGCTTGGGGTCTGTGTCTATCTCGTCTATCGAGCCTGTGTCGAGAAGTTTCAGGCTGCATGGCAGGCAGGGTGCGCGTGTCTCGTGAGTACGGCATTGGGCACTGGCCTCTGGCCTCGTGAACATGCTGCCCTTACTTCGGGGCGCGGCGTTGAGAAGCGTGACGAGGCGGGAGTCAGGCCGTTCCGCGTTCTTTGCGTGCGGCTCGGTGTCCCAGCCGCAAGCCGCGTATCTACAACAAAGTTGCAGAGGCTCTAAGCAGCTTATTGCGAACCAGAGCACGGACATTGCTCAAGCTTCTGTTCCTCCAGCGCTCCGCTCGCTCCACGCGGGGACTTTGAACATCAATGACACGAGCTTTGCGTCTACGTCGACAACTCTGAGTCTATCTTGTGGAGCTCTCACTGCCTCCGGCACACAACACACTGTGTGCCTCTGTGAGCGCCCTACATGGAGCCATCTGGGTCAGATGGTTGGAGCCAGAACTCCCAATGGTAGTAAGGTACCTCGCTGCAAGTGCTCGTGGCTCGCGCCATCGACGCTCGCCTGATTGTGTCATTCACTTTTGATGCATAGTCCTTGAAAGGATACAACCGATTGCCCAAGCAATGATGCTATGTTTTTAGATTGTTGATGGGGTGGCAGTCTCCTCGCGGCTTGATCTGGCCTATCACACACTGTATGTATACAGAGGGAGCCAGAGAGCGAGCGCGCAGAGGGAAAGACTGCCGATGCAAGAAAAATTGCTGTTGGAATTGGGTGCGGATGGGGAAACGGAATGAAGATGGAAGATCGATTGGGGTATTGACAGAAATGCTGATTATAGATTCGTTTTGATTTGAATTGCACAAGATTTGTGTGTGTCGGCTCAGACGTCGACGGGGATGGTCTTCTCCATGCGGAGGGTCTTGTCGCCGGACTCGATCTGGGCCTGCTTCTTGTTCCAGCCCATGATGCGGCGCTTGAAGAACTTGTACGTCTCGACGAAGAAGAGGTAGACGAGGATCATGCCGAAGACGATGCCCCACTCCCACTTGAGGGGGCCGACGAGGAAGACCTTGTTGTTGATGACGGGGATGTAGATGACGGGGAACGTCGTGAGGGAGAGCACGACGACGCACCACAGGAGCACCTTGTTGTCGAGCAGGTTCATGCGGAAGACGGACTGCATGACGTGCTTGCACTCGAGAGCGTGGATCATGAGGATAATGACGAGAGTGGCGAAGCAAGTACCGCGAGCCTGGAAGACGGGGTCGCAGATCGCCGAGTCGCCCTCGTTACAGTCGTGGCCGAGGTCGCCGGGGAAGTAGCCCCACATGACGATGACAAAGTTGACGAGCGCGAGAGCGCCCATGACAAAGCCGTAGACGAACAAGTCGATGTAGTACTCGAGCGTGAAGATGCGGTGGAAGTTGGTGGGCGGCTGGTCCATCGCGTCCTTGGCGGTGGGCTCGAGGCCGAGCGCGAGAGCGGGGGGACCGGCAGCGAGGGTGTTGATCCAGAGCGCCGCGACAGGGGAGAGGGGGAAGACCGAGATGCCGTCGTCATCCTTGAATGCCAGGCCGATGAGGAGAACGATAATCTCCGCAATGTTGCCCGAGAGCAGATACAGAAGGAACTTTGCAAGGTTCTTGAACACGGAGCGGCCCTTGCGGATGGCACGGATACACGAAGCGAAGTTGTCGTCGGTCAGAACGATACGAGCGGCCTGCTTGGCGACGTCGGAGCCAGTGCCCATCGCGACACCAATGTCAGCACGCTTGAGCGCGGGCGAGTCGTTGACACCGTCACCGGTCATGACGGTCGTCTGGTTGCGGCGGTGGATGGCGTCGACCATGCGGACCTTGGTCTCGGGGGCGCAGCGGGCGACAACGAGGGGAAGCTCGGGGAGCGCGTCGACCTCCTCCTCGGACAGGGCGTCGAACTGCATGCCGGTCATGACCGACTCCTTAGAGTACGACTTGTCAATGATGCCGATCTGGAGAGCAATGGCGGTAGCGGTCGAGGGGTGGTCACCAGTGAGCATGCGGACGGAGATACCAGCGCGGTGGCAGTCGGCGACGGCGCCGGCAGACTCCTTGCGGGGCGGGTCGTAGATACCGGCGAGACCGAGGAAGGTGAAGTCCTGCTCAAACTCCTCGCGCGAGAGGTTGGCAAGGCGGTTGGCGGCGTCGGCAGGCTCCTCCTTGCCAGCGAGGGCGAGGACACGGAGGCCGTAGGAAGCCAGGGCGTCGACCTTCTTCATGATGTTGTCGCGGTCCTCATCGGTCATCTCGCGGTTGCCGACACGGGTGCACTTGTCGATGATGCGCTCGGTAGCGCCCTTCATGAGGCAGAGGATGCGGGGCTTCTCGGCACCAGAGTGGGGAGTGTGCTTGTACGCGATCGACATGCGCTTAACCGTAGAGTCGAAGGGGTGCTCGACGAGCTGCTCGTAGATGCCGAACGACTCGCGCATGTGGTTCGAGTGGTGAGACTGGTTGGACATGACCTTGTGCAGAGCGTGAGTACCGGTGAGCAGGGGCTTGCCCATGCCGAGCTTGTGAGCCGAAACCTGGAGTGCGACCTCGGTCGGGTCACCACTCGCCTCCCAGCCCTCGTCGCCCGAGGGGCGCATGAGAGTAGCCTGGTTGCAGAGAGCGACGCAGAGACCCATGTTGCGGAGACCGGTCTCCATGGCGGAGCGAGAAATGGCGTTGGTGTCGTCGTCGCCAGAGCCGGAGCGGTCCTCGTCCGAGGGGTTCAGGGAGACCATGCCAGAGGGAACAAGAGCCTTGGTGTCGGCAGTGACCTCGCCACGGGGGTAGAAGGGGTCGGAACCAGTCTCAAACGAGTAGGTCTGGCCACGGGCAGTGTCGACGGGGGCGGCCTCGTTCTCGCGGGGGTCGAGGGCGGGAACCCACATCTTGCGGACGACCATGCGACCGACGGTAAGCGTGCCAGTCTTGTCAGAGCAGACGTTCGAGACACCGGCGAGCGCCTCAATCGCGTCCATACGACGGACGAGGGCGTTGCGCTTGGCGAGGTCAGACGAGGCACGGGCGAGGGTAAGCGAGACGACGGCGATGAGGGAGGCGGGAAGGATCGAGACAGCGGCGGCGACGGCGTAGGTCGCGATCGTCATCTTGAGGAGCTCCTTCTTGAATCCGGTGGAGGCGACGACGACGACGGCAATGATACAGGCGGCAACGAGGAGGATGTAGCAGAGCTCGTTGAGCTTCTTCTGCAGAGGGGTCGTGTCGGCAACACCAAGGAAGACCTTGAACTTGTGCCAGACCTTGGCCCAACCGCGCTCCTTGCGCTGCGCCTTGGTCGCGAGCGCCTTCGCGATGCTTCCGATCTCAGTCTCCATTCCAGTGGCAGTGACGACGCAGAAGGCGCGGCCCTTGGTGACCTGCGAGCCGGAGAAGACCATGCTGACACGGTCTCCGACGGGGCAGTTCTCCTCGGCAATGGGCTCGGCCTGCTTGGCGACGGGGAGCGACTCGCCAGTGAGGAACGCTTCGTCACACTCCAGGTTGGACATGCCCTCGAGGACACGGCCGTCGGCGGGAACAATGTCACCGTTCTTGAGCAGGATAATGTCTCCGGGGACGACATCCTCGACGGCGATCTGAGTCGTAGTGGTCTGCTGGGGGTTGTGGCGAACAACGGTGGCGGAGGGGGCACCGACGGACTCGAGCGAGGCGACCTTCTTCTCGGCCTCCCACTCGGAGTAGGTACCGACGACAACGTTCAGGACAACAAGGGCGGCAATGACACCACCCGAGATCCAGTCCAGGGTTCCGAAAGACGTAGCCATGGCGGCGACTGCATGTTAGCTTCAGATCTTTGCTTCATCGTGGCTGAGGGCGCATAACGGGGACGATCGTATCGTGAAAACAAATGGCGTCGGCGGCTTGGCAACAGGGACAGACTCCGCGATAAGCACAGGCGGTACGCCGCAAGACCGCGAGGTGCGCGCTTACTGCGCACGTAGCGGTAGCGGGTCGCGACTGTGGTGTCTTGGGCAGGTGCCACAGCAGGCACCAGGCGTGAGAGGGCAGGTGACCTCATGATGTAATGCGGGGGCGGGGAAACCCAGAGGACTCTGCCAGGCAGACTCCAGTGAAAAAAAATGGAAATTACCCGGAGACCTCCAGGGTCCACCGCCGATACCGTGCGGCGCGGGCGGCGGCGAGAGCGGGGTACGGTGGGTGACTGCGCGATATTCCAGCCAAACCGATAGGGGCATGGTCCGAGATTAAAATCGCGCACCTCCCCGACCCCACCTCCACCAACCACACTCGCTCCGCCGCTGGGCGCCAAGCGGCGACGGATGTCCTGAAGCACCATAATGTCACACTACCCGGCCCAGACCTGCTCCGCTCGCCGCTTGCATGCTCCAGCGTCTTACGGGAGCATCTGCAGCGCTCCCTCCGCTTCGCTCGCACTCTTCGCCAAAGAGCGAACAGCAAACCAACAGTGGCGAAAGTGGAGCAAACTCGTCATGAGAGTGGAGCCGACTTGACAACGACATGGAAGGATGTTTAGAGAGGACAAGGAAACGGAAAGCTTACTCACTGAGTACGAGCGTCATGGCATTGGCAGTCTGCTGAGCAGTGATCTTGAGGAGAGACGGCTTCTTGGGCGGCTTGAGGCGGTTGGGGCCGTACTGCTCGAAGCGGCGCCGAGCCTCATCCTCGGAGAGACCCTTCTTCTCGTCGACATTGAGGGCGTCGAGGACTTTGGAAGGGTGCGCGGTGTAAGGGGGGAAGGGGAGGGCTTGGGAGCCGGCTTCGACGGCGGTCTCGGTGGTGGCCGCGGTCGTCGACGTGTGGTAGCGGGGCAGGCCCTCCTTCGTCGGGACAGAGTTGTTGGAAGAGTGCTTCTCGATTGTTGGCGGGTTTGAAGTAGACATCGAGGGTGTTGTGTTGTCGATGATCGATGGGGAGGACAAGTCGAGTGCCAAGCCAAGGCTTTCTTATATATCATGCATTGCTCGAGTTGGAGCGAGTTGGCCAAGATCGCGAGCTGGCAAACGGTCCGGGCCGAGGCATGCCTCGGCGTCAAGCTCAGCACGTAAGCCCTGGAGCAACAGGGAGGAACATGTCTCGATGAAGGAGGCAGGTCCGGGTCGGGTCAAGGGAGGAGGGGACGCCAAGACATCGGGGTGCCGGGGATAGCGAGCGGCTGCAGCGGCCTCGGGGCCTGCGCCTGCGTGCATGAGCAAGCTTCGTGAGGACTCGCGTCCGGGTCGCATGCACCTGCATCAACGTTGGTGGATCATGGTCGTAAGCCAGATACCACAGTGTCTTGGCGGCGTCTTGGCGCCCTGACTCCGCAGTGCCCATGCCCGGAGGATCCTCCGGGCATCTGACGGGCATCGTCCGAGCTTCCTCCGGCAGCCCTCTCCGCGGGGGCGGCGGACGGCGGCTCACCCTCAGGCGCCAGGCCCGAAAGGCAGAGAACATGAGATGACGGCCAGGGCGGGGCAGGGCGGCTGCACGGTGGCAGTATCTCCCAGGCCCAGCCCCACAGCCAAAGGTCCTTCCGCCGCCTGCCTTGATAATCTTGGCTTTTGGCATCTGGCAGGTGATCGCAACAACTCCACCCGAACGAAGCGTAAACAACGTCTCAGTCAGTGCTCTCCGTTCGTCAGTGCGCCGGGGCGTCGGGGCCAGCCGCACCAAAGACGCATTGCATGCATGGACGTTTTGTCTGAGTTACCCGGAATCGTAGGGGCGAGCAGAGCCGGGGAGCGACGAGCTTGCCTTTGGGGAGATCTTCTCAGGCATGTCCGGAGAATCGTGCTATGACGAAGCGGATGTCAACAGTCAGCAAGTATCCTCAGAGCGCTAAGGAACGTTCCTTCTACCCCGCAGTCTCCACCAATGCGAGATGATCTTTGGGGGCGGCGCCGCCGGCGACCTGACTTTGCGAGATGAGGAGATTGAGCCAAGACTTGGTGCCAAGAGGCTGACTTGGCAGGCACGGCCAGGGTTCAGGGTGTGTCGCTCTCGACCTGGCTGGTGGAGGGGACCACTTTTGATCTGGGTGCGCTACTTTTTCTTGGCGCTTTGATTGGCTCTAGATCCGCACCCGCTCTCTTTCCCACGGTGTGATCTCCAAGTCCCCGGCCCGTGCCTCGCTATCCAGGCAGGATTTGCCTGGACATGTGAGTCGATCGCGCAAGATTCCAATCATTCGGCGCCCACGGCGGCCTAATCCCTCTCTGAAAATCTGCGACGACGAATGCGGGGCCGCGGGGAGACCTCTCACTCAAGGGCGGCAATCGCGGCACTTGACCCGGGCGCGGACTTTTAGATGCGCGATATCTTTGATCAGAGATAGTGGGCGGCCTCCCCATTGGCTGTCGCCGGTAAACTCGGCGACTGCGTCATGCGTAAGCGTCAGTGCTCAGCGCCAGTCCCCCGTCCGCCGTTCCCCGGCTGCTGCGCACCATCTACCCGCCGCCGCCCCGCCTCTTTGGTTCTCACGCGCGATGCCTCGGCCCTCAGCTAGTGCCACCGCTCCATCGTCGGCAGCCACACGGTCACCGCTATCTACAAATCACTTCACAGCTACGCACGGAACGCCGATGCACCAGGTGCACTGCTTGGTCACCGGCGGACCTTCCCCTTTCGGCGCGATCTTGCCGACGCACGCGACCACCCGAACAGTTTGCCACCCGCCTATTTTAGCCTCTTCTTATAGTCTGTTTAGCCTGTGAAGACGTCAGGTCCGTCTATCACACTGGCGTGCGCTTAAAGTCTTGGCGTCGTGACCGTCCACCGAGGACCGGCACGGACCAACTGCGGAGTCGATACAGCCCCCTTCCCGGTATCCTTCGCAGCGTGCTCAGCACTCCCAGGGCGCTCCGGACTGCGATGCCTCCACCGTGACCGCACATTCGCATGCGCAGCCGAAGTCGCAGCGGCTGCCGCAGTCTCAGCCGTGGACGTGGACGTCTCGGCCGCCGATGCCGTCGCTATCGGTGGAGGTGACGGAGGTGATGACGGGATCAGAAACGTCATCTCCGATTGCGGTGACGACAACCCGCCGAACGGCCCTGGCGACGATGCAAGGATGTCACTTACCGAAGCAGACGATGTACGTGAGGCTTGCTTCGATAACGATGATTGCGTGCGCTGTGGCTGTGGAGAGAACGGCGAGGATTCCGAGGACTCCGAGTCCGATAAAGGCAGAGATCGACGGAACGCGTCTGGGCCTGACCTAGACCCAGGTGACACAGGTGATGCCATGTGCGGTGATACGAGGCTTGCGTCACGCGACCCGCGCGGCCCGGGCGCCAAGCCTTTCGAACCCAAAGGTCCAGGAGGTGGGGCCCACGCCGAGCCTTGCTGGGTGTTGATGTCGTTTGCGTTCTGGCTCTTCCGCTTCTTCGGGTTGCTTGTCTTGGCATTGTCGGCCTTGGCCCTCCGTGCTCCGACGTGAGCCGGACCAGAAGCCGGCGATGCCCCATGCGTCGAGCGCGTTCCAGATTCCGACAGTCGCGCGACTGGAGATCCAGATTCCGTTATCAGCGTCTGAGCGGTCTGAAAGTCTTGGCTCATCCGACGTTCAGTCTGTTCCTTTGCCCGGGCCTGAATCTTGGCATGAATCTTGGCGGTTAGAGTGTCCATGGCAGGGGCGGGGGGTGTAGTCACTTGAGAACCTGTTCCCAGTGACAATCGGCGGGCCTCCGCTTTTTCTGCCCTGTCCCGGATCTTAGCTGCGATACGCGATGATAAGGTGTCGGTCGGCGAGCTGCCGCTCCCCCCGCCAGTGTCAGCAGGTAGCGATGACGGCACCTGTGGAAGCGGCACATCAGCCTTATCTGGTGAGCGAGCGCTTGGCTGCGTCGACACTCGCGAAATGCGCGCGCGTCGCGGAATCTCGACGTAAACAGTCCGTCGCGGTGTTGTTTGCGTTTCCTGTTGTCGCTTAGACCGCTTCGCACTACGGGCCTGGTCGCTCGTGCGAGGCGTGCCTGCTGGTGGGTGGTCGGAATTGCCGGGAGAAGCACCACTGATACCCCCACTTCCAGGGGAGCCAAGAAGCCGAAGAGGCCGATGGTGACTGGACGGAACGCTTGGGGAGGTCGCAGTAGGTGCAGCGGGGCTGTAGACGGATGAGGATCCGAGCGAATCCGCTCGTGCTCGAATCTTGGCCCTGATGATAGCTTCCAACCCCGTATCTTTGGGTGTGACAGGTGCTGGGGGTATCTGTGCAAGGCTCAGTGCCACCTGCGCTCGTGCATTGATCTTGGCTTGGATTCGGGCATCTAAATCACTCATTCTGGCCGGGTCGCCAGTCAAGCGCAGGGTTGCAGCCTTGTCCTTCCCCGTGGAGAGACCCTTGTTTGAAGTACTCGATGTTGGCGGCGGCGGACGTCTAACGTCGGGAACTGAGGTGGAGGTTCCTTTGGAAGTGCTCGCAACGCGTTTACGCTTCTTCGGCGCCTGCTGAGGCTGCTGAGATACCAGGTTGGTGGCTTGCGCCGACACGCCGTCTGCTTGCGTCCCCAGACGCTTCCTTCCGCTGGGGCTCCCGAGCTTGCCGGTGCCGCCGGACTGTTGAGCTTGAGCGTCCGAGTTGAGTGCGCGATTTTTGTTGACTCTTGATGACCTCCTCACTTTGGGAGTCGAGGAAGGCACGATTGGCTGAGGCATCGACGCCGCCGAAGAACCATCAGCAGCCCTGAGAGCACCTGCAACTGCCCGTCAGCTCAGTTTCGCTAAAGCAGTCTCGTTCGCAGCTCGCGCATCGTTCGTCTGCTTTGTGCCGCTCGCTTCGTAAAATCGCTCACCGTTTTGGGACGAGCCCTTGTTCTTCCTTCGCCCCATGTTGGACCTGCACCGTCTGTCGCTATCGAGTCGAGCCGCGCGAATCCACCGGAAGTCGATATTCCCCACGATAACGCGATGTGAGTGTCGACTATCGGCCAGCGGTACGTGGATGTCGTCTCGCAATGATGATCATGCTCTAGCTGTCGATGGTGTCAACAAGGAAGGACGCGTTGAAACAACAAAGGGCTCCCGTCTTGACGGGGGCAAACATTAGTGGAGGCTTAGATGAGGTGTGCAGGTGTGTACGCGTCGCGAGCTAAATGAGCTGAACCCTTTCAATACACTTCATGATTGGACTACTGGCTACCTATGAAACATCGTCACCTAAAAGCAAAGCTTTCTTTGCTCCATTTCAACAGCATGAACGGCCTGCGCGAACTCAAGCCGCGTCCTCGTGGACAGCAATAACGATCTTGCCCCGCGTCTTGCCGGAGTCTACCTTGTCGTACGCTTGTTGGAACTGGTCGTACGGCACGACCGAGTCGAGGACAGGCTTCCAGCCCTTCTGCTGGATGAGTTTGGAGATGCGAGCGAGGTTCTTCCCACTGGGCTCGACAAGGAACCACTTGGCATCCTTGACAGGCTTGCGTTCAGGCTTGGTCGAGTTCGGGTCGACACTGGAGGTCAGCTTTTCGGGGGTTTTTAGCTGCGTATCTCGACTCACCAGACAGAAACGAAACTGCCGTTGTCCTTCAAGATCGACCAGCCTTTCTCAGTATCGCGGCCGGTGCAGTCAAAGATGTGGTCAACCTTCTCGGGAAGCTGGGCGAGGTCATCCTGCTTGTAGTCGAGGTACGCCTCGGCACCGTCCTTCTTGCAACCATCAGCTGCCGCACCGCCGCCGAAGCCGATGACGTGGGCGCCAGCAGCAGCAGCGAGGCGGACGGCCCACCCACCAACGCCTCCACTGGCGCCGGTGATGAGGATGCGGTAGCCCTCGTTCTTCTTGCGGGCAGCGGAGTCACCCTCGAGCGCGGCGGGGTCAAGGGGCCCGTGGGTGAAGACGCCGTCCCACGCAGTCAAGGTCGAGAGCGGTGTCGCGGCAGCCTCGGACCAAGAAAGGCACTCGGGCTTGGGGGCAATGTTCTCCTCCAGGATAGCAGTAACTCCGCGGAGGCTGCCCCACATCCAGGCGTTGTTACGCCACATGACAGCGTCGCCAGGCTTGTAGGGCGAGCCCTCTGGGGCCTTCGCGATGACACCGGCGCCCTCCGTGCCCGGTACACGAGCCTTGCGCTCCTTGAAGAGAGCGGGGAAGTTCTTCTCCCATCCCAACTCGCCGAGGCAGGGCGAAGTGCCGTAGACGTAGATGAGGTGCTCGCTTTCGGTCGCCTTGGGGATGGGGAGGGTGGTTGACTCGAGCTTGGTTGACGAGGGGTCAGGCTGGAAGACCGCCTTGGATTCGGTGGGAAGGGACATCTTGGTGCTGAAGTGTCTGAGGACGGTAGAGAGGATGATGCGTGGCTGAGAACGAGGAAGCATTCAAGGAAGTCTGACGATCGATCGCTTGCTCTCTTGGTGCGACGGTGACTGAGCTGGCCTCGAACCCGGCGAATTTATGGAGCGATGACGGAATGGGGGTCACATCGGCGTACGACGAAGTTGGCCGAGGACGAGATGGGAGGATGCGCGCTGCTGACTCACGGGTACCGTCGGAAACGGATGATGGCGGGGGATGGATCTGTTCACAGGAGTACAGGGGTGCATGCGGGTGGTGCAAGTGCTTCTCACGAGATCTTGCCGAGCGACGGGGGGCGTCAAGATGACAAAGGAAGTGGAACATACGGAGACGACTCCGACCATGGCTGGAACAGGTTCAGGCACAACATACCTCATCCACGTGGTTTCGCCCTTCATGTTTTGGCACGTGACCTGCTCTTCGTGTTACGGTGTATGGCTAGAGAGAGGGCCAATCGAGCTCGATATGAAGACAAGAATACACAGCAAGGAGGGATCGACGTCGGAGTGGCCGTGGCAGACGTTGACTTGATGATAGCAGAGCTCCGACCCGACGCTCGGTGCTTCCATCGGAAGATGAATCCACCACCGCCACGACTCAGATGCCGCTCCGCGCGACACTTGGCATTTGGCCGCCTTTCTACTCTTTCAAAGAGACACTCGCTGCTGAGAAGAACCTTCGTCTGCATCTGAACTGCGGGACACAGCGATGCATGGAGTCAGGAGCTCTCCGCAGGTTACCCATGTGGAGGGGGCAATGAGCCATCGAGGAGGATACCAAGGCTGTCTTCTCACTCCAGGACAACTCCCAAGACACGCCCATCATCAGCCCTGCCATGGGTGCTCAACTCCTTGCGTGCAATGGGGACGTCGCCAGGAGACAAGGATGCAAACAAGCAGACACAACAGACACCGACGAGACATTTCGTAACGTTTCCGATTACCGACAATTCAGCGGGTTCAACCATTTACGAGAAACGCGTCGGTCGCGCGAGCCCTGGCAAGGGATATCACAACCCGCAGTGGCATACCGTTGAAACTCAGGCGAAAGTTGCAGTCTCCCAAGCGTACAAACGTTCCCGCATCGCGAGCCTGTCATCTCGGGAACCCATGTATGAACCAAAGATGGGAATATGCTTCCTCCTGCCGGAATCTTTGACCCTTCGATTCCTAGTCTGAGTCAAAACGGGCTATTACCATAAGCACCGGCACGGCATGACGACAGCATAACGAGTACGTGCGCTATGAATTGTTTGAGGCTATTCTCGATTTTCTCTGCCCATCTCCCATCCTTGTTCTCCTTACGGCAGTTTTCCGGCTGCATGCAAGGATCCAGCTTCATGCATAACGCGGGCACCCTTACACGGGAGACCTGCTCAGGACATGGCATTCTTCATCGCCGTTGCCGCCTCCGGTTGTTGATGGCCCACGGCTGTCGGCAGAGGTGTTGTTGCCACTGAGAACTGGGCACTGCGGGCAAGAGGTGCTAGCTCAATCAGTATAAGATCCCCGTAAGAGGGCACAGAGCCCGGCTGCTGACTCCCTTCTACGCTCAACCGACCATGCTGCTGCTCGCGACATTGACAGCGGCGCTCTCCCTCTCCCCAGCGCATGGGGCAGTCGTCGACCGTGGCCTCTTCGACAAGACATATGACTACATCATCGTGGGCGGGGGTACGGCCGGTCTCGCGCTCGCAGCCCGACTCTCGGAGAACCCAAACCTCGACATAGCTGTGATTGAGCCCGGGATCAAGTACCAGGTCTCCAACATCGCCTTCAGCAGCACGCCTGGCGCAGACGTGCTCTTCATCGGCTCGTCGATGAGCGACTCGCAGCCCCTCGTGGACTGGAACCTGGAGACGGAGCCGCTTACGGGCGGCCTGGGGCGCAAAGTGCACTATGCGCGCGGCAAGTGCCTCGGCGGCAGCAGCGCGCGCAACTTTATGATCTACCAGCGGCCAGACCGCGGCTCGCTCGACATGTGGGCGTCCCTCGTCGGCGACGAGAGCTACTCCTGGTCCAACTTTGAGCCCTTCTTCCGCAAGAGCGTGACCTTCACGCCGCCCCGCAACGATGTCCGCGACCCGAACGCCACGGTCACCTGGAGCGCTGAAGCCTACGACGCCGGAGCCGGCCCCCTCTCAGTTACGTACCCGAACTACGGCGGGCCGTTGACGTCCTACCTCCTCCCCGGCCTGGGTGAAGCGCTCGGCATCCCCCTCGTCGACGGGTTCTCGGCCGGCAACATTCACGGAAGAAGCTATGCGCCCGTGACAGTACAGGCGAAGAGCGGGAACCGCGAGTCATCGCAGACGTCCTTCCTCGACGAGGCGGAGCATAGGGGCAACCTGCACGTGCACAAGATGACGCAGGCGGAGCGCGTCCTCTTTGACGAGGAGCGGAATGCGGTCGGTGTCGAGGTGGGCTGGGGCCGCAAGTTCATGGCGCGGCGGGAGGTGATTCTGTCTGCTGGCGCGTTCCACTCGCCGCAGCTCCTCATGCTCTCTGGTATAGGTCCCGCCCATCATCTGCGCGAGCATGGCATCAACGTGATCGCGGACCGGCCCGGGGTCGGGCAGAACCTGACAGACCACATCTTCTTCTCGCCCACATACCGCGTCAAGGTGCAGACCTTTACTTCGCTCGCGAACAACATTCTCAAGATTGGCTGGGAGTTCCTCACGAATTTCAGCAGAAACCGAGGCGTGCTCACCAACAATGTCTCGGACATGATTGCCTTCGAGGACATCCCGCGCGAAGACCTCAAGGCCGACACCCTCGCGCTGCTCGACAGGTACCCCGAGTCCTGGCCTGATGTCGAGTATATGTCTGCCCCCGGGCATATTGGCGACTTTTCGAGTCTGTTCAAGAACCAGCCGAAGGATGGGTACCAGTATGGCGCCATGCTGGCGGCGTTGGTGAACCCGCAGTCGAGGGGGAGCGTGACGCTGCGCTCGAACAGGATCAGCGACAAGCCAGTCATCGACGCCGGGTGGCTGACGCACCCCGCTGACGCCGATGTAGCTGTCCAGGCGTACAAAAGGGTACGAAAGGTTTTCGCCTCGGACGCTGTCAGGCCCGTCCTCGCCCATCCCGAGGAGTATCATCCTGGCCCCAGCGTGGCGACAGACGAGGAGATCCTGCACCAGATCAGGCGCGACATGATGACCGTCTGGCATGCGTCAACGACGTGCCGCATGGGCCGGGTTGATGACCCCACCGCCGTGGTGGACAGCAAGGCAAGGGTCATCGGTGTCAACAAGCTCAGAGTCGTCGATGCGTCCGCTTTTGCGCTCCTCCCACCAGGCCACCCGCAGAGTGTGGTATACGCGCTGGCGGAGAAGATCGCGGCCGACATCTTGGCGGGAATCAAGGAGGAGGAACAACACAGTCTGGACAACAACTGGTGGAAGAGGGAGGCGAAGCTGTAGCCACACATTCCTTTTCTCTCTCGCTTTGTTGGGACACTCAAGGACACGAGACTCTCATAAGACTCCCATAGGACAGTCACTTGCAGTATTCTGGGCTCATGTTAGAAGATTTTAGAAATCCAACCCTTCGCGGTCAGTGATCAGCGTCCTGATCCAGGATCCGATGTCGGATCTAAGGACAGGCAGGCTGAAGCGAGATCTAAGCGGATCAAGGATCCTGCGGCGAATTCTTCTCCTTCGGGTCTCGCGATGCGCGATTTCGAGGATCGCCTTAGCCGTGATCGACCTCGGCCGACCTCCGCACCTATGATCAGCATGGTCGCGTGCCGGATCCGACCACGGCACACCACTCGTCCGGGCTCAGCACTGGTCAGCTGGTCCTCTTGTGCCTTTGCGATTAGATTGCTCTTGATCTCTTCAGCCTCGTTACGAACCATGGACCTGGGGCAGTCACGTGAGTATTCCCAGGTTGTCGTTTGCGGTTGGGAGCGCGTGCAATTCTCCGCCCAAGGCACGTAGGAATGCTGAGCCGAGTGTGCCGATTGCTGAGAGACCACGCCCGAAAACACTTCACAGCATGCCTCAGAGTTGTGGTCGGTGTAGGCGTCCTCGGCCTCGTCTATCCTCGGGCCTCGTCTCAAGGCCAATCGATCCCTCCTTCTCTCCTCGCGAGGAGTGCTCGCACCACCTTCCGTAACAATGAAGTCTATGTACATACACGGCGTCAGCTAGTCGTAGTATATAATGCAAAGTCCTGTCCCTCGCGGGAATTGGTGGGGTTCGGGGATATGTCGTAGGCGTTGATATGCTGTGAACGGCGTTAACGGCGCAGGATGCCCCAAGCAGAGATGAGCATGACGAAAAGCGAGACAAAGATGCTGAGGCCTGCCGGCTCGGAGAGCTGCGCAAGTGCAGCGTTGCACGTCGTGCACTTCCAGTCTGTTATATCAGCTATCCAGTCGAGTCTCCAGTAGCTGTCGTGGCTCCCAGAGGTTCAGTCGAGACAGAGCGGCAGAGAACGCCAGTGCAGCACTCCACACGAATAAAATGCCCTGCAGCTCGCAATTTCATACTCACCAGCGAAAGGCGTGTAAGCTTGGGGCTTGTACATGCCGAACTTGGTTCCCGTGTACGGTGTGAGGTATCCAGCCTTGAGGGCTACACCGGTTCCGCGCTCATCGAAGATCTTGAGCGTGTACGTCGCCTGCTGGAAGGGAGTCTGGCCGGGCTGCAGCTGCCACTCGTACGGGTTCCAGACAACCTGCGTCGCCTTGCCGGGCAGGGTGTTGGACGAGCCGTCGGTCGGGCCGACCTTGTACTCGACATTGTTGTCCGCGCAGTAGGCTACGACCGTGATCGACTCGGGCGTCGCGAGCACGTTCGTGAAGTTCCACTTGAACGTGATGTCCTCCCCAGACGCAATCTTGTAGTAGCTCTGGCTCGCCGACGACGCGGGCTGGATCATGACAATGCTGCCTGCCGGAGCTGACTGGGGAATCTTTAAGGAGGTCGAGTTACCGGTCGTTGTCGGGCGGTTGTTGTTGTTGCCGCCGTTGTTGCCGCCATTGCTCGCTTGGTTGCCGTTGGCACTCCCTCCGTTCTGGTTGTTGTTCCCTCCGTTCTGGTTGTTGTTCCCTCCGTTCTGGTTCTGGTTGTTGTTGTTTCCGCCGTTGTTGTTGTTGTCGTTGTTGGCGTTCCCTCCGTTGTTGTTTCCGCCGTTCTGGTTGTTGTTTCCACCATTCTGGCCGTTGTTGCCGCCGTTCTGGTTGTTGTTGTCACCACCGTTCTGGTTCTGGTTGCCGTTGTTGTTGTTGTTGTTTCCGGCGTTGTTGCCCCCGTTGTTGTTACCACCGTTGTTGTTGTCCCCGCCTTGCTGAGGATCTTGTCGTCGCTCGAGACCGTAGTACCAGTCTCCCGGGACGGGGGCCGGAGTAGGACCAGCAAGCTGAGCGTCAGGCATGCTTAGTTGGTGATCGGTGTTTGGGCGGCGAAAGAAAACAAACTACGCGTTTTCGTAGTCGCGTAGGTTTTTTTGGGATAGATGAAAGTGTTCGGTCGTGCAGCGGGAGAGATTGAAAGCAAGAAGGACAGTCGGAAGGAAAGGAGAAGGAGAAGAGAGGCGTGAGAGAAAGTGCGAGTGAGCGATGGGCGATGGCGAGGAAGCGAGTGTAGCATAGGTAGGCCTGGTTTGCAAGGCTGTGCGTCGCGTTTCCCTCGATCCCTCGATTGCCACGTTTTTGGCCCCGTCCTCGCCCATCACATCCTCCGTTAGCGTCACACTGCACGACGCCGAGCTCGGTCTGCACCAGCTTGTCGCTTGTCACCATGCATCCTTTCGTGGATGATTCGTCGGGGTGGAAGACTGATTCCCAGATGGAAACAAACGCATGGGCCATACAAGCTCAGGAGAGGCTGATGCGGATAGACCCCGAAAAATGTCGAAACCTGGGCATGCATCGCGCTCGGTCATTTCTGCCCGCGCCTTTGTATGCCGCTCCTCCTAATCTCGCATCGGCACTCCTTGCACTCCTAGATCGCTCCTCGCCACCTCCCCACGCCTCCGGCAACCTGCTCCCCACAGCTTGGAGATCCGCCGGCGGCTCTCCAGCTTCTTCAAGTGGGGAAGAAGCCGTATTCCAATCAGCAGCCTGAGAGGCACGGTGATCGTTGGGCATGTGTCTCTTTACTGGGGCACCCGGTGTCTGACCGGTCTGGGGTCATCACTTGCCCACGCCAACAGCTGCGTCAACTCCCTTGCGGCGAAACAAGACATGCCTTTGTTCCTCTTGCTGCCGCCGGCAGTGGGGATGCCGAGGGCCGAGGGACCGGTAACAGCAGTGCGCGAGGTCGTGAGGCGTTCTTGATGTGCGATTCCAGGACGCCGGATCCCCGTTTCCGTCGTGGTCGTGACGAGGCGTCTGGCGGAATTCGTCTCTGCTGCATTCCTCGCCGATGCGCTGGGCCGCCAAGATCTGGTTGGGGTGACCGGATGATCCGGGCGGGCTGCTGGCTGCCTTGTCTTTGGCGCCCTACGGCGGGCAAGGGTGCTACGGAGACACGGATGACCGTGAGCAAAAATAACAAATGCGCACGAATCTGTAAAGACGCGGCGCCATCAGTTGCTATCCGTGAGCCGTAGTGCGGTAGTACCGCGCATCATGAGCCACAACCTGCACGTCATGAGACCGGTGCGCCGCCCGAGACGGACACTCGGGTAGATTACTACTACGGCATGGGTACATCTAGGACTTGGCGGCATGTGGGTTTGCCGGTCCGGACTCAGCTGGCGTGGTGCCGTGCCGTAGGATGCGGTTGCGGCGTCCTCGCGATGGGGGATGGGGAACAGAGGGAGGGACAGCCCAGGGAGGTGTCAGTGAGGACGGAGGGATCGAGTCAGTGTCATTTCAGGTGGAGCCAAGATATTCCGACATCGCGATTTGCCAGCTCGAGCAAACATGGGCTGGCATGGGCTCGGGCAGCGTACCTGGGGCAGGCAGTACCTGGAGAGTACCTGGGGATGGGAGCCTGGTCGAAACGGCAGCTGATTGCGGTGTGCTATCTTTGATCCCTTGCTGAAACTTTATCGGCCCTCCGTCGCTCTCCCGATGCGCTGCAATAGCGCGCAGCCCGGCGGCATCTTCTTAGATTTTCAGGAATTTCCCTTTACGAGCACGGCGCCACCTGTCTCCACCCTCTTCCCCTCCCTCGCAATCGCCCAAATCGCTCACACTTCGCACGTGGTCTGGGCTCTTCTCACTGGCTGTCTCGCACACTAGCGCAGGGGCATCGCTCCTTGGGTCTCGGTCTCGGTTTCTTGTGATACCCCACTACATCCGGCACGGCAAAGGACGCAGCGGTTATGGACTTTTGAAGACTTGGTGCCGAGCCAGAGCCGCTTGCGACTATAAATCTCCGCCTCGAGGTGCTCACGAGACTTTCTTCCCCACACAGCCCTCGCAGCACCTCGCTAAGCGCAAGACGATGAGCGCCCCCGTCTACGACGAAAAGCCGGCACTCACGCCCGCCGACGCCGCGCTCGACAACGATTCGCTCGACATTCAGCCCCTTGGCCTCGCAGAGGAGGAGTACCAGCATGCCGTCCGCAAGCTGCGATGGAAGGTGAGCTGCTCCCTCTGTGCACGCTAACGTCCAGATCGACCTGCACATGATGCCGGTGCTCTTCCTGCTGCTGATTCTGAACTACCTCGACCGCAACGCTCTCTCGTGAGTAACTTGTCCGGGATGTCTCACACGGAAAGGCGCGGCCATGTTTCTCCGCGTCTGGGCCGGCTGGGGCTGGACAACATCTCGGCGCACACGACCAAGGCGCATCCACTGACAACAGGCTCGCCCGTGTGCAGGGTATTGAGAAGGACCTCGGCATGAAGGGCCAGAACTTCAACACGGCCCTCTCCGTCTTCTTCTGTGGTTACATTCTGGGCCAGATCCCGTCCAACATTGTCATGTCCAAGATCAAGCGTCCGTCGATCTACCTCGCGTGCTTCGTCATGCTGTGGGGCATGGTGTCTGCTCTGACGGGTATCGCGAACGACTACTCGCACCTGATCGTCACCCGTTTCTTCCTCGGTATGCTGGAGGCACCTTTCTTCCCCGGATGCCTCTTCTTGCTCTCGTCGTGGTACACGAAGCGCGAGCTCGCCTTCCGCACCTCGATCCTGTACACTGGTGCGCACCTGTCCGGAGCGTGGGCCGGTCTGATTGCGGCGGGCATCCAGGGCGGCCTGGACGGCGCGCGGGGCAAAGAGTCCTGGCGCTGGCTCTTCATCATCGAGGGCGCGATCACCGTCTTTGTCGGTCTTTGCGCGATTGCCATCCTGCCCGACTTCCCCGGCTCGACCTGGTGGCTGACGGAGAAGGAGCGCAAGCTCGCCCAGTTCCGCCTCAAGCGCGACGTCGGCGTCGAGGACTTTGACGACGACTTGCCCATGAAGCAGCGTTTCCTCCGCACCTGGTCCGACTACAAGGTGTGGCTCATGGCCCTCATCTATGCGACCATGACGACGGCCGGCGGATACAACAGCTTCGTGCCCACTGTTATCGCGCAGTTCGGCCGGTCCCGCGTCACCACCTTGCTGCTCACGGCCCCGCCCTACTGCGTTCCGGCGATTACGGAGCTGATCGTCTCGTACTCGAGTGACCGCTTCCGCGAGCGCTGCTTCCACTACACGATTCCGATGATCCTGGCCATCATCGGCTTCATCATCGCCGCGAGCACGACTGCCCTGGCGCCGCGCTACGTCTCCATCTTCTTCATGACGGGCGGCCTCTCGTCGAGCTTCACCGTCTTCCTCGCCTGGATTGCGAGCACGTTCCCGCGCCCCCGCACCACGCGCGCCATCGCGTACGGCACCATCAACGCGTTCGGCAACATGGCCCAGATCTGGAGCCCCTACCTCTACCCGCCCAAGTATGGGCCGCGGTACGTCCCCGCCTTCACTGTCAGCGCCATCATGGTCTTCCTCTGCATCTGCCTCAGCTTCTTGCTCAGGTGGTGCCTCGTGAGGGAGAACAGGCGCATGGGCCCGAACGACATCAAGCATGCTCTCTAAGGGCGAGCGAGGCGGCTCCTCTCGCAGCGACTGTGGGCACGGCGAGCGCTGGCCCCAGTGACGAGCTGCGAGCTTGGCCACCAAAAGTACCACCGCCGCTTCATCGCCACCAAAAGTACCACCGCCGCTTCATCACTTCTCCTATATCTTCCCGCATCGACATCTTGGACTTCTAGGCTAGACATCTTCCGGGCTCCTTTCATTTCCACTTTTGCTCTCTCCAATTGCGCTCCGGCGCCTGCATCATTAATCAAACTAGCGAGTAATATATCGCTATGCATATCCTTCCTTCCATACTCTATGCTCTGTGTCTATGTGCCAACTGCTGGTTTAGTAGAGGTTGAAGCCGCCATTGTTGTCGAGGTGGTCGAGCGCGAAGCTGAAGGGATCCTCCGTATTCAGTGGCGCGGGGCCGAGGATCTGGAGCAGGTTCGCATTGTCCCAGACCTCGCCGCCGTCGAACCAGATCCCGTGCACGTCTTGTGGACTGGGGAGGATCATGGAGCTGCTGTCGGAGATCTGCGTCTGGCCCGTCGCGGGCCCCGCGGGCGTGTCGAGGCCCATGGAGCTGGACGTTGCTGGTCCCTGCGGGTCGCGCTCGTGGTTGTTCCGCTCGCGCCGGTGCCGGGTGTGCTGCTGCTGCTGTTGTTGGAACTCCTCGCTCGCCCGGTTCAGCTGCGTGTGGATGCTCCTGATGCCGCGCTTGATTCCCGGTCCCTGCATCGAGGCAGTCTCCAGGATCTCGAGGCAGAGGTGCACGCGCTGCAATGCTTCGGCGCGAATGAAGGCGGATCCCGTGCGGATCAGGATAATGTCGACACACGCACTCAGGAAGCAGCAGTACAGCAGGAGATAGTGCAAGCACGTGTGCCCGAATGTCCTCCCCCAGAGGCTCAGCAGCTCATGGATCCCGATCGCCGCCGAGCGGCAGTGGTTCAGCGCACTGCTGGGGCCGGACCGGTTGTTGGCGGTAAGCAGGGGGCGGTAGATCAGGATCCGCATGGCGTGGTACAGCATGTTGAGGATCATGATGTTTGTCGGCGGGGAGAAGAGCGGGAGGTTGCCCGCTTCGAGCTTGAGCTCGGCTGGCAGCTGTCTTCGCCATGTCTCAAGACGCTCAATTGCCATCGAGAGATACTGGTGCGAACGCGCGTGCGCACTCCCCGGACTGTACATGTTGGCAATGATACTCTCGAGCTGGATGTTGAGAGCGGCAAAGTGGCGCAGGCAGAAGGACTTTAGCAACGGTTGAGCAGGGTACTGTCCCATCGGGAGCGCTTTACCCGGCGGCAGGGCGGGAGACCACAGCAGCTCATCGTCGGCATCGGGGGGAATGATGTCGGGCGTGAGTCCCGCTCGGAGGAGGAGTGACGGCTCACGACCCAAAGTCAGAGCTAGTGTCTTGTCCCAGCAGTAAGCGGACCAGTAGATCCGCCGTCGCATGTCCCTGTCCTCCTGAGAGAATCGGCTCTCGTCTCCGACGGCCAGGTGCAGACCCATGTCCTGCATCATCCTTATTGCCATGCCCGCGAGCATCCAGGCCTGGTTCGTCCGTCCCAACGCGCATTGGCGTCCCGACAGCCCGAGTAGCGCTTCTGCAAAGGTTAGTAACGAACCCTAGATCTCGGCAGCCGATCGTGTCGAGATGGGCGCTAAGCTTGAGCCTAGCTGCCCCAGATCGGACTGCGCAATGGTACGCTCAGCGCGCTCAGCGAAACTCACGAACAGTGCATATTCGCCCCGGACCCATGACCTGGTCGGCCAACATATTCATGGCAAGGTTGACATAGTGCTCGCCCTTTTGCGTGCGCTCGGCCTCGTCCATGCTGTACGTGAGGCGGATGCCCGTGCAGTAGATGACAATCAGCAGGAACTCGGAGAAGTACGGGCCCCCGAGCGCCATGTCCCCTGCACACGGTCAGCTCTCATCTCCCCCACTTTCGGCCCCGCACCAGCCCATCAGTTGTTGCACTTACGGAGAAATGTCGGCCGATGCACGACGGCGTACACCGGACTAGCCCAGGAGAAGTATGCGTCGAGCCATGCCTCGCCGTCGTCTGGGTCGGCGTAGCGATGCCTCAGCCTCGCGGCGGCACGTAATCGTTCCTCGCTCCAAACCTGTGGTGAAGCCTCCTCGTGCGTCGGCGATGCGGCCGCCGAGGGTCGGCCATCGGGGTCCTCGAACATGCTCAGCTCGCCGTGGTACACTGGCCGCTTGGCTGTGCCGAGGTGGTACTGTGGTCGACCGAGCTCCACCTCGCCGCTTGCGCTGTTGCTCCCGCTGCCTTCGAAGTCTCGCACACCCACGCTGCCCACACTTCCGACGCTCACTCCGGGCAGCCCACTTATATCTGGCAGCGCTGAAGCTCCCCGAAGCGAGCTGCCCGGTGGCTCAAAGTCGGGTGGCAGCGGTGCTGAAGCATTGATGGGGGAGGGGGAGTAGCCGTGTGGTGGCGGGGAGCGTGGGATGTGAGCGAGACTCTCGAGACGCTGCAAGCGTCGCTCAAAGTCGTCGATGATCGCTGGATCGAACTCGCGCGGCTTCTTCGCCCGCTTGCTGGGCACTTGCTCGCAGACCGTGTTTGCCTCCCGGCACGCCTTACAGGGTGGGTTCTCGCCGTCCTCGCACTTGACTTTGCGAACTCGGCAGGCCTGTCATCGTGTCAGTTGAAGCTTCGGAGGAAGTTGCGGAGCAAGGTTGGAGTGGAGGAAGGTGGAGGTCGGAATGGCTTACATGGCAAGAGTGGCCGTAGCCGCGCTTCTTGTATCGAGTCGGGGACTGGGCCCCGCGACGTGCAGAGGACGCGGCCGAGGAGGATTCTGCAGAGTCAGTCGTCGTGATTGACTTTAGGCCAAATGCTGGCGCGGTATGTCCAAAGACTAGCTAGCAAACGTACCAGCTTGTTGTGTCTGGTGGTTCTGGTGCGGCCTCGAAATCGGGATGGGGATGACCGGCTTTGATTCTGCCGGCGTCATCTTGGCGGCGTCCGTTTTGGGTCTAGTCTGCTAGCGGATCCTCTACGATCGTCGCGGCATCCTCTTATCTCCTTCGCGGCCAGCACGAACTCAAAAGTCTTCTCTAACAAGGAGAACAATGTTGTTGTCGCATGAAACGCAGCTCTGTTGAGAGAGAGAGCGAGTGCTGGAAGCCAAGATTGCGCTTGTGGTATTCGGCGTGCTCGCAAATCCGGCAATACGGTCTTCACAACCCGAGAGAACTCGGTGATTTCGCGCAATGACTTTCCGGCGCTGTTTCGTCGCTCCAATCGCTCCAACGCGCGTCTGTGCTGTTCGGTGGGGTCGGTGCAGTTGTCGGCCGTGGTAACCAGCTGAGACGGACAAGATGCATGCGAAATTATCCAACAGAGATGCAGTTATGTTGAGAGACAGGACAGTGTGCTGTACAGGGACAACGCCGCTACGAGTACCGCGCCAGTAGCCGGTCGGCCATCTCCGGCGAGCCCCGCTGCGGCACCCGCCGTGCCTCCATCACTCGCTCCCCACCACCAACCAGGTGGGCGTGCACGAGCACGCATTCGCTTCACACCGCGCACCAATCCGCTCCGCAGACCACCCTCCATTCCACCGCTTCACCGTGTGGAGCTCGGCATTGTCTTGTTCGCTCCCAGTTATCGCCGCGAAGAGGAAAGTGCACAGCGACGCAGCCGAGAACGTGGGCATCTTCTGCTCATCGATCACAGTTACGTCAATGTGAGTTCATACCTCCACCAGCGGCCCATCTTTGCTGCACGGGTTCCCGGTGCTCGTGGTGCGACAGACGCTCGGTGAATGAGTGGGTCGGGTGTGCACGGTGCAGTTGCTGCGATAAGGCATGTGAATGTCACTGGCTGCCGGGTGCTCAGGCTTGCAGGGAGCTTGTGGAACCCCGCTCGCACCCCGTCGGCGATGGAATCGTTAGCGGTGTTCTGAGCGTAGTGTACGACCGCAGATCCCCCGCTCTCCAGCACAGGCGATCGAACTTACTTTTTGCATGCAGAGCTCGGAGTATCGGCGCGGTGCATCTAAAGCTCCTCACCGAGCGATCAGACCGTCCCACGGTTTGTGCGCAGAGGTCGGGGTGTCGATCTGAGGCGATCAGGCAACACCACTACAATGGCTACGGATGACGCCGCTGCCGCTGCCCACAGACGATCCCAAGCTCCGAGCCGTCCACTGACCGTCGCAGTTTACCATGTTTCCGCAGAAGTTCCAGTCAACGACTTCGCACTGGCAAGCGACCGTACGTCCACTTCTTCTCCCGGTCTAACCGCAGAACCGCGGTCCGTCGTCTCTGTGGAACCACGGCCGCTCCGACCCCCTCCCCTCCGAAGCAGACTATGTCATCATCGGCGCCGGAGCAACGGGCACCGCACTAGCATATCACCTGACGCTCCCCGATGGCGCAGCTGCAAAGGGCTCCGGCAAGAGTGCAGTGGTGCTCGAGGCGAAAGACGTCGCCTCCTGCGCCTCGGGCCGGAACGGGGGCCACATAGCCCCGCGCTCCTGGAACGTGCTCAGTACGATGACGAAGCCGCTCTCTGAGGGCGGCGCGGGCCTGAAAGCCTCAGACGCAGTGGACGTGTACCACTTCGAGATGGAGAATCTCGATTACGTCGAGGACGTCGTGCGGCGGGAGAAACTGGATGCCGATTTCTGGCGCGGACATCGACTCGAAGTGTTCACGTCTGAAGAGGGAGCTAAGAGGAATGAGGAAACGCTCGACAAGTTTATGAGAGCTCAGGAAGAGGGTAGACACAAGGGCAAGGCCATGCAGTGCAAGGTCCTGAAGGGGGATGAGGCGAAGCGACGCGCCAGGATGCAGACCGCCACGGCTGTTACCACCGTCCCTGCCGGAAGCTGGCATCCCCATCGCGGTGTGACGGGTCTGATGCGCCGGGCACTAGAGCAAGGCGTCAAGCTCTTCTCTTGGACGCCGGTGATGAGTCTGCACCAGCAGGGGGGAGAGGGTTGGATCGTAGACTGTGGCGACCGGGGCAAGATCAAGGCGAAGAATGTCGTCCTCGCCACAAACGGATACACGCGGTATCTGACCGAGGGCGACTTGGCGAAACAGTTAGATCCCCACGCGGCTTCTATTGCTGACAGCAGCGTGATCCCCTACCGAGGGCACTGTGGCATCGTCGTCCCGCCCACATCTTATGCTGGCACAGGGGCCCTGGACGCAACCTACGGTGTCGAGGACGGGCCGTACTTGATCCAAACGCCGCATGCTGGTCTTGTCCTGGGCCCCTACAATGCGACAGTCATCTCTCAGCATCTCTCCAAGGCCTCGGAACTCTATGGCGTGGACGACGACAGTGTCGTCTTGCCCAAGTTGAAGGACTGGATTGCGAACTGGTGCAAGGACAACTACGAGGGATGGGGCGAGGAGAAGATTGGCGAGGGGCTGGCGCGGGTTTGGTCTGGCGTCATGGGGCACAGTGTCGACTGGGTCCCTCTGTATGGCGGAGTGCCGGGGAAGGACGGACTGTGGGCTGCCGTCGGATACAACGGTGAGTTTCATGAAGATGGAAGAAGAGCTGATGAATAGGACACGGTATGGCGACTATCCTGAACGCGTCGCGCTACCTCGCTCAGCACATGCAGACGGGAGAGTGGCAGAACGGCCTGCCCCGCTGCTTTGAGATCACAGAGGAGAGGCTCCGCAATGCTCGCAACGCGATGAGCCCGTTGGACTACTAAACTCCACTCGCCCTCAACCAACCCCACCCAGAGCCCTCCCAGTCAGATGGAGTCAGCAGCGTATGTGCATAGATCCGTCATCATCAAACGCCATGCAGTGAACACAATAGTCAAAAGTCAACGATGTAACCATTCAGTGTCCGAATGCTTCGCATGTTTGCTTTCGCAATAGTGTAGGTTAAACCACGTGACGGTCGGACAAGGGCCAGCGAGGGTCGCAACGTTGCTGCGCGCAGCAAATGTTGAAACACGCACTGGGCTTCGGCCGTCGTAAGAAGCTTTTGAAGGTCGAAGTCCATATTGATCTGCCGCGAAAGGTTCGTAGTTGAGAGTGATAAAGACGGAAGTCGATGGCGTCGTCGTTGCCTTTCAGTTTTAGGGGGTGTTGTCGTCGTCGTCGTCCTTGCGCCAGATCGTTCCCCAATCCGCGTCACTTGGCGCTGGGAGCGTGGTGACTTAGAAGCGGCAGCACGCCGGCCTACCGCCTCGGCCCCTACCGCAAACGCCGTGGTGTCAATGCGTTCCTCGGACTCGGACTCGGACTCGGACTCCGACCCCGTCTCCATGCCCGCGAGCACCAGCGTTGAGGCGTCTCCTTCGCCTCACGATCCGCGCCCTGTTTCTCGATGTTCGCCGTCTCCTGCTCCTTCTCCGCCTGCCCATTTCCCTTCCTTCTCCATCAGCCTGGCATCACATTGCGAGGCTGCAAGGTCGATACGAGTGCGACTGACAATCACGTAGCAGCAGGAAAGGGTTGGCCTCAAGCTTGTCCTGCTGCGCTGGAGTCAGGGGCGATAGGGCGAGTGGCGATTCCGCTGCGCTCCCTTCCGAGCGCGGCCGAGCGCCGCTGGAGGGAACAACCATGCCAAGGACGCTGGCTTACCTCCCAACTGCCACAACTCCAACGTGAGCCGCGCCAGGCTGCCGTTGACGAAGCACACAAGTCAAGCGAGCTTGGGTAGGGTGGTCTTGACCTTGGGGGGTGACGATTGCGGCCCAGCAGAACCAGCAGGCACTATCCTTGGGGGACTGGAGGAAGGCGAAGCCAGAACGAGTATGCGGCACCAATGCGCTCACGCTAGCCGCGCCGCGAGGGCCGCAAGAGCACTTCAAGCAGTCGGAAAGACGCAGCGATACCGCTGCATCAGCCAAAAAATGTCGGGCTCCTTCTCAACGACCTCGACGCGCTCCATCGGGGCGAGATGAGCCGCGCAAGATCACCAAGGAGGCCAACGAGCTAAGACTTGCTCGTTGGCGGGGGTCATCGTGTTGCTAGCAGAGGACAGGGTTGCCCATGCCAACAGCGCAGACCCCGCTGAACGACAACGCAGGACCGCTGTCCTGTGACGCCATCACCCTTTCCCAACTCCAGCTCCTTTCGTCCATCCCGGAGGGCAAGTCCCGCTCAGGCTTGACGCCGAACCCGGAAGATACTCGTGGCGATAACGAGGCGACAACCCGGGCCAGCGCGGCATGCCTGAGGAGGCCGGCAACCCGCTGTTCAGTCAGCTATCTACAACAGTAGTAACAGCTTGCACATACCGGTGATGCTCCGCGGGATAAGATGCCCGGGACGTTTGCGGATGTTGAAGAAGACCGCTGGAGTTGGGCTTAAGTACTATCAGTCACATCTGTGGATCAGAAGCGACAACAAAGCGGTGGAGAACTGCGGCGTCAGCGCTGTTGCTGAAGGTGCTGACCATGGAATTGTTAGCGTTGCCGACGTTCTGCAGGGTTTCAGGGCTTAGGAGCAGTTGGACTCGAGCTTAATGCGCTGGTACTTTGTAAGTTGTGAGTGGATGCGACGCTAGTGAGACAGGCGCGATTGTGTTGGACGAGGGGGATGACAGTATGGTAGGCGCGGTGGCGAGGAAGACGCAATCGACGCGCACGGGGGCCGCTGCAACCCCTTCACAAGAGCTGAGAGAAGCAGGTAGGAGCATGTTGTGGGAGCGTGGTTTCAGAGTGGGCTCTTGGAGGTCAAACGAGAGGTCAAACGCTTGTGATGGCGAGCGAACAATGACAAGGGTGACGATGAGGAAGCAAGAATTCTCGTGAGGAGGAACAGAGTGTTACGGTGATGTCCGGCATGCGTGCCTGAGCGGCGTTCATGTCCAGGCCCACCCAGCCGGCCCAGGGCCAGGTCCCGCCGGATGATGGGCGAAATGTGCCAATCCACCGTAGAGAATTGGACCTCGCGCGACAAGCCCGCTCACCGTTTGACCTCGTCCTTCCGCCAGGTCAGAATTGGACCTCGCCGGATGTCGATTTGACCACTGCTGCAAGCCGTGAGGTCAAATATGACGCGCCTCCTCCCTCGCTTACTACTTCACTGACGCTGTGACTCCACGAAACTGACGGCATGCTGATCTCAGCGAGGCAAGCGAAAGCTTATGACCTGAAGATGCCGGGGCGTGCCGGAATGCTGGAACGCGACAACGGGCAACTGTATTCGTGGCGACGGAATGTGGAGCCGAGACTTGACTGGTCGACACATCACACGGGCATGTGTTTATGCCAATCCAGGCCATGCTTCTTGGCGCGTCTGGAATGCTCCTTATCGACGAAAGCGCTTCAATCGCTGCCTATCTGACGAACTCACGAACGGAGCTGGCTATTGTGCCAACGGGGCTTCCGCATCTGCCAAAGATGGGGCCAGCCACTGCGTCTTCCAGATGGACGTTGAACGCCGCACATATGCCAATTGTTGTCGAACCTGCTCGTGGCCATGGTGAGCATGCTGAACGGGATCGATTGAGAGCTCGAGTGTGACAACAACAATGACGGCAAGTGGGTGAATGAGTAGTGTAGGCATGAAGCAGTTGATTCGAGCCTCAAGGCCGTTAGTGAGATCTTTTCGGACGCTAGGCAAGATCGTCCGGCGTACGACGCCACGACACACTTCGTCTAGTATTAGCTCGGCTCGGAGTCGGCTGTGGTCAAATGCCCGGCAGTCACGCCAAATGACGGGCACACGACCACGCTTCCACTGCTATGCGCCTCCACACCAGCCCGCTCATGACAACATTGCGGCCCCGATGAAACTGACACGTGCAGCGCTGGTGGTCACAGAAGACGTGCATGCCTTCTGCGCTGTCAATTGGTTCACGATGCAAACGTCAGAGTAGATGTGGCGCTGCTGCGCAAGGCGGGCCCGGCGGCGCCGGCGCCGGCGAGCAGTGGGCCGAGGGAGGCGTGTTTCGGCCTAACTAGCAGATCGCTGGATGTAACTGGATCTGAGACGCCGGCTCGGTCACGCTCGTTCTCTCGGCGACGTCGTGATAGCTCTGGGACCAACCATGCTGCCCGAAACAGCGCTTGTCTTACCTACCATCGGTCATCTGCTCATGAACGTGCCAAGACACTCCGACCCGGAGCAGTTCTGGACCGCGTGACTGATTGTCGGGCTGTGGATGCGTTGGAGCTAGTGCGATCATGAGGTCAGGCTAACAGCAGCAACGCTACGCACCTTGCCTCGTCGACAGGCAACGTCGACGGGCCAGCGGGAAGCACTGGTGGGCCCGATGATGCGAAAGTCCGCGTCCGGGCGTGGCTAGCTCTCCATGATGCATGGCTACTGACGCATGCAGCTCCGCAAGACTGAATACCGCAGCAATGTCGTCTTTGGTGGTGAGCGACGAGCGGCGGAATGCAGGCACGGCCACGACCGGAAGCGCCGATCGTGCGGTGAACTCAGTGCCCACCCAAGGTTTGCCTGGCAACGCGGTAAGCTACGGGTCGCCCGAAGCAGGCAGCTCTGCCATGCATGCTGGTTGCCTTAATCAGACACACTGGTCAGAATGGCAAACATAATGCCCAGGTGCAAGGCGCCATTGATGGAGATTAGGGGTGTGGTCAAATCGCAGTCGGCAAAAACGTGGTTATTCTATGGCTAACTCTGAAAACGCGTCAAGGTGGCACCCGATCACGCCATCAGGCCTCATCGCGGCCCCCAGGGCTCGTCATCCCCGCACCACTGAGCACCTCTTCACTATGATTCAACAATGCATACGCCGTAAGCCCGTAAGCAGTCGGAGACCGGTCTGATGCGGTGAGTAAGACAGGGTAGAGTGCATGCAGATGTGCACCGTACGGTGAGAAAAGCGCAGAACTGGTTCTGCCACCCAGAAATCTACATAAACCAGTGAGCGGTCGTTCTTCCCCAGCATCATTCCAAATCGAAGCGACTCGTCTCCGAATATCTAGCTCGCAGACCCTCAACCGACAGTTATCTATCGTATTCCGTGCTATCTAATCGCCTCTTAACACCGATCGGCACCCAATAGGAACCACAGCCTCACACGATCACAATGTCCGTCGCCGTCGCCGCTCAGCCCGTTGCCCCGCACCTCCAGTCCGCGGGGCCCTCGACCAAGACCTCTCGCGTCACTGGTGAGATCCTCACCTCCGGCCAGCACGAGCCGAACCACGACGACATCATTCCCTACGCCCAGTTCCCGAAGGAGGTTACGGGTCGCACCGTTTGGACTAAGGATGACTTCGCCGACACTTCCATCTGGAAGCACCGCTGGACGCCGGAGCAGATTCAGGAGCTCGAGGAGGCGTACGACCGCTTCGCCGAGACTGGCCTTCCCCTGACTGCCGTCAACCGCGAAACCTTCCCCTTCTCCAAGAACATCACCGACTTCCTCCTCAAGCTTCGCGACTTCATCGTTGACGGCCCCGGCTTCACGCTGATCCAGGGCCTTCCGGTCAACGAGTGGTCTGTTCCCAAGTCGAGCGCTATCTACCTTGCCATTGGCTCCGTCATCGGTGTTCCCGTCTCCCAGAACCACAAGGGCCACGTCCTCGGCCACGTCAAGGACCTAGGCAACGACCCCACCCAGATCGACAAGGTCCGCATCTACACCACTACCGCCCGCCAGTTCTTCCACACCGACAACGCCGACATCGTCGGTCTCCTCTGCCTGCACCGCGCCAAGGAGGGTGGCGAGTCGGACGTCGTCTCGGCCCAGCACGTCTGGAACACCCTGCAGCGCGAGCGCCCTGATGTCGCTGAGATCCTCTCCCAGCCCATCTGGTACTTCGACCGCAAGGGCGAGGTCTCCGAGGGCCAGAAGCCGTGGATCCAGAAGTCGGTCTTCTACTGGCACGACGGCAAGCTCCTCTCCGTCTACGACCCCTACTACGTCAAGTCGATCCAGCGTTTCATCGACGCTGGCCTGATCCCCGGTCACTCCGAGGCACAGAAGGAGGCCTTCCAAGTGCTCGAGGACACCGCCCTCCGCCTCTCGCTCCACATGGTCCTCGAGGTTGGAGACATCCAGTTCGTCGCCGACACCCACGTCTTCCACTCCCGCACCGCCTACATTGACCACCTTCCCCCGACTCCCCGCCGCCACCTCATGCGCCTCTGGCTCGCCACCCCTGAGTCCGAGGGCGGATGGAAGCGCCCCTTCCCCGACTCGGCCCACCCGAGGCGCGGCGGTATCCAGGTCAACGACCAGCCCGCTACCTGCCCCCTGGACGCGGAGTAAGAAGTCATAGTCGAGCCAAAAAGTAGTTTCCTCCAATCTGTAATCTAGCACCGAAGAACATTAGATTTCGGCAATGCATAGTTGTAATATTTCTCGCACAATAATAGAGCAGACGTGGCCCCACAGCACGTAGCCACCAACTAACTGGCGCTACACCCCGCATGAGGCTGTGCATAGCGCGTACTAAGCTTAGCTTCATCCTAGCTTGAACACGAAGATTGATAGGGCCGACAGCTTTTCCCCTCGCTTCGCACTTTCTTTGTGCTCTTCTTTCACTCACTCTTGCTCAGCACTTCCACTCCGGAAGTTCCCCAACATGGAAGCCTGTCCGAACTCGCAGGAGACCGCCCCTTTACTCGGCAATTCCCCGCGGTCACCAAGCGCTTCTTTCCGCCCGCCACTCCTCCGTCACCGGACGATCTCTTCGCTGTCTCTCTCATCGACCCAGCAAACCGCGGAAGAGCAGACCCGAAGCTCTTTTCACGGCCTCCTAATCCTGCTCGGCCTCATTGTCATCAGCGGGATTGTGATCGTCGCCTGGAACCGTTACTCCGGTCGCACGGGTGGGTTGAGTCTCCCCAACTCCGAAGCGCCAGTAGAGCCACTTGAGTGCTCCTTGCCACCCGAGACTGTGGGAGAGGGTGAACTGCCCGAGTTTGTCCCGTACCCGTATGATGACTAAATGCATAGCCTCAGACGTCTCAGATACTTGCACGCAGTCAGATGCTTGCGCGCAGGACTTAGGATGCATTCAAGGAAAGCACCCGCTGATAACAACGTGGCATGACGTCAGGACACTCGGGATCAGCATTCACAAGTCCTCGTCAGCCGCTCACTTTCGTCCGTTGCCGCGCCCACACACAAGGCTGTCTACCCAGGTGCGAGGGCACGCGCCTTGCCCTCTTCATTTCCTAATGCAGTGGACGACCGTGGGAGACATTGAAACTAGCCAAGGCGACCTCTAGCCCCGAATCGCAACGCCACAACACTTCCTCACGAGATCCACACACAACATTTCGCAAACCTCCCAGACCTCGACATCATCGTCACACCCCGGCCCACGTCACACGTGTCACTGCACTCACTCTATACCTGTGAAGATCCGACCGTAGGAAACAATGAAACTAGCGACGCCTTCCTCTAACCTGAGAACGCAACATCCAAAGATCGCTTCACGAGATCCACTCGCCCTTGCACCCACGACACCACTTCTATGCACCTCTCACTTTCCCTTTGTAGCCATTGCACTCTCCGTGCACTAATCAACACACCGACCGATGCAACCGTGAGAGACATTGAATGAATCTAGCCAAGCCCTTCTTCGGCCCGGTGTCGCAACGCCGGAAACCGTTCCCCAGAAGATTCACACATGAAATTCCGTCGCATTCACATGCCCAGTACTGTCGCACATATTCACTCCCCTTCACCTGCGACAGACAGGGGTGCAGGGCTCTGCCGGTTCAGCCTTCGGAGACTTGAGTCCGACTACTCAGGACTGGGGTTGCATACGAGGCGCACGACACTCCACTCAAGGACGTCACCGCGAGATCTTTAGAGACGAGAGACACAGACTTGCGACGGCAGATCTTCTTGCACCATGGGTATTCAATGAATCATCGGGCGCGGTCGGCCGTCGTGCGCGACGGCCGGCCCGGGCTTCGGCGGACACATCGTTTACCAGAGTGGCAGTTCGCTCCATTTTCTGAGTTTTGCACCCTGTCAGTCTGCCCATGGAAGATCGCCGCTGAGTTGGCTGCTGCATCGTGGAGAATGACGTCCTTGACTTCCTTGCTCATCATGTGAAGAGGTACAGTCAGCTTGACCCGTCGAGTGACCTACGAAGCGTTAAGTGGGGAGGGTGCGTCCGCGGGAGCCGAGGGCGCAGGGCTGTGTGGCGGGCGTAGCGGGCGCAGGGGACGGCGTATGAGGTCCGTCACAAATCGATCGATCTCGAGGGCGAGATCGTGCGCCCTTCACATCGGGTGACACGGATGACGCAGATGTGCTGCTAAGCTGTGCACGTCGCCACCGGGTCTCCCACGCTCCGCCCGTTTCCCAGCGTCTCTTCCGTCACACTTAAGAACGGCACCGTCACCATCCTTTCACTTAACCCACCATCCTCCTTCCTTCCTCTAGTCTTCTCCTCATTCTCGCTCTTACTCTTTCTAAGCTCTCTTCCGCCTCCTCTGTCGTCGATTGCTGCCTTCTTTCGCACCCAACTTGCGAGGAGGTTTGTCTCGAGCCGCTCTTGGCTCAAACGCTTGATGTTCGACTCGACACCACCGACGTCTTGCCCGCTAGAGACCAGCACCGACACAGCCACCTGCACAAGCTTGACACCACTCCTTTCGGCAGTGTACACTCGTGCGATCGGCCTCGCCGGTCCACACCTCACCGCAATTGCATTAGCGGCCCAAGCACCCCCTCGCACGCACACGCGACATGCCGCGACGACGACACGCGGGCTTTAAGCGCGTAATGGTTTGTGGACAATCTCCACCACCCCTTAAGCAGTCTTAAGCACACCAAGCGGTTATCCGAAGACGACTTCATCCAGCACAACAAGCTCGACAACCACAACGACCACAACGACCACAACAACCACGACTTTAACTTCACTCCACTCGAGGGGCGTTGCTGGTCCACCTAGCTCGCAGGGCCCGGCTTCGGGGCGGCGAAGTCGACGCCTCACCCTCCACATCCGCGATTGCATCAGCTGGATCCCTCCGCCAGGTTATTCTGATTCCGTTTTCCCTGGTTATCTTCAATCTCCAAACTATTCGCTCGCGCCTCGTTTCCATCTGTTCCCCATCGCATTCGGCCGTTGGTCCACTCAACCTTGTCAACCTCCACGTCAAACGCCGGACTGGCATTCTAACTGTCCGGCGTGCTCGCGATTGCATCAGCGACTCGAGATCTTTTTGTCCAGTTGCCAGTTGTCCGACTCTCCAACCCTTCCTCAGCCCCGGACTGAGTGGCCCTCCGGCAGACCCGCGATTGCATCAGCGGTTCCAGTGACGGTTTTTGTTGTCCAATACGAGTCTATCAAGTCTTCGTTCAGCATCGCCGCTCGGCTCGTCATCTCAGCCCGTCGGCAGTTTCGCGATTGCATCAGCGTAACTCTCTCTCGCTCGTGAAGTCATGCGCTCTCCTCCATCAAGCATCGATAACTTTTCGGCCCTCGGCACTGGCTTCGGCAATGGTCCGGCCAAGACCGGCACTGGCTTTGGCACCAGGTTGGCTCAGGTCCAACCTTTTCAGCCCGTTGGCATCTACCAACGGAGCAACCACCAGGCTGTCTCCACCGGGAGGGCAGTCTGATGATCTGTTCGCCTTACCGCGATTGATTCAGCGGTTGAAGGCATGGGACTAGCAACGGCTGAACTACATCACCTGAGTCCTGCTTGGTCGGGCGTCCCACGGGTGTTTTGCCGCGATTGCATCAGCGGCACACCAATCGATTCATCTTTTCTGAACGCTTATCCGATCTCGACGACTTCTCTCGATCTCACGATTTCTCATCACCTCGATCTCGACCCCGAGCAGCGGTCTCGGCACTGTCAACCCAATTACCGAGCCTCGGTCTCGCTACTGTCAACCCCGAGCGCCGGTCTCGGTCGCTGTCAACCTCTTTGCCTTGCGCTCTGACCAGCGCGTGCCTTCCCGCGATTGCATCAGCGGGTGAGCGTGGGTCGCGTCCCGTTTCCACCCGACTCCAGTTTTGACCTTTTCGTTTTATACTTTGCAACCTCCGCGATTCGAAACCAAGCAAATCAAGCCAAGTCAAGCGATTCAAACCAAGCGATTCAACGAGATCTTTTTGCGAGCGTCTCTCAATCCAGATCTTTTTGGCAGTGGGCCCTCTCGCCGTGTCTCGACCGGCGAATGGCGTAGTGGCGTCGCCATTGCATGTGCGGCGTCCAGTGGGTATTGTCCCCGTCTGAAGGCATGGCGATTGCATCAGCCTCCCAGCCGTATAGGCTCGACCTAAGTGGCGGTAGGCTGCCCCGCCACGGTTGACGTCTTCGCCCGAACCACCGGGTTCACCTACCGCGATTGCATCAGCGGTTCTCAATCTGCTCAAGATGCTCAAGATCTGTTCGAGTCCTCTCCGAATCCCATCGGCCTTAGTCCAGCCCGGTCTGGTGTCCCATCTCCGTTCACCCGCCCCGGTCACTGTCACGCCGCATCCCTCTCAGGCGCTGACCAGCGCGTGCCTGCCCGCGATTGCATCAGCGGGTGGGCGTGGGTCGCGTCCCTCCATCCATCGACTCGCAGCGTGGGGGCAACCCTGACCTCGCTATCCCGCGGCCGCGCGCAGCGATTGCATCAGCTGCGCCCCATGAGTCTCCTCTTCGTCTGAAGGTGTGGCGATTGCATTGGCCCCCAGACGTAAGAGCATAGGTTATCCTCCGTCGACCTCTCGCCGTCGAATCGGTCAAGTTCATCTGCCGCGATTGCATCAGCGGCGATCGAATCTGTTCCACTCTCTCCAATCTGTTTGCGTTCTCTCCGACCTTTTCAAGCGCTTTTCAACCTCTCCAAGCGGTTTTTGACCTTTTCAAGCCTTTTCCGACCTTTTCAAGCGCTTCTATGCCGACCTTTTCGGATTTGCGACCTTTTCCGTGATCTTTCCTGATTCCCTGAAGCTGAAGCTGAGCTTGCATCCGACTGCTTCCTCAATCCGCCTATCGAGTCGTTGGAACACGCGCACGCGAATGCGATTAGCGCTCCGCGTCTGGGTGATCTCCCCGTTCGGCGGTGCCGCGATTGCATCAGCGGCAATCGTTCGGACGTCTATTCTCGACTCCTCAAGCGGTGGGGTGATGCGACTTGTCAGCATCACCTCTTGGGGCATGCCCCGCGCTGGCGCCTTCGGGTGACCCACCAGCACGACCCGCGATTGCATTAGCGGGTCTCAACTATCGATGCAAGTCTCTGAAGCTAAGAGAGCCTTGACCTGTTCAAGCTCTGAAGCTGTGGACCATCGATTCAATTTATCAAGTTGTGCGGCGTGCGATTGATTCTCAGCTCGACCGCTCTTGGGAGACGATCCCCGTCGACGTCGACCCGCGCGATTGCATCAGCGCCAGCCTTGCGACGCGCAGCTCAAGCCAAATCGCGACCGACCTGTTCAACCTTTTCTTAACTTCACATCACACCCCTATGTTCACTCAGCCGACAAGGAGTGCGACATTTGCGCCGCGATTGCAGTAGCGGCGTTTCGTGAGATTCGTTTCAAAGGGCCTATTTGCCGCGGCGTCGCGAGTGCTTCGGCGACGTCTTGTGGGATTCGTCCCCGACGAGTGCAGTTGTAGCGCGGTCCGCCGCATAGTATGCAGTCTGTGTCTCGTCGCTCTCGTCGCTTCAGGTACCACTTACTCACCGCACCGTGTTGAACTCATAGCTGAATCCTCACCCCCTTCTGCTTATTGAGGAAACTCAGTAAGTCATTGAGCTGACACAGGTTGGAACATCCCAACAAGCGTCTTTCGTGCTCTTCTGTGCATCCTGAGGGCTGTCGTACGGTCGAAAGGACGCCGGCGAGTGAGGTGGTTCGTGCAGGAGATGAACCCCGAGTCTGAAATTTTGGTTCCGCTCCGACCACAAGCGAGCCTTAACGCACTGGTCACATGACCGCAATCTTATCAATGACGCACCTCGGTGCGAGTGCCCTCGGCCCGCGGAGCCTGGCCGGGACCTTAACGGTCTCTTGCGATGCGGGGTTAGAACACCCTTGGGTGGCGAGGATGCGCAGGTGATAGTCTGCGTCACGGGTGACGACAGGTCCGGTAGTGGAGTACGCCGTAGGTAGAATGCAAGACAAGTGGGGGTATAAAGACCCACCTCACCTGACTGCGAGTCGGGCGCACAGATCGCCCATCGCACGCCGACTCCCTGGCATACTTAACCCCGATTATTGCTCGAACTGACTGACTGCCGACCCAGCGCTCAGACCCCCTTCACCCCCGAGTTTATAACAACGCAAACAAGCACATCATGAGCTCGCCCACCGACTCGAACCACAGCATGGACTCGATCAAGCAGCACGGTGAGTTGCCTCGGTGTTCGTGGAGCGGCTGGCGGGCACCCGGCCGCGCCAGCTGGTGTTGACACTGTGGCCACCGACGAGATCCTCCTTTAAGCTGGCCGATTCAGACACTTCACTCCGATTGTGTGCTCAATGCTAACCACCAGCGCCCCCGCAGCCTTTCACCCCCGCCGAGGCAAGCATCGTCGACTCGTACGGCTCCTGGGACGCCTTCTGCCGCGTGTACGGCCTCAAGCCGGCGAACCCGGACGAGGCGGTCGAGGCCTACTGCATCGTCCGCCAGATGGCGCGCTACGACTCTCCCGCGCCGAACAGCGACAATGCCGCCTCCCCTTGAGCTTCTTCTCGCTCCTCCAGCATCCACAGTCCACTGCACACCTACAGTTTTCCCGCATTAGTTTTCCCAATCGCTATGTTCCACACCCCATGATTGATGTATGTAATGACCCCTTAGCTCTGTCAGCGCTGTCCACACTGCATGACTGGAGTGGACGCCAAAAGCAGCAAACCGGACCGTAAGCCAGTCTGGGATCTGTCCTCGGACTGCGCAATCAGACGCACGGGCTCCATCTCGCCGGTTGGACGCCAAGAGACCCACTAGGCGCCGATACTGGGCGTTCACAAAGACCCTGCTGCATGCTGTCCGGTGCTCATTGTCCTGCTCAGTGTCTGTCCAGCGACGCACCTCGTCTACTCACCAGATGGAGGAGCTGCAAACGACTCCCTCAGCTGACCTAGATCTAACTTTACCGGCCGGCCGGGTGGAGCCCAGCCAGACTTCGGATCCCCACAATTTTCGAGATCGGCAACTCACCCGTACCAACGCTTCTTCTTATTCACCGAGATCTAACCGACTCCCGCTTCCGGGCTGGAAACACGCTGCATGATCATCTGCTATGAACGAATGCGTGTGGGATGCACACTGACTATAGGTATAGCTACTGAGATCAGTGGTTGACCTTGACCACAAAACTCACTGAGGAAGGCGACGCTGTCCTCTGACCAGTACTCTTTGATGTGGTCCACGTCCGGCTTCACGAGCTTGCCATCGACCGTCGACGATAGATTGAGCGTCCGGCATATCGAGTGAAGCGTCGGCAATGATTCAAAAGGTGGGGTACGATCGGTGCGAAGAGGTAGTTAGATGACTGGAAGGAGGGCAACTGCTTGAGTTTGCAGCCGCTGGTCGCTTTCACTTGATCGCCGCAACGAATGATCTGCGACCACGCCCGACCGACCTCCTGTAACCGCATACGCAAGGCTAGACATAAACTATGGGTTGCAGCAATCTCTATGATCACCACCTTATCTTAAGCCCCTTGTGACTCAGGAAACAGCCTCCCACGCTCTGCATGTCGTCGCATAGAAGGAAGAAGAGAATGACACCGCTGAACTGGGGAGGTGGATCATTTGAAATCTGGCCCAATGCGTGCAAGAGACCAGAGAAGAGGTAAATGAGGCCATAGAAGGTGAACGTATTGCTGGGCAGGTGCAGGACCCGAATGACCGTCTTCGTGCAATTGAGGAACGTGCGGCGATACACTGCCATTAGCTCAATTTCGGCGACAGAGGTAGCTCACGCTGGTGCCATCTGCGGCCCCACAGGTCGCGAAGCGATGTCGAGCGGAACGGTGCGTCGAACATGTCCGTGTCCCATGTACCACCAGCACCACGGCAGCGATGCCTGGCAGAACTGGGCCAAGGATGAGGAGCGCCGCCGCGCAGCGTCGTGTGCTATGCCTCTCTGCTAGTCGAAAACGAATACGGTAGAACTATGAAGACAAATGATTGTGGTTATGGAGACAAACAACGAGACTACAAGTGGGAACGAACGGAGCGAACGGAACGAACGGAAACGAGTCTGGTGCGAAGCTTTAGCTAGTGGCCGTACTCTCCTCGAGCGAGGCGGACATGGCTGCGCTCGCTGTCGCCAGCGCCGCCTCGACAATGTGCGCCGGCACCGAATCGACCGTGATGAAGCGCACTGTGCTGATTTCTGCCGCCTCGGCGACCGCCGTCGCGACAGTGCTCAGGTTCTCGACGGCGGCTTTCGTCAGCGCCGCAGCCGTTGCGGCTGTGTCGACAACAGCCGAAGCGAGCGTTGTCGCGAGGGTCTCGCTGTTCTCGGCGAAAACGTCGGAGACAGTTTCGGAGACGGCCCCGAGAGCAGACTCGAAGACGGCCTCGGAAGCAGCCTCGGCCACGGCTTCGGTTGCCCCAGCAGCGGCGACGGCGACCTCAGTCGACAGCGCCTCCGCGACCTCCGAAGCAGCCTCGAGCACAGCGCTGGGCTCGGCAACGGCGGCAAGTGTATCGGTGACAGCGGCCGTGGCGGCGGGGAATGCGGCTCGAGTGGACTCGGCAACGGAGGAGATAACCTCAGCCAGCGACTCGACGACAGACGGGGTCGCGAGGAGAGCCTGCGCGGCGTCGGTAATGGCGGGAGCAACGTCGGCGGGGGGGACGTGGTAGATCATGTAGACGTGCTTCATGATGAACGGGGCGAGATACTGCCCAACACCCTGATCGGGGAAGAAGGAGCAGGCACCCATGCCGGCGTCGATCCAGGCGTTAGCGACAAGGCGACCTGGTGTCAGCTCTCTATCGGGTTTGCAAGAGCTTTTCAATCATGCTCGTCGCGTCTTCACTCACCAGTCACAGCAGTCCAGGTCCAAGTCCAGCACCAGCCGAGCAGACCGCGGGTACGAATGCCGAGGATACGCTTGGCGGCAATCTCGAGACTGCACCCCACGCCCGAGAGCATAAAGAAGGCCATCACGTGCGAGAACCTGGGTACCGGGTCGGCCGTGATCTCGCCCATAGCGTGGAGCAGGCCGCTGAAGAGGTAAATGAGCGGGTAGAAAGTGACCAGGTTGTTGGGCAGGTGGAAGATACGGAGCACCGATTCAGTGGCATCGACAAAGGTGTGGCTGCCGTCAGCTCCAAACTCGTTCGCTGCCGTCAGCTCCAAACTCGTTCTCACCTTAGCTCACCGGAAGACCTGGTGCCAGCGACGGCCCCAGAGCTGCATGAGGGACGTGGACTTGAGAGGCGCGTCGAACACGTCAATGTCCCAGACCTCGGGTTCCCAGTAGCCGCTAGCGATGCACAGGAACGCGACGAAGTGATACCACACGGAAAGGAAGCCCCAGATCGCAAGGGGCGGGATGAGCTCCATGAACGTCGACATGAGCCACTTGGGCAGCGGGAGACGCAAGGTGCTGGGGAACAGGACTCCTTCGCTCTCGGCGAGCCAGCCGGCCATGATATGGCCGTACTTCTCGATAAGAGGCAGGCCGCCGGGCGGAGCAATGGCGTGCGGCCCAATTGCGCGGGTTAAGGAGAAGACGATGTCCATGATTGTGTACAGCGCGAGCGTCTTGTAGAGATGACGAAGAGATGATCCCCAGCGCGACGTCGGACGAGGGAATCGACGCCAGTGCTGGATGTGCCGCGCGATGTGAGGCATCTCGGGCGCCTTGCCCTTGCCTCCAGGGCTCAGCAGCTTCACGTCCTTGTTATCGGGCCCGTTGCCGCTGTCAAGGCCGACGTTGCCGAGGCCGATGTGCCGCTGGTTCATGACGAGGTCTAAAGCCGCAACCCAGCGCGGTCGCCCGCGCCCCATGTACGGGTCCACAATCGGCTCCTTCACCAGTGCAAGCGAGGCGTACCGCGCAACCAGCTGCCAGTACAAGATGCCGAACATAGAGTTGTAACAGCACCAACGGAGGTCTGGGATTAGCTCAAGCACATGCTTAAGAGCTGCCTCGGTGCTGCGAGCTCTGACATCGTCGGACTCACCATAGAAACGGTTGTTCAAGTAGGCGGACGTCGCGATGCTGATGCCGACGATACCGAGTGCGAGACGGACCTCGCGTGTCTCGCGGGCGAGCCTATCCTTTGGCCCGCCGATGATAAGGTAGGCCATAATGGCGGCCGGAATGAAGGGAACGAGGGCATAGTTGAACCACTGGCGGAGAGAGAAGTGGTCAAAGTCGAGCGGCGCCGCGGTACGTTGAACATGCTCCCAGACAGGATTGAGTGGGCCCCACGGCGCGGGGAAGAGCGTATCCCAGAGCCGGCCGATGTCGCCGAGCGAGAGGCTCAGCGGTTCAGCCATGATCGAAGCGGTCGAAAAGTTGCGGAAAACGAATGTGATTGAGTGTGAGGTTGAGTTGAGCGCGATCGTTAGTCAGCGAGGTTGGATAAAAGGCCAGTCTGTCGTCAAGAAGAGGTGTGGAATGACCGCACCCAGTGTCGCTTTCCAGCCGGTACGAGATTTGCGCATGGGGCGCCCAGCGGCCGCAACATGCCAGGCCATGCCGGCCAGCCTGACCCACGCAGCAAAGCCGGTCGTGCGCCTGGATCCAGTCGCGCACGATCGGAGTGCGCAAGTCGGGGACATTGTCTGGCGTTCAGGGGTGTGACATGGAGGCTCAGCGCGGCCCCAGCCTCACACGCCCCCCGGCTTCCTTCTCAATGATGGCGTAGAGGCGTCGTGGCGTCGAGCGCCATGCTGCTAGATGCGGTGAGACAAGTACGCTCCCCGATGTCGCCTAGATAGCTGTTATCAGCACTGCCCCGGCGCCTTAGTGCGCATGGGATGGTTGGGGAGGTGGATGCAGAGTGATGGTGAAGTGGGTGAAGATAAAACTCGGCGTCTTCGCGTCTTCCTTAGTCCACTTTCGTGGCCGATCAATCATCCGCCGTTGCTTCTTAGATCTCAAAATCATGGCCCGTTCACATTCGCCGACATCTCTCGCAGTTTGAATGCACACTCGGACACGCGTAGAAGACGACGGTCTGCTGGCGGCTCAGGGCGCTGGGGTCGATGTGGTATGCATGGGAAACTATGTCACCATCGGGTACACGTCAGGCAGACGAGGTATGCAAGACAAGGCTCTGCGGTCGAGGGCGGGCTCCGGCAGTCATGAAGGTATAAAGGAAGGAAACAGTGGATACAAGTGTGATCTAAAGCGAACGGAGGGAAGTGATGAGCAGGAGATAACTGGCTGAGCGTCGTCGCCTTGCGATCCTCCTAAAGTTCGGCAGCGGCATCGGCCGCGACTGCGACAACCGTTTCAATGACGGCCGCAGTCGTGGTAGTGACACTTTCTACGGCCGACTCAACGACCGACTCAGCGAGCGCGGCCGTGGTCTTCACGAATGTCTCTGCAAGGACGGGTTTTGACTCCACAACCTCGGCGATCGCCGACCCAGCTCCATGAAGCGGCTCAAGCGTGAGTCCGTGCTTGAGGATGTAGGGGACGACGAGTTGGCCGAATCCCTTGTCTGGGAAGAAGCTGCACGCAGCCCATCCGGGGTCAACCCAAGCGTTGAGGATGAGCGTACCTGCGCATTAGCCCCAGTGTTAACGCCAGACTCACCTGTGAGCGTGCTCCAGAAGAAGGTCCACACCCAACCAGCGGGCCCACCGACGAAACGGCCGGTCACGCGCTTGAACATGACCTCGAGGGCGTTGCCCAAGCCGGCGAGAAGGAAGAAGAGAATGACACCGCTGAACTGGGGAGGTGGATCATTTGAAATCTGGCCCAATGCGTGCAAGAGACCAGAGAAGAGGTAAATGAGGCCATAGAAGGTGAACGTATTGCTGGGCAGGTGCAGGACCCGAATGACCGTCTTCGTGCAATTGAGGAACGTGCGGCGATACACTGCCATTAGCTCAATTTCGGCGACAGAGGTAGCTCACGCTGGTGCCATCTGCGGCCCCACAGGTCGCGAAGCGATGTCGAGCGGAACGGTGCGTCGAACATGTCCGTGTCCCATGTCTCTGGCTCCCAGAAGCCGGATCCGATGCACAAGATGGCGCCGAGGTGGTAGACCCCGCTCAGCATGCCCCAGATCATCATCGGTGCCGCGGCCTTGAGAACGACCCCAACGTAGAACGGCGGCACAACGTAGCCAATTGTAGACGGGAGAAGGATTGTCCGAGTCTCTGCGATCAAGCCAGGAACGATATGATCGTACTGCGGCAGCCAGGCGCGGCCGCCGGGAGGTGCGAGGGCGTCAGGGCCTACAGCGCGCACAAACGTGAACAGCGCATCTTCCAGGCAATAGATGAAAAGGAAGTGGCCGAGGTGGCGAGCGAAAGCTGCCAGCCGAGTCGTGGGGCGCGGCTGCCGCCGCCAGTGACGCAGATGCACCTCCACTTGCGGTCGCTCGCCCGGTTTCAGCTCAGGAAGGGCCAGGTTTGGGGGCCCAGCGGATGTGTCGAGACCAACGGATCCGAGGTACACATGTCGGAGATTGATAGCGAGATCGATGGCGGCGACCCACCTGGGGCGACCGAGGGCCATCCAGGGATCGACGACGGGGTCCTTCAGCAAAGCTAGCTCGAGGTATCGCAGGCTGACAGTCCAGTAGGAGATGCCGACGAAGTTGTTATAGACAGCCCAGCGGTACGCTATCGTCAACTGATGCAGTGGACAAAGACTCACTAGTGAAGCGCCGCGTGAGGAAGGAGTGCGTCAACATCGTCCATCCAGCGACGGCGAGAGCGGCACGAATCGGTCGCGACTCCCGTGCTAGCTTGTCCTTCGGCCCACCAACGAGGAGATACGAGATGAGCACCAGCGGGACGAGCGGCAGGACGAGCCAGTTGAACCACATGAGTAGGTCTGGCGTAAGGGGCTGAGCGCGGAGGGCTATCCGGTGGATCGGATTGAGAATGCCGAACGGTGGCGGGCAGGCGTACGCGTACGCTCGACCCGCGAAGTCTAGTAGCTGTTGCATGGCCAAGTGAAGTTTGGAAACGAGCGTCGGTGAGTTAATCAGGTAGGTCAGAGGTGAGTGTTGAGATCTCACATATCGACATCGCCCGGATCTTATGTACTTTGATGCCGCAGATGAACGGGGAGCGCCGACTGCCACCCCCTCAGGTGACACCGTAACAGTTCTGCCCGCGACAGAGGTCCGTGGAGTGCACGGAGACGATTGGAATGATGGTGATTAATTTGAGACGCTCCAGGGAGGAGACAGAATCTTCCTGACGGTGAGTCAGGTCCGTTTCACCGTCCGTGAGGAGGAGGCGGCAATTCATTGTCAGCCATGTCTGCCAATGACGCGGTGGTTGCAAGGTGGTCGTCGCGAACGGTCCGGTGCGTTCCGACACGACAGGCGATGAGTTTCGGAGGGACGTCAGAAGTGTTGGCGAATTAACCGCGGGGTACTGGAACAGGCAGATGGGGTCGGCAGAACCGTTTGCCAACAGATTGAGCGGTTATGTGAGGCTGTTGAAGAGGCGTTGGGACTTGGTTTGTCCACGAGATGCGGCTTCTTAGTCCTTCGCATCTGGCCACAAGAGTATGCCAAATCGATGTGTCGATATGTTTCTGATCACGTAGAGAGGACGCTCCCCAACAGAATAGATGGAGATACGGGCTGGTGAAGGGAACCCGAGAGTTACCGTCACCCCATGGACATACCTCATCGCCCGCCGGCCTCATCGCACGCCGGCGGCTGTGTAGCTTAAGCCCATGGAGGAAGGGTGGATCGAGATGAGTCTGGAATTCGTGTGTCGAGCTGTCGAGTGATCAAGCGGGCTGTGCACTCTCAACCTGAGGCAAGCGCGACTCGAAGGACGGTTGGGGCGGGGGGTTTCGCCGATGGTGACTACCATACATACCGACAGGACCACAGCCTGGATCCGTACCGGCGTCTCTGGTCACTCTCTTCCGCGAGCCTCACGTCTAGAAGAGTTCAACTTACCTTATCGCGACGGCCCCAACCTTGGAATCTAAACAGCAGCTCTGAGGGTAAGTGGGTCGAGGTGGTGAACAGAGAAGAGTTGTGGGAGGAGATGGAGGAAGTGGAGCCGCCCGTCACTGGTCGGACTTGAGTATGACAAGTTGATGCAGGTATAGCAGTGCAGTATGCTAATACATTGCACAGCTGGGAAGGTGGGAGGAGCGAAGGATCATCGGCGACAAGCGACAAGGAAGGTCAAGATGGAGAACGTGGACGAGCGGAGATAACCACACGTCCAGTCATCCTTGGTTTTGTTTACGTAACTACGGAGGGAGTTCGGCTTTTGACAGCCGACGACACTGGATAAACACACGTCTCCATCAAGCATCTATCTGTGCATGTATCAGTGAATAGTGTGCTTCTCTTCACGACAGAACAAAGGGTAAGGTTGAAGATGAGCATACTTAGATGCATCTAGAAAGACTGGGTCGGTCACTTAAGGCTGGCTCAGCCCTGAACACGGAGAAGTGGAGGCCGATCATGTCACGCCGTGCATCTGACAGTACGAATCGCACCAGTATGTACAGGAGGGCTTAACATGTGCAATGGCATGTGAAGGGCACCTAAACAGCATGGTCATGGTGGAGATGGGTGGCAAAGGCTGCCGAGGCGACTTGATGGTGAGGGTCTGCGAGATGAGTGAGCTACAGAGCGGAGCAGGCACTCACCAGTGGACGCCATCGCCGCCGAGACGACCTCGACAAACTTCTTCTGGAATTCAACGGTGCCCGGCACGAAGTCTGCGCTCGCTCTGCAAAGAGCAAAATAGAACTGTGGAGGAATAGAGCAGACAAACTCGTATGGAGGGCCGTGCATGTGGAAGAGGTGGAAAGCTCGGCAGTTGAGAGGATCGCGAGGGTAATCCTGCCAGTTGCAGTTGCTCCTCGGGTGGACGAGCGCTTTCGCACAGAGATGGATGTTGTCAGTCAGGGCACCAAACACAAAGGTCGTCTCCGGATTCCAGTCTTCGACGAGTTCGGCGTATGTGCTCCAGTGCTTGAGGGCTTTGAGACAGAACTTAGAGTCATATTTGTCAAGGAAGGACACGAGGCGAGGAAGACGATGCTTCCAAGGGCGGGCGTTGGCTGTGCCGCGGTTGCTGGGAACCTCACAGATGGTCATGTCGAGCTTAAGGTCACGCATCAGGTGGAGGAAGCTGCGGACAGTAGCAGCGTCTTCAATGGTAGGGTCCGCAAATTCGAAGCTCTTGCTCTGCATTCCGGGCAGAGACAGCATGTCTGCAAACACTGGGCTGTTGGTCAGTCGATGAATGGCTGTGGTAATCCGTACCTTGCGGTTGAGAGTAGAGCGGTCGTGGTGCGAAAGCGAACACCATCGGCTGAGACCACACTCACGTCGCCCGTTTTCCAATGGTCGTCGTCGACGATAGATTGAGCGTCCGGCATATCGAGTGAAGCGTCGGCAATGATTCAAAAGGTGGGGTACGATCGGTGCGAAGAGGTAGTTAGATGACTGGAAGGAGGGCAACTGCTTGAGTTTGCAGCCGCTGGTCGCTTTCACTTGATCGCCGCAACGAATGATCTGCGACCACGCCCGACCGACCTCCTGTAACCGCATACGCAAGGCTAGACATAAACTATGGGTTGCAGCAATCTCTATGATCACCACCTTATCTTAAGCCCCTTGTGACTCAGGAAACAGCCTCCCACGCTCTGCATGTCGTCGCATGGCTCAGAGGAACCCCTCCAGCCCTGTCATGAAATCGCCTTCACCTAGCGGCGCAGTGCTTTGGCTGAGCAGGCTCTGAATAAAGGCGTCAAACTCCTCGTCACCTTGCACGGTGTTGCACTGGAAGCTGGCCGTTGGGCTTGATTCCCAGCCGCGAGACAGGTCACCAACTACCGCCGGCAACTCCATGCTAGCCTTGGCGCACTCATTGAGCATATCCCTCAGAATGCCTGCCTGGCGTCGTCCCGAGCCCCAGGTCGAGCCAATTTTGTCTAGGAACGCTAAGGCGGCATACACTTTCTGGAAAGCAGCAGTGGATTGCGCGGGTGAAGCAGCCTGAGCCGCCGCCAAAAGGAAGCACGTGCCGGCACAGTAGATGATCGCTGTTGTCGTCGGTGGTGTGAAGCGCAGGGAATGCTGCTCATCCCACAGCGTCGCCAGCTGAATGATCTTGCTTGCCGCTTGGTGGCAACGCTGCTAGTCAGCTATTAAGCAAGCCTTCGACTCACGGTGAGAGCTACTGTGCCGATGCTTTGATAACCGTCGTGGCTGTGCAAAGGCATGACCTGAGAGAATGGTTGGTAGAGGAGCGCGACAACCCACGCCCACCCCATATGCAAACTGAGGATATGAGGCAGAACTGGTTCTGATCGATTCACATCCAGGGTCAGAGGGGCAGGAAGAGCCTCGAGCCAACTGTCAAGCGCATCGCTGCAATCAGCAACAGTCGTACCGTCAACTCACGCAAAGCGCTGGACTGTTCCCGACTCCACCAGCGAAAGCTTCTCGGCTCGTCCTGTGTAGACGGTTCGCGATATCTGCGAGGCAATCTGCATGAGATGCGTCGTGTGCACAAAGGTGAGGGACAAGTACGACTTTTGGGGAGGCAGAGACTGGTATTTGCCGGGAGGCCAGATCCACATGACGTTGTCAGTGGCTGGGTCAGGTCGGGGTGAAGGAAGGCTAGCATGAGCTCCAGACGTTAGCTAGACTTACGTGCTATCAGGCAACATTGGCTTTCTTCCGACGTAGATTCCCCACATCACCTCCTGGCAGTAGCAAGACCAGAACGTGACGTTGCGCTGGACAGCGGCCTCAGGCTTCAGCTTGCCTTTGGCTACGAGAGACGCCGAGTTCACATGCAACCCCACTGCCAGTTAGCTTGAACTGAAGACTGGGACAACTCACGGGCGTAGCATAGCCTGTTTGCAAGGCCATGGTTGACCCACCCTATCGAATAGTCGCCCATTGTGCTCATGAAGGAGCCTCTGATTGCCAGGGCTTGGACTGTGGCCACAGACGGGTTGGCACATTCTCTGTTCAGGTGCCTGTCACCCTCCTGCATGAACACCCTACGCGTGACGAGTGCACGCAGATGCTCGTCGTCGACGAAGCCGAGACCGACAGCAAGAATCATGTTGTGCAGAAGCGGCGAGTAATTCGGAGCCACGACTGGCAGCTCAGACTCTTGTGGTGTTGATAGGGCGATTTCCATGTCGCGGAAGAACAGGTGAGGAGTCGCCCTTTGGCCTGTTGTCAGCGAGGAAGGCGATTGTGACTTGGCTCACCCCAGCTGGCAGCATAGCGAAAGAATCGGTCCACAGCTTGGTCATGTTGTGCGCGAGTAAAGAAAAGGCTGTCGGGTAGAAATCTGGCCCAAGTGCGGTCATCCGTCTGCTCATAAGGGGTAGTTGCGTCTTGCGCCGGTTCTGGCAGGCTGTCGTGACGGAAAGCACTCATAGGGGCATGAACGCGCAAACGTCCCTGTCGATCTTGAACCTGGAATCAGCTCACTGAATGTGACTGTGAGCTCACGATGTATCCCTCGAGATCGTCTGCTGATGGCGAACGCCTGGCAGGTAGGATAGAGGCGGCGATACCGTTCGTCAGGTCTGACGGAGGTACCCCAATCTCAGGAGGGGCGGGGGGCGGGTTGGCCGAAGGGGGAAGGGGGGCTGAGCGCTGAGGCGGCACGGAGGACACACTTGGGGGCGGTAAGGGGGCTGCATCGTGCGAAGCAACAGGTTGAACACCGGCGGTAATAGCAACGTCCACGAGTGAGTCCCACATCGTTGTATCTGCTTGCCCGGGGAAGGTAGAGGAGGAGAGGGAAGGCGGTGATCGCGACCGAGATTGCCGCAGTTGCGACTCCAGTTCGGCGATGCGGGCGCGGAGAGCGTTGGCCTCGGATCGAGAGATGTTCTTACGCCAGTCGGCCTTCGTGTTCCATACGCAGTCGTCCTGGGGTCAGATTCCTCTCTCCTCCTATCTGCTCTCACCTTGTACGCCTGGCACGTCCGGCAGACGGGTTTCTGCCCGTCGCACTTCTTCTTACGGTGCCTGCAGTTCCTGCAAGCTTGACTGATGTTGGACCTCTTCCGCGGCGGACTTGGGGGGGGGGCGGACATGATGATAGAGGGAAGGCGGCCCAAACGAGGTGGTGGTGGACAGTGCGGTGGAGGAAGGATAATGGGCGGTGTGCCCACTGTCGTCTTCGAATCGACGGGACCTGATAGGGTGCAGATAACACCCATCCACACATCAACCAGGTCGCCACTGTGCAGCTCAAACTCAAGCACGGTACAACAATGCATAGTGGCCTCACTCTATAACGATCATTGCACAACGTCCTCGACGCGAGTGTCAAGGACAACCATAGACCCAGGCGTGTGCCCGATCACCATACCCTTTACCTCCGGCGACTGCATCACACTCAATTGGGGTGTAACCCCGCACGCCCAGAAGACAGGCACCTCCCCTTCCCGGATTTCCTGCGCCGAACCCTGGTCAGGCTTGTTGATATCGCTGATACCCAGCTTCTCAAGAGCGTCCCATCCCCAAGCAATCGGCTCGCCGTGGGTAGTGATGTACGGCCGAGTGATAGCGCGCACCTTCTCGACGTCCTCGGCGCGGTACGGTCTCATGGACACAACTGTGTTGCCTCCAAATACTCCCGCAGGCATCAACGGCACGTTCGTGTGGAACATGCAAGCCGATACATTGTTCTCGATATGTCGTGGCACGAGTCCAGCCTGCACCAAGGCGTGTTCGAAGGAGAAAGAGCAGCCGACTGAGATCAGTGGTTGACCTTGACCACAAAACTCACTGAGGAAGGCGACGCTGTCCTCTGACCAGTACTCTTTGATGTGGTCCACGTCCGGCTTCACGAGCTTGCCATCGACATAGCTGGAGTCAGCTCGACTCAGCTGAAGATCTACTCACACATTGTACCCTGGCACGTCCGTGCGAATGTCGATCCCATCAGCGACGCCGGGCGGGAATTTCGTCTCCCCCGGCTTCGTCTCGGCGAGCAGCGGGCAGGCGACGGGGTTGCGCAGGCAAAGGTTGCGGAAGTCCTTGGCATATCTCTCCGGGAGAATGATGAGGTTCGCCTGAACGTGGCCAGGGGCGAGACCAGCGGTGCTCCCCTTCAGGCCGTCGCGGGCAGCTCGACGAACATCGGCAGCTGTCTGGCTTTGGCGAGTCATGGAGTGTTCAATTGGCAGAGCGAGTCGATTCGGGCCTGTGCTGAAGACGCAGCTGACCTTGGTGTCTCTTTTGTCCTCGTCTGATAGCTCGTCAGCATCGGCTCGACGGCGCGCTAGGGCCCCAACAATCGAGATTGTGAGGCTGGAACGAACGGGGACAACAGACCGGCCCACCCTGGCGGTCATGAGAACAGTGCTCGGCCGTTAGGCACCGGAACACTAGCGGGGATTCTCGGCTATTGCCGAAAGTCACCGGCAACCTAGGCTCCAGTGCTTAAGTTCTGTCAGGTCGTTGCAAACGGTTTGCCGGAAGCCCTCCTTCAGGCTCTCAGGCTCGCAACTCTGCTAACTCAACTGGGATCTGCTGCGGTGATCGCGTGCATTGATCGCTCTGCACACCGTAGCTCCCCACCAGAAGGTTGGGGCACACATCGTATCACGTGACTTGCCACGTGAATGGAGCCCTTATCTTTCCCTCCTTCCAGCCACGAGACATTACCTAATCTCTCGGTCCTCGGACCGAGACTGATGGGTTGATCGACGCACCATGGATGCATTTTAGAATCTCATTCTCTTCGAAACCTTTGTACAACGTTTTCCCTTCTACTTGCCGGCTATTTATCTCAAAGAGAGTACCTAAAGCTGTAGTGATGGTCGCCCGTGATTCCCTTTGCATCAATGCTCTCCTTCTCCTCGGCTGTCATCATGTCGCGGCGCTTGTTCCTCGTCCGCCACACGTACCACTCGACCGTGATGCCGATGAGCGCCATCATCCAGAAGCCCAAGCTCGCTCCGTGGCCGATAATGTACGCAGGCTTGTCAGAGTCGCGATAGATCTGGCCAGCAATGACACCGCCGATGTTGCCCATCGTTTGCTGCATGCCAACGGAGACTGAGCGTTTTCGGAAACCGGCAATGTTCTGAGCGAGCCAAGTGACATGCAGGCCGACGCCGAGATAGATCCCAGATCCCGCCAGAATGCAGCCCACCAGCTGGGCAGCATGGCCCTTGACGCCGGCCACGAGCATGCAGTAGCCCACGATGGTCACGAGACCAAAGCCCATGATGACAAAGTAGATCGAGTGGTACCTCATGACGATAAAGGTGCCGATGAAGTAACAGAGGGTGCACCAGAAGTAAACGGGGGCCGTGATACCTTGCGATGCAATCCTGTCGAAGCCTAGCCGTCAGACAGGCATGCAGGGACGACTCACCGAAGCCAGACACGATGACGACGAGGAAAGTTGAGAAGCCGTACATGCAGGTGTCGAATCCGAGGTGAGCGAGGCCGGAGAGATAGATCACGGGGTCTGTGAGCGCCTTGCGCACTTCAACCCAAGAGAATCCATCATCGTGCGTGAACACGGCTTCCTTCTTTGCCCGCAGACGCACCACGGCCTTGTCGTCGTCGTTGAGATAACGTGCCGTTTCAGGCGAGTCGGCAATCAGGAAGAAATAAGTGATACCGACCAAAATCGTCACCGCCCCTTCGATTATGTAGAGCCATCGCCAGCCTTCTAGGCCTCGTAGGCCGTCCATCTTTAAGAGACCGGTTGCTAAGAGCCCGCCGATCGTGCCTGAACCGGCGATCATGCTGTAGAGAAGCGTAACTGTCGAGAAAACGAAGTTTAAAGGCAGCGTTGATGAAAGAGCAAGGTCGAAATTTCGTAAGGAGACGAAATAAGGTGGAGGTGTGATCGTCGGAGGGGCGCAAGGTGGAGGTAGGATCGTCAGGCACAGGCGCTAAAGAGAAAAGACTGCGGTTTTCGCGAGTGTCGATCAGAGACGGGTGTGATTTCCCGCAGCTGAAAGACATCCGATGACCAGCGAGTACTCACTTCGAAGGCTGAGCTCATAACGGCTGTAGAACATAGTCATGTAGAGGATAAGACAAGGCGAGAAGGCAGCCTCACACATGCCGAGCAGGAGGCGACAGGCGAGGACAGTGGCGTAATTCTGAGCGAAACCGTTTCCAATCGAGATTCCTCCCCGCACGAGAACGATCGTTGGGATCAATCTCGACGGCCTTAACGTCTTCAAAAGAGCGGTTGCTGGTGTTTCGAAGATTACGTAAGTTACATAGAAGATAGATACGCAAACCGACAGTCCGTTCTGTGGAAAATGAAGGTCTGTTGTCATCCCGCCGATTGCGGCGTTGCCTGAGGTGAGTTTCGAGCAGGTGTGGCTTGGAAAGGGGGGTAAACTCACCGATATTGGCGCGGTCAAGGAAGCTGGAACGAGTCAGCACAGTCACGTGCGCAATTCGGCTTTGGAGAGCGAGGTCGACATCTTCGTTGTGTTGTCAGAAACATGAGAGAAAGAGCGTTGTTGACATCGAAGATCGCAGAGAACCGCCTCAAACAGAGGTGGACCACCTCCACCGGGCCCTCCACCGCCACCTCCACCCGCCTCACGTGACGCCTTCCACCGCCTCCACCTCACCTCCACCCTCGACACACAGAGCGACGCCTATGCAGCAGCAGTGGAAGGGCTTCGTTGGTTGCACTTTCTCACCGCCTTTCTCCACGCTTTTGAAACTGGACTCACCTGACCAGGTAAAGAATTACTGCCATGGGAACCACGCGAAAATCGATCTTGCGAACGACTCGCTTCTCGTCGGCGGGATCGATTTCAATCAACTCAGCCTCGGCAGCTTCGTCAATCGAGCCGACGGCCTTCGTGTCATCGTACTCGGTCGTCGACGTCTTCTCGTTTGGTGTTGCTGTTGCTCTCACGTCCATGGCAAGCAATGGGAGATGGATGGTCAAAGGCTCGGAGGCACTTTTGGTAAGTGAACGAGTTTCGAAGCGGTGTTTAGGGGCGGATCTTCCCTCTGAGGGAAGACGCGTCGATGTATATGAACTAGGGACTTGCATGACTCATTAGACCCTTGGCCGAATTCACGGCGCGCGCTCGCCGTGCTAGTTGCGCACCTCCTTTGATTCTTGGGCTGCGCTTCGCCTCGGCTGGGAACGGCAGATAAGGAAGGCACTGCTTCTCTGCAGGTACGGTAGTCAAGGCAAGGGTCAAGGTAGGAGAGCTGTGACGTCGAAGTATCTGTTGCTACGGAATCATGGCGGAGCGGCCTTCTTTTAGGAGCCCGGCCAGGAGTCCGGCAGGTGGGCAGCGGAGCACGTCGATACAGGTATCCACCCGAGCCAACCACCAGTGACCCGTTTCGTGGCATTGCCTTTCGCAGGTACCGTCCCTTGGAGCCGACCGAAGTCGTGGGGCGCCCTGGCACCAGGAATTCCGGGGTCGGCCGGGGTATCATGTGGGCACGTTAAGCGCAGATTCCAGTCCTCAAGCGAGAGGCGATATCTCGTAATACCCCGGACGGAACTCCTCGCCGCTCGCCGCCTGTTGATTGCGAGTGAGTGCAGGTCCGTGCTTCATGGGTAAGGGTCTGCATGTTCATGAATGTACTCTTTCGTACCGTATTGAGACGGTGAGCCTGGGAATTCGATTGCTTCCCTGCTGTACCAAACGGTGAGTCGAGATAACTGTCCGTTTACTCCCGTGAATTGCCGGCAACGGTGTTTGAGAGCACTCAACGGTGACTTTCTGCCAGATACGGGTCTCCCAAGGGCCAGAGTCGTGCTCCGCTTCTGGACAGCACAATTAACGAAGTTGTGGCTCCTGGACTTGAGGGGCCAATCGCACGCAATGCTGATATCTCTTGCATTAAAGGCCAAGCTAAATACATCCAGAACTACAACTGCGGCTGGGACTCTATCAACAGCTACTCGCGCTCAATTAGGAGGTGATTCGTCGTGACAAGCGCCGTCCAGTGAATGTTGACAAAGATGGTCTGGGTGGCGTCGATGATGAGTGCCGGTCCCGGGACAGCAGTACCGCGCTTCAGGTTGCCCAGCTCGTACACGGGCGCTTCAACGCGAGCACCCTGTCCCTTGGCTTCGTCCCAGACAAAGACACCCTGCTTGAACGCCTCGGCGCTCTGGGCGGGAGCGGACCTTGCGATGGACTTGGCATCCTTGAATGCGCTCTCCCCGAGGCTCTCGTGAGTAGCACCAATACCACGGACCTTGACGTCGTCGACGATGATGCGCTTCTCAAGGAGGAAGCCAAATTCGGCCTTATAGGCATCTTTGAAAGCCTTCTCGAAGTCATCGTTGTCCGAAAGGACCATCAGGCTGGTGTCGCTGCCATCGAAGCGCATGTTGAGCATGCGCTCGAGCCGGATCTGCTTCGGCGTGAAGCCGGCCTCGAGCAGCACCTCGTGCACGCGCTCGCCGAGGCCGTCGAGACGCTTCTTGAGCTCGGGGACGGTCGAGGCGTCGTAGAATGCGGCAGCAGGCTCCTGCAGCTCGTATACGCGGTCGGCGAGGGAGAGACCGAAAGCGGACAGGACACTGGAGTACTTGTGGATGAGGACACGGCGGATGTTAAGGAGCTCGGCGATCTCACACGCGTGCTGCCCACCAGCGCCACCAAAGGACGCCAGGACGTGGTCGGCTGTGTTGAAGCCACGCGCCTCGGTGAGGGTACGGATGGGGCGTGCCATTGTCTCGTTGGCGATCTTGACGAAGCCATACACAAGCTCGTCCATGTCCTTCGTCGTTCCAGTGTCGGCGCGGATCTCAGCAGCGAGTTGCTCAAACTGCCTGCGGCTCGCTTCGGGGTCGAGCGGCTCATTCTCGTTCGGTCCAAAGCACTTGGGGAAGTACTGGGGCACCAGGCGGCCGAGGAACAGGTTTCCATCGGTGAGAGCGAGAGGGCCGCCCTTCCTGTAGCAGGCGGGGCCAGGGTGTGCGCCTGCCGACTCCGGGCCAGCGCGGAACAGGCCGTTCTTGTACGTCAGGCATGAGCCGCCGCCAGCAGCGACGGTATTGATGTCGAGCTGAGGCACGTTGATGGCGACGCCGGCCGTGAATGTTTCGGCGACGCTCTCGTAGCGACCAGCGAAGCGCGAGACATCAGTGCTCGTGCCGCCTACGTCGAAGCCGATGACTGGCGCCTTCTCCTCTTCATCCCAACTCGTCAGCGCGTAGCCAACCACACCTCCTGCCGGGCCGGAGAGAATGGACTTGAGGCCAGAGAAGTGCTTCAACTCGACGAGACCGCCGTCCGATCCCATGAACTCGACGCGCAGGCCGCCATTCTCGCCTCCCTCGAATCCGGCGTAGAATCCGGAGAGGTAGTTCTTCAGAATCGGTGTCAAGTAGGCGTCCGCCGTCGTGGATTGTCCGCGAACTGTCATCTTGATGACGGGGAGAAGCTGGGAAGACAGCGAAATGTTCTCGAAGCCGATCTCCTTGGCGATCTTGCCGATGGCGAGCTCGTGCTCGGGGTAGGTGTAGGAGTGGGCGAAGCAGACGGCCATCGCGCGACAACCAGAGTCATACAGCTTCTGCAGATCGGCCCGAACCTGCTCCAGATCGGGCTTCTTAATGATCTTGACAGCCTCGCCACTGAGACCGCGGACAACATCCTGCGGGTACAGCGCTTGCTGCTCCTCGGCGCCAGGACCATTGTAGGGCTTCGTGATGCGGCCCGCCTCGTCAAACTGAACAGCGTGCTCCTGCGCTTGCGGGTCCGAGGTGTAGCCCACTAGTTGTCAGCTTCCAGTGCTCCCAGGTGGATTAGTCAATAGCTCAACTTACTCAGAGTGACACGCTCATCAACCTCAACGACCTGCGAGTATAAGGGCAGGGCACGCTTGATGTCAAGCTCGAAAATGCGCGGGCGAGTCTGGTTGCCAATCTCGAGCAGATCGCGGAACCCCTTCGTGATGATGAGGGCGTGATCCTGGCCCTTGCGCTCCAGAAGGGCATTTGTCGCTACCGTTGTTGAAAGGCGAACGTAGTCGATGTGCTCTGTCGGCAGGGGCACGCCGCGGGGAATGGAAGTGCCGAGGACACGCTCCAGAATGCGGCGGATACCCTCTGTCGGCGCATCGCGATAGTTCGAGGGGTCCTGCGACAGGAGCTTGATGACAAAGTCGCTACGACCCGTGGGCGAGCTGTCGTCGACGACGGAAGCGTAGCAGTCCGAGAACGTGCCGCCTCTGGTTGTCAGCGGTGCCCATCTCGAAATCAACTCACCGGTCAATGCTAATTCGGATCGAGTGGGGCGGGACTTGGGTGTCGATGGTCATTGTGGAGTGGGGTGGGAAGACTCTGGGTACGTTCCATGCTGCCGCGGATATCTATAAGGTCGTGGTAGAGCATGGCGACTTGCTGACGGCAGAGATCCGTGGTGACTTCGCCTATCGGTGGAGGGAATGTTGAAGCGGCCCTCAGACGGAGCTGAGGATCCGGGCAAACTCTAAGTGGGCAATTCCCAGCGGAAATGTCGGAAACTGGGCGGCGCTCTGTCCTCGGCAACAACGGAAGAAGCATTCCAGAGATCCTCTCGTCGGCATTCACGCGCTTGAGACGACTGATAACTTCACAACCAGTCATAGATATGACCATGCAACCCCAGCCGACTCTTCCAAGTCACCCACCCACCTCGACTGCCCACCATGGTCCAAGTTAATCGCGAGGTCGACTATGACCCGATCCTGCTCTCTGTCTTGTGAGTTCGGCCAGGTGATGGAGCTGACTCCATAGCTCCAACCGCTTCATGTCGATTGCTGAGGCGATGGGACGGAGTTTGCAGCAGACCGCCATCTCGACGAACATCAAGGAGCGTCTCGACTACTCCTGTGCCATCTTTGCGCCGACGGGCGACCTTGTCGCCAACGCGCCCTTCATGCCTGTTCACCTGGGCAGCATGAGCTGGAGCGTCAAGTACCAGCTAAAGCTGCACGGGTCGTCGCTGAAGCCTGGCGATGTGCTTCTCACCAACGCTCCTCAGGCGGGTGGCTCGCATCTGCCTGACCTGACCGTGATCTCACCGATCTTCGACCCGAACGATGACACCAAGATCATCTTCTTCGCAGCCTCGCGCGGACACCACGCCGACATCGGTGGCATCCTCCCCGGCAGCATGCCCCCGACCTCGACGGAGCTCTGGGAGGAGGGCGCCGTCATCGAGAGCATCAAGGTGGTCTCTGAGGGCATCTATGCGCACGACGCGGTTTACAAGGCAATGGTCGAGGACCCCGCGCAGTACCCCGGCTGCTCTGGCAGTCGCAACTTCCGCGACACCGAGAGCGACCTCAAGGCGCAGATCGCGGCCAACCACAAGGGCGTGCAGCTCCTGACTGCGCTTGTGGAGCAATACGGCCTGAAGATGGTCCACGAGTACATGGAGCACATCCGCGCGAACGCCGAGCAGGCCGTCCGCACCATGCTGAAGGAGAGCATCCCGCGCATTGGCAAGTCCTTCACGGCTATCGACTACATGGACGACGGGTCCCCCATTGCCCTCCGCGTTACAATCGACGAGGAGACCGGCGGCGCCATCTTCGACTTTGAGGGCACCGGTCCAGAGATGCGGGGTAACCTGAACACGCCCGTGTGCGTCGTCCACGCTGCCGTCATCTACTGCCTCCGCAGCATGATCGGCGAGGACATCCCTTTGAACGCGGGCTGCCTAGTGCCCCTCGACATCCGTATCCCCAAGGGCACGCTCCTCGATCCTTCGCCTCTCGCTGCCGTCTGCGGCGGCAACGTCATGACCTCGCAGCGTGTCACCGACGTCGTTCTCAAGGCGTTCAGGGCTTGCGCCGCTTCTCAAGGCTGCTGCAACAACCTCACCTTCGGCGTCGGCGGCAAGGATCCAGTCACGGGCGAAGTGACCGAGGGATGGGGATACTACGAGACTGTCGCTGGTGGCAGCGGCGCCGGCCCCCACTGGCATGGCACGAGCGGCATTCACACGCACATGACCAATACGCGCATCACGGACGTCGAGATCCTCGAGCGCCGATACCCCGTTCTCCTGAAGGAGTACCACTTCCGCCCCGGCTCTGGCGGTGCGGGAGAGTACAAGGGCGGCGACGGCACGGTGCGCTCGTACCAGTTCCTTGAGCCCCTAAAGGTCTCCATTCTCTCCGAGCGCCGTGCTCGTGCACCCTATGGACTCGAGGGAGGCGAGGACGGAGCCCTTGGAAGGAACATCTGGGTCAAGACTGAGAAGGACGGAAGTACCCGCCGCATCAACGTTGGCGGGAAGGGCACCATGAAGTTCAGCACTGGCGACACCCTGGAGCTCCACACGCCTGGCGGTGGTGGATGGGGAGCGGGCCAGACGAAGGAGATGAAGAAGGTCCACAATAACGACTTCGAACCTCGCGGCAGCATTGCCGAGAGGGCCAAGGTCGATTTCTAGTTGTATTGTAGTTATGCATTGAGTTTGGACCCTGCTGCTGTGAGGGTGCATGTTGTGAATGGCTATTCCTCATGGGAAAGAGGAAGATCGGGGCGCTTGTCGAAGAATGGCCCCGCAGGGTGTCAAGCACCGTCGCAAGCAAGTTCACAGTGTGCAGTCATAACTGTTTTGCATTTTATACTTCTGAACAACTAGCTACAGGTCGTAACAACTACTGAAAGCCCAAACATAGAACGCTCACGGGTACGTTTAGTCGCGGAGGAACTCGATGACCTGACGACCGTTGGTCTTGGAGGCGGCGACGTTGGCGAGCGCCTCGGGGAAGTAGGAGAAGGGGTACACAGTGATGTGCTCCTTAACCTGGCCGTTCTTGAGGTACTCGAGAGCCTCCTCCATGTCCTTGCGGGTGGTGACGAGGATACCCTTGATGGTGATACCCATGAAGACGATGTAGCCAGGGTCGGCACCGGCAATGGCCTCTCCGTTGGCGGGAAGACCGACGGTGACCTGGACACCGAGGGGACGGAGGACGTAAGGAGCGGCGGCGTAGGCCTTACCGTTACCGGCGGTAACGATGACGGCGTGGGTGCCGAGTCCGTCGCCAGTGAGCTTCTTGACCTCCTCGATAGCGTTGGGGTTGGTAGCGTCAACGAAGTGGTCGCCTCCGGCCTCCTTGACGACCTTGGCCTTGTCCTCTCCTACATCAATGCCGATAACCTTGAAGCCCTGGGCGTGCGCGAACTGAACGACCATGTGGCCAACACCACCGCCGGCACCAAAGACGGCGAGCCACTCGCCCTTCTTCAGGCCAGCAGCCTTGACGGCCGTGTAGGCAGTACCACCGGAGCACATGAAGGGAGCCGCCTGCTCCATGGGGACGCCGTCTGGGATGCGGATCGCCCACTGCTCAGAGATGAGCGGGTATGAGGTGTAGGTGCCGTTGACGCCCATAGCAAGGTAGACCTTGTTGAAGCAGATCGTCTCGTGGCCACGCTGGCACATCTCGCAGAGCTCCTGGCCGAGCTTGTCGTTGCAGGTCTTGTAGACGGGGGTGAGACCGACCTTGTCGCCGACCTTGAACTGAGTGACCTTGGGGCCAACGGCGACGACGCGACCAGCACCCTCGTGGCCGGTGCAGTCGACACCCTCGGCGGGCTGGATGCCGTGCCAGTCACCGGCAAACTGGTCTGAATGTTAGCGATTGCTGCGACTCAAATTGGGGGACCTTCCCCGGTCACCATTCGCGTTGGTAGCGGCGAAGACAGCCGCGGTCTCAGCCACGCAGCCACCGCGGGTCGACGCGACGCGGCTACGTGATGCGCAGCTCAGGCATATGCTGTCTCACGACTAACCAGGCTCTCACAACAGCTACTCACGGTGGTCAGACTGGCAGATACCACAGTACTCGAGGTTGACGAGGAGCTCGCCCTCTCCGGGAGTGGGGACGGGGTAGTCCTCGCGGCAGACAATCTTGTAGTCGGGCTTTCCAGCGCCAACGGCGGGAGCAGCGCGGCAGACCTTGGGGACGTCGGCAGTCATTGTTGGTGAGTGCTAGAGTGGATTGGGGGAGATCAGAGGAAGGTGGGCGATCGTCTCGCAGACCCGGCTGCGCGCTTATATTGCTACGACCGTCGGCCGTCTGGGCGCCGGCTGGGCGGGCCTGCTCAATGCTAGCGCGCACCCAAGAGGGAGGGAGGGAGGGCTAGGCAAGTCTAGGCACGCTCGCGAGCGCGCACATCGACTTACGCACTAGGCAATAGCCGATCTGCGTGGTCACGAGGTCACGAGGTTGCCGCGATGAATCGTTTGCCGTTGTCGGACGGGCTAGCCTCCTTGCCCCAGTCCTCCCCAGCTGGCATGCTGGTCAAGTTAGGGGTATCAGGAGCCGGGGTGCTCGATGGGGGCCCGATGCGGGGTTCTATGCCGGTGCGCTGTCCTATGGACGACTGCATCAGAGCACGAGCTTGGCCAGCAGAACGCGGTTACCACCACAAGCCTGTCCCCGTGACCTGCCTCTTCCGGGGAGGAACCCACAGCCAGGGGCTCAGTTTAGAGACCGAAATCCGCATGGTACGCCTCGCCATGGCGTGCACTGCAAGGGGGGGGCCTGAGAACCTTGTTTGGGCCCAATGAATATCCCGGATGAATCGCGATGGGCATGCTTCTTGGCCCTCTCCGGCCCCCGCACTGGCGAGCGCTGACAGGTGCGCGATGAGGAGATGGTCGGAATGTCTAGCCTCTGGTAGGCTTCGTCTCCCCCTGTCCTTGTTTGTTCGCCCCGCACGCAGGAGTTCGTGCCCCAATTCTTCGAAGCTCGGTTACTCAATGTCCATCCCGGCGTTCATGTTCCCAGCAGGGTCAGGAGGGCGGGGGCCCAGCCAGACAACCCACCAGCGCAGCCCGGGTGTCACCCATCCACACCGGGGTTAAGGCCATGCATGACCAAGCATGCCATCGCCACGTCAACAATGGTCGTCGTCAGTCCGCCGTCGGAAGTGATAAGCTCAGCAAGAACAGCCAGTTACCTCCTAATCGGCCCATTCCCACTAACGGGGTGCTTTGTTCCAGTATCATCAACTCAGCCTCATCCCGTGCCTTGCCCTCGTGTTCTCCCCACCACCACGTCGCGCCCACTTTGGCAGCACGCGGCGACTCTTCCGACCTGCATCCATGCGACCAGCACGCCGGTGTCCGTGAGTGCGCTGCTTTCTTTAACTTCAACATACACTTCCAGTCGCCGAGCAACAAGTTTGGATCTCATCTTACAACTAGAAAGTACAATATTGATGGTCGTCTGTCGCCAATGCCTGCGCAGCCCGTATGAGTGGCCGCGCAATTGACAGACGAGCTGTGCAGTGGCTTACTTGGCACTTGGCTTGCTTCTCATTCAGTTGCGCTCACACCACCATCCCCCACTCCGCGCGCGGCGGTGGGGTCACGCGGGACACTCTGCTCCGTCCACGGCGCCGGCGTCGTGCCTGGCATGCCGAGTCGGCACCGTAATGATTATATGCAGCGCCGACGTGCCGGCCTCGGCACCGGCGTAGCCGCGGCGTGATCGAGATCGTGAGCTCGGTTCATGCACACCCCTCGCAGAGGTGGACTGTCCTGAGACGCCGATCGATGTCGCCGCTAACGCTCTCAAGTCGGTCGAGTGTCTCCTTCAGATCGGGGTCGCGGTCCGGCGGACCGGCCTCCGCCTCCTTCCCCTTACTAACTTTGGAACCAACTCTGGAACTCGGCTTTGCCGCCTCCGGCTCGGAGTGTGGGCACGCGTGGTGCGTGCACCCGACTATCCTCTCGAGAATGTTGCTGTGCCACATAAGGGCTGACTCGAGGCGGCGCAAGCGCTCGTTCACGTGTGGGTCGAGGTAACTAACCTGGCGGCGTGGTTGGTAGCGTGCAGGAATGGGAGGGGATGACGGGGCTGACGGCGCCGAGTCGGATGTCGACGAGTCGGACGACACACGACCCATGCCCGCAGTCTTCGCGGGCCGGCGATAGGGGTGCGCGCGTCCATGTCGTCGCCGGTGAGATGAGCGGCGGTCCGAGTCCGAGTCATCCGTCTCGGCGCGCCAGCGCTCCCACCAGTCCCGGCTAAGATACGTGGGGAGCTCTTGTTCCTTCGTGCCCTCCGAGTACTCGACGCAGGACCAGTACTGCATTGCGACGAGGCGGGCGAGTTCGCCCTCGTAGAACTCGTGCCGGTTCTCGTATGCGCGGTACGTCCATAGTTTGAAGGTTGGCTCAGCACGTGAGCCGCTCTCGCCCCAGCAGCACACGAATCGGTCGCCCGAGTCCCACACGAGATGTGACTCGCCGGATCGCCGGACGAGCACACGACCTACGACAACGTCGTGTTCGTCTACGAGATGCTGCCGCACGTCCTTCTGCAAGGTCAGCGCGGACAGCGGACAGCACTCACGTGCAAGGGGTCGGTCGGGCGACCGCGAATCCGGATGAGGTGCGCCATGGTCGCCGCAGCGGAGCTAGTTGTTGTTGTTGTTGTCGATGTTGTTGAGTCGAGTTAGTCGTTGGTGTCGCACCGGTAGGGGTGGGGGGTTGGGGTTCCCGAGAGGCGGAGCGACGTGCTCTCTTGGTTATGTATCCTGCCTCTAGCCGCTCTTGCAACTGGTCCGGTGATCGATATAGGCTTCTAGTCGTCAGAGACCGGGGTATGGTCAGCTGCACGGCGTTCTTATCGAAGATCTGGGCTGCGGCTGCGCGACCCTGTGGATTGGCCCTGTGGAGGATTTTCTAGTCTTGTGTCGAACGTTGACCTGGTTGCGAATTGTCTTGACTCGCTGCCCGTTGCGGTGACGCCCTTGCGCGCAAGAGCAGCGTTGTGATGGACATCGGTCCGCCTCGAAGGTTGCGTGCGCATGTCGCCAGGGTCCCGTCCCTGTCCTCCTTTCGGTCCCCGCTGGACCCCTGTTGGTCGATGGCGTTTTCTGCGACTGTCCTGCGAGTGTTCCTGTGCGTGTCCTGCAGTTTCCTGCGAGTTTCCTGGACATACAATTACCCACATTCCGCAACCGTGTTAAACCCCGGAAACGGACGGAAATGCCTCACTTCGCACGCCGCACCCACTGGAACCCAGTGCACACTCCGTACCTGGGTTTGTCTGGACGCAGCCTCTCATGTTCTTGATCCTCAACCTCAGCCATCCGTATGAGCCTGCAGGTCACAGCAGAACACCGCCCTGCATCTTGGCGTGTGCGTAGATAACCTTATCAAGCTGATTGCCGGAATTCGCGACTCAGCAATCCGCGGGAGTGCCGTGTCAGTAGTGGGTGAGTTGCAGAGGGGGCAGACGGTCAGGCGGCCAAGTGTCCGCTGAGCATACCGCGACATCTAAGCGAGGTGTCGTGCTGTCGATCTGCTGATCTGGTGATCGATCGGGTCAGCGGAGCGAACCCCGCCATCGGCCTTCGGATCGAACGTCAGTCCGTCGCCCGCTCGCCCGTCACGGACTACTGCTTTCGGGCAGGCAGCACGTGTGAGCACGAGGGCACACGGCGAGGAGAGCTCGGTCAATGCACTAGCTGCAACAATGAGCTCGCAGCCGACTTAGAAGCATTCCGTAAGCCGCGCTCAGACACCGGTTGACCACGCGTGCATACCTCTGTTGCATGCCCCCGTTGCCGGACCATCACAAAAGGACCAAAGGAGTGGGACGCAGCCAGAACTGCCCGGGCATGCCGTGAGCCGGACACTTTAGTCGGCGGTCACGACTGTGACCATAGGAAGAGGCAGGAGCAGAATATCGACCGGAGCGTCTGCTCAGCGCGCAGGAGCGAGCCAGCCGACCAAGCCGTCGAGTACAACAGGACCAAGCAAGTTCCAGCAGGAGCATACAGGAGAAGACGCTCGCAAGCCTGCTCGCTACCTCGCTGTTCGTTGACCACATTCCGCGTGCCCCTCCTAATACATGCATACAGCGACGCCAGCGACGCCCTCGACGCCGCGTGCCGCCGTCGCCGGAGGCGGATGTGTTACACCCGTCTCGGGCCGTTTCATTGGTCTGCGGGTCGTTCCAGAAGCTCTGGCGCTCTCTGGCTGTAGGTTCATGAAGGTGCACGAAAGTTCATATTGGTCAGGCCATTCTGTCTCGGCGTTCGCGGCTGCAGCCTCCAGGCGTCAGCGGCGGACCTGACAGCCTGAAAACAAGCGCGCTCGGCGGCTCGACATTGGACATTAGATGCCAGTGCCGTACCTCTGCAAGCCGACATACCGGAGAGCATCTGCGCATTGACGCAGCGCAGACCAAACAGAGACTGACAAGAACGCCGCAGACGTACAAGCGATGTTAGCGAGCTCTCGCGATCTCTTGAACGCAAGGCACTGCGGGTAAACCGAAGCACCGGGCCAATGCTGATCCCCATCCCCGCTCCCACAGCAGTGGGAGGGGGGCGCCACTCGGCGCCGTGGCGCCGACCCCGCATGGCAACGTGTGGTGCACAGGGCCGCCAAGGGCTGTCATGAGCCACAAGAGGGGGTACTAGGGATGATCAAGGCCGCCGAGCGCGCCGAGGTCAAATCGAAGGAACAGAATCTGTAAAGAGCCCAAGACCGTGGTCGAATCGCGAGCACCGCAGGCTCCGATATGACCTGGTCACCGGCCTTGGTGGCCGCCTCGGCAACTGCCTGCAATGGCCTGGAATCAGCCCGCTCAGCCGGTGTAAGGTGAAAGGCTGTGATCTGTGCGCTGCGCTGCTCACGGGCTCACCGGGCGTTCAGCTCGATTCGCCCCGTCCCGGTCCAGATCTGTTCTGCGGCAATGGCTTCAGGCCTGATCGAGATCGAGATCCATCGTTCCAAACCTTAGTAGGCTCTGGGGTAGGTCTCCGCGCCCCAGCCCCATGACTGCCAGCTGTACATCCTACTTTCCGGCTTAGCCATGGCAATACCAATCCGGATTCGGATTCAAGTGAAATGACGAATGGACGCTGACCTGATTGTCAAGCGTAGACTACCAGGGAGAAGCCCATGACGGCGCCGCGTGCGCCGAGCCACGAGCTGGGCTACCTGTTTGCCCGTCAATCAGAAGTTGAAGCGGCCGCCTCCGCCCCACTCTACCCCGGAACCGCTTTGTGCCGCCAGAAGGCGCACTTCCGCCAACCACATCGGCAGCTCCGGCCCAAGACGGGTATCTGATGGGCCAGATTGGGCGCAGACTGGGGTAAAGACGACGACAGTATGGGGGGCAGCACACCCTTGCAGGGGTTTTGGCGGAGTGGAGTCCGCCAGCTGCCCGCGTCGGGCTGCGATAGACGAGGGAGACGAGTGGGTCGACAGTCCGATGAATGCGCACTTGTGCGATCGTTTGTAATCTTGATACATCTACCTCGTCCTTGATGTCTTCAACTTGATCCTCTACAACACTCCGGCGCCGCCGATGCAGATCGTCCGCTCCTTCTCGCCCTCCTTCCGATGTGTTATTACGCCATCCACTTCGATTCGATGCTTGACCTCAGACGCCCCTATGCGCCCAGAGGCACCTGCTTTCCGTTCGTTGCCTGGCCGTCGGTCGGCAGACGGTGCTTCTTGTGCGCCTCCTTCTCGATCTCCTTGGCGAGAATGATGAGTGCGTTCGTCTGGTCGTCGATCTTGACCGCCTCCTCGAGGGGCACGTGTACGAAGCCGGTGACGACACCGTGGTTCTTCAGGTCCGCGTCGTTCACGATCTGGTAGAAGAGGCAGTTGCAGACGTATTCTCCGGCATCGTCCGAGAAGTCGACCTTGATGCCTGCGTTCTTGATCTGCTCGATCGCAGTCTTGACGGGGAGGCGGGTCGAGATGGTGTCCGGTCCGTCGGGGGAGATCTTGGTGTTGCGCGGCTGCTTGCCTGCGTTGTCGGGTATCCGGGCATCAATGATGTTCCTGGCGGTAGTCTCGAGCGACACACTCTTGCGGTTGGCGGCGACACCGACGCAGATCAGCCCGTCGCCCGCGCCCAGCTTGTGGTCGCGCACCACATTCTGGACGGTTGGAAACGCGCCATCAAACTCGACGGGCACCTCCACGAACGCAGCATCAATGCCTTCCGCATTCAGCAAGGACACGGCCATCCGCGCGCAGGTTCGCGACGGGTTGTCCGGCAGGTTGCCAAAGGGCGCGAAGCCGGTGATGATGATCATGTCTGGATGCGATGGATGATGGAGTGGTTGCAGACGCGGTGTTGAGCTCGGAATAGAACCGGGTTTAGTGGTAGTGACGCGGTCCGCGTGCCGTGACGTTTTGTCGGATATGACCGTGCTGTCCGCGGCACCCATCCCACCTGACCTATTTGTTCACTTTAACTTTGCCTCAACCCTCATCGCTGACTCAACCACGAGTTCGTCGGGAAAGCAGGAGTCAAGCTGAAAGCGGATCAAGCATTCGGGTGAGGTATGATGATCGAGGAGGGCGCTTCTAGGGCACGATCAAGGCGCGCTGCTGGTGCAAGATTGCTACAGCAAACATCTCACCAGGCACGCGACCAACATCCGCCCCTTCTCTGGAACAGCTTCCACTTGCCTCAAATCGCAGGATGTATGAATCGCCGGACCTCCCGTGTGTCTGTTCTTGTTGACTCGTGCCGGGAAGCCATGTCATCCCGGGCTCGCAGGCCAGGATTGGCTTTGCTAGCGAGTGGCAATCAACCCCCTGCTCTGAGGGACATCCACTATCGATGCTGGCATGGAGGTTTAGCTTCTGTTGTATACCAGAATTACGCTGAAAGACGAATTGATAGCAGAACAGGTACGTCGAGGACGCCTTGAACTGGAGACGACATCTTTGCTGTCAATACCCAAGGCACCTCCGAAGCCGCTCCGAGAGCCACAGGTGATTTCGACTCGTGTATCGGAGGCGGCGATGTACAACCAGTTGCGACCAATATCGACATCCAAACACAGTTGAAAGCCCCATCATGCATGACAAAGTCTGTTCCTAACGGAAGAGACACACAAGAAAAGACGTACGAGGACAGGCGGCATTATTCTGGCTAGCGAAAAGCCTAGCTTGGATTATGATGCAGACAGCTCACCCTTACCTTGAAAAGCCACACGCGTTCAGCGTCAGTTCAAGTCCTCCTGCTGCGACGGTGGTTTCAATGGGCTACGCATGTCGTGCCTCCCGGACGACCGGTTGCCGTGGTCTGCCGACTACATCGATCTGCATCTTGTTGAATCTTGTGTGGCTGTGGGGTAGTGGCGGTTCAGGTGCGCCTATATGTCTCTTGTCAGCTCGACGAACAGAAGAAAGAGAGCATCTGGTCATCGGATAGGTAAAGCGATATACCTGCGGTCATGGTATGTCCCGAGGTGTGGGTGCTGTCGTCATGCGGAGGAGGGGGTGGAACGGTACTCACTCAATGAGGGCGCGCCATCCACATCAGCACGCTCATCCACCTCCGCCCGAGGGCTGTTGAGAGCACCTCGATGTCGCTGCAAGCAATTCCACCAAAGAAACAGAAAGAGAGCGAACGCAAAGTACAGCTTGCCGTCCCCCTTTTTTCCTCCCCTGTTCCTCGTAACGCAAGGACCGGCTGTTCCGGACCTTGGACCTTGATGAACCCCTTACGTAAAACATGCCAAGAACCGCATCGCGAGTAAGGAGGTCGTGCGGTGTTCTTTGTGCGAAGTGAAACCCCGGCTTCATCCTTCATCGATCTCCACCTCCCTTCATTCATTGCTCTCGGCACTTACGGCGGGTACTCATCCCCAAGACGATGATCCTCGACTTGACGCATGAGCCAAGCTCTTTTTAACTGATCCAGTTTCTGCTGGGAGCGGTAATCGGCCTCCAACCTTACTGCGGCAACTATCGGCATCTAACTGGCCTCCGGAGCAATCAACGGCCGGGGCGAAAACTAGGAGCTGACACTCTTAAATTAAGACTACACACGCAAAGGGCGGACAGCCCACTAACAATGAACTTGGCGGCACAAGTGCTCCGGCCGCTCAAGTGACACTCTGCGCAGTGATGCAAGCGGGACAGAGTTGGAACTTCGGGTCTGAGTACGACTTGACTGACTTCTGACCCTCGACCGGGAACGCCAGGCTACCTACAGGTACAGGAGGGCTACCGTCCTCGTCTGCTCAGTCGATCTCCTCGGCCTTGTGACGGTGCACTTGGCTGGCTGATAAGCTCCCTGTGTCGAACGTCGGCTTGAGGAGCAGACGGGCTACAGCAGCGGCCGGCGATCGGCCCTCACATTCGGTCTTAGGTCGCCGAGTCTCACTGCTGGAGACAGTTACATCATCACAAGGATCACAGCAGCTCGGGCTTCACGAGCGACTCTCCATACCCAGTAATCCTCAGCTACCACCCATACTTGCTCTGTCGCTATCCATGGCACGGGAATGATCGGCAGCCGAACTTGTAGAGCTTCGGGGCAGGAACCGGGCAAATGCTTAGCAAGGGGAACCGACGACCTCGGTGCCGACAACGCTCCCAGGGGCTACTCACACATAGCGAGCCATTCGCAGAAAGTCATCCCCGCTCATTAGATGAGGCATGTCTTCGCAGAAGACCAATGACTAACCACAGAGGACTCCATGCCGGCGTTGGCCCCGGGCACCAGTCTTCCGGCCGACCAGGGCTCCGAGATAAGCTTTCAGAAACAATAGAACCTGAGGGTCTCATGACTCGCTTCCGCACTGACCTATTCCGCCAGCCTGCATGAGTTGGACCTCAATTGCGTCAGAGTGTCCGCATTCTTCGCCCTTGATAATTCACTTGCCAAGTACTCCACCTCCTTACGCGCTATCAAAGCTCAAAGCTCTCGGTACCGGTGCCGAGGACACGAGGCCCGTGGAGCGGGCGTCGTGGGCCCATGATCGGACTTCGATGATGGCACACCGGAAGAGCGACCTCCCACCGTAGATATAAAGCCGGCGTGTACCACTCGTCTTTGGAGAATCTCAGTTCCGCAGTCCATCATCATGAGAACATCGATCACTACTCTCGCTCTCACATTGGGGGCCCTTGCCAGCGCGCACCCCGCCCACAAAGATAACTCGACCTTCCGCCTCGTGTACGACGACTTCTCCTCCGGCTTCGATGTCGGTCTACCCGGCTCCTCTAGCAAGTGGGTATACTACGCCGACACTACGGGCCAGTTCGTGGGCAACGACGGCATCGAGACCGTCGGCCCCGAGGGTCTGACGGTGGTCTCGAAAGGCGTGAACAACGTCACCGGCAAGCCAGCCTTCACGCACACGGCGCCGCCCGACCGGCCTGACTCGGACAACCTCGAGCACGTCAAGTACATGGCGTTCCCGAACGTGCAGTCCTCGCACGGCTATCCGGGCTGGGATGTTGCGAAAGGCCACATCTTCTCGTGCGAGGGCCACTTTGGCGCAGAGATGTACGGCATCGACGACGGCCCGTTCCAGGAGTACGTGCCCTGGAACAACTATGCAGCATTCGGGAGCGGGTCCTTCGTCTTTGGCGACTTTGAGGCGGGGTGGATCTTTCACCTCGTCCTCAGCAATGACCGGTACTACGCGGCTTATGAGCGCCTCGCCTTCTCCCCCGACCACGAGTATGCCAGCTTCACGTACCTCATCCCGATCGCGAAGCGGGAGGCGTGCAACATCGCCAGGCTCCGCGTCGAGTACGACCGTGACGCGCAGGAGGTCGCGTGGTTCATTGACGGAAGGGAGAAGCTCAGGCTGGGCGGGCTGGGGTGGTACAAGGACGAGTTTAAGGACTGGCTCGCCATGGACCGCGGAGGAAAGGAAGAGGACAAGGGCGACTTGAACCAGCTGCAGTGCGGGTTCGCGCTCATCTCCACCCTGGATGCGTTCCTGCACAAGGGCAAGGGGAAAGGCAAGGCGTTCGTGCGCATGAACCAGACGCCGGGTTACTGCCGCGACCCGCGCACGCATGGGCCAGACATTGAGTTCATCGACCAGATCAGCACGCCCCAAAACCAGATATGGGGACAGGGCGGCAAGATGACGCTGAGGGAGCTCATCGTGGAGAGTAGGCCAAAGAGGAGGCATCACTAGGGGGGCATGCAGCGGCGTAAGCCAGAATTCTAATAATCGATAAGCTCCCTCTCAGCACAACATGCCCACGCAGACGCTGTGCATCAGCTTCTGACCACTCTCACTCACGCTTACCCGCCTTCGCAATCAAGGCGGGGCAGTCCCTTGCTGAACGACACAGCAGCTGCAGCCCAGCACACCCCAACATGTCCCAGGACTCCAGTGCGTCGCCTTGACTTTCTCAGGGTCCAACGCGTCTGCAACCCTGCCAATGCCCATCTCGCACCACTTCCTACTCGTCCGACGAGTCCCAAAAAGCGACGCGGGCTGCAGATACAGCCGCTCGCTGCGCCGAGGCGCGCTCACCTGCCCCCAAGCGGGATTGAACCACTGACCTTTCCTTGCAAGCTGGAGACGGAGCTCCGAGAGCGGAGTTCGGGGCCCTGCTACGAGAGGAACGCACTGCCACTGCGCTATGCGGGCTGATGCTGAGGCACTCGCCAGCTCCCTGATAACGGTGATCGGTGGAGCTGGAAATGACAGGAGTTGCGGGGAAGGCCAAGGTTGGCTGGAGGTTACAGTCAGTCGATAGTCAGAATCTGGCTCGAGCACGACGGAGAGAAGCCTCGATACTCCACCGCGCGAGGTAGATCGCCATGCCCTTATACATCTTGGTATCTGTCTCAGCTCCGCAATCGACTGATAAGTCATTGACCTCCTCTCGGTCGATTCCATGCTCCTAAACGCGGAATCCTACATTGCGCTCTTGATCTCCAAAACGTCCGCCATGATCAGATCCAGTTGCGACCGCAAGTCCCGAATCTCGAGACCTTGCCTCGCAATCTCGGAGCGTTGTTGCAGGAAAGCGACGATCACCACGCATCCAACAGCAACGACGACCATCTTGCCTCTCCGGCCTCCCATGCCACTTGCCGCCGCGCGTCCTGTCCTGCCTTCTGTTTTGGCTCCTACCCCACGTGCCTCGCTGAGATGCCTCACAACGAAGCGCCCGGCCGCCTCGGACACGGGTAGGGACAGGACAGGCAAGACGCATGTGAGAGTGATACCGAGAACCAGCACGGGCACAGCTGTGGGCGCGGCCGCCCATTGGTGAGTGTGGAGGCGGTATCCGGCCCATGCCACCACGCAGACGCCGGCGGTCAAGCCTCCAATGGCGACAAAGAAAAACACGAAGATCTCGACGGCGAAGCGGAGGTCGGAGAGCGGCTCCTTGTTCTTGTCTGCGCTGGAGTTTGTCTTGGGTTCGGGTTGAAAGACAGCTCGCCCGTCGGGAGGCGCAGGCTGCGATGATCGGGCGGGAGAGTCACCGTCGGGAGACAATTGGCCGGACATCGTGTTGAGCGGTCGGGAGTAATGGCGGTCGAAGTGGGCAAGCAGTGAACGATTCGAGGGCAGGTTCCTAGGTGACGCCAAGATGGATGTTGAGATGGAAGGATGCTGTCAGCTGCCGGATATCCTGCGTTGAATGAGTGAGTGTCGCGGTGTCAGGTGGCGTTTGACACGCTGCGGGGACCCCACTGTTGGGAAATCAGTCGCGATGAGCAGTTGCGGTCAGTGGAGAGCAATGAGCACTCGGTGCATATATATCAATTCTAGGCAGAAAAGATCGTCAATGCGAAGTCGCCGATGAACACCATAGAGCTAAGTGTTGATCACAGAGCTGATGCCTGAATGGAAACCCTGATAACGTCTCGGATCAGCGGTTCCACAGGAGAGAGCTTACTACGCGTGTTACATTGGTTGCTAAGCTCCCATGGTGGATAGCCTGTGCCTGCCTTGCACCGGCTTGCACCTGCTTGCGGAGACAGCCTCTCGCAGTTTCAATGTTTCCCACAGTCGATCACCACCCTGCACC